GTTTCACCTTTCGTAGCTAGATTTGATGGTACTATGATAGATGCGAATGAAATGAAATGTATGTACAGAGTACTCACGGTAATCAATCTGTGTACAGGTATAGACTCTGGTAGTATATGCGGATACAGTACGGCGCCGGAAATATACGGCGATGGCTTCGACGGTACATCAGTCTTATCACACCGCCATTAGGTACATAGACACATAGACCGGTGCACATACGTCAACCAAAGGTTCAGCCACCAAGCCTCCCGATACTCCTTACCAAATGGGGGCACGGCAGTTTACTAGATCGATGTCCGTCCACGTTATTAGCCCGCGGCGTCCGTACAGAAGAAAGAAAGAACCTGGCACGGCATGGCACGGCATGACAAGGCATGGCAAGGCATGGCAAGGCATGGCATGGCATGGCAAGTCATGGCAGAAGCATGCTCTCAGACAGCACGACAGTAAGAAGAAGAGAAATCAAACACTTGGCGATCTCACACGTGGCAGGCAAGCAAGACGCGGGAGATTGTCTCGACTAGTCCCGAGAACTCGAACTGCTCGGTACTTGGACTGCACGAAATGAAATTGCTATCGATATATACGTGCATATATTTTATTACTCTTATAGGTACATCACATCACTACTACCGAGTACATCGCTACATACGTCGTCTCGAAACATCTCCACGATGTACATACCTACTAGGTATCCTTCTGAATTCTAGACTTCTAGAAGCGGTTTAAGCAGAGCAAACCCTTGGAACTCCAGGGACGTTAGGCTTTCAAATAGTCTTATCTCATACACCGTACTGGATGTATGTACAATACAATACATACCTACATACCTAGGTACATACTATTCTACTATAGAAGACCCCTTCTGACATATAATCCCACGAATCATTCCGCCCGGTCCAGCTTCTCTCCTCGAAGAACCTTTCCTCGATTGGGTCGTCGGGTCTCTATTCTCGTACGATGGCCCAGCCCGCGGCCCTACGTTAGCTGGTGGACGAGATACGCTATGTTAAGCGCGCTCCACCAAGCAGTCCGAGCACACATCTGTGTGAATCCCTGGGCGCGTCGTTAATACCCCCTCCCCCCGACTTCCCGGCGGCGTGATCTAGGTTCCTGTACTCGCGTTACGGCTGACCGCCCGGGCGGGTATCCCACGTGGTATGTAGCATTTTTGCACACCTCCACGCCTGCCTGCCTTCTTTTTGAGCCGCTTCTTTTCTTCCATTTCTGCTCGCGTCGCTCGAACATGCTAACATGGGCTGACCAACCCTCTTCACTGTACTCGCAATGCCGTGGATGCACGAGAGCTACCGGGTCCATGGTTGAGCAATGAGACAGCGTCTGTATCTCCCATTGTCTCGAGACGATTGCTTCACGTGCAATCAAATTCAACGTACCCACAACTTCCGGCTTCTAGACTTACTTACATACCTTACCCCCTCCCCCTATTATCAGGATTCAGGGTCGGTCAAGGTCTCGGGACTTCATGCGCTCGAACAAGGCAGATCCTTGTTATCGCGTGTGTCCCGGTCGTTGAGTCCGTGTTGAATCTAGTGCGTGCGCAATACCAACTAAGTACGCAATAAGGCTAATTACCTATTACTCTTCTTTTTTTCTTTTCGAAACGGCTCGTTACCTAGTTCACAGCTCGCAACTTGGTTTGTGTTTTGGTTGTTTTGGTTCTCTTTTTCCCGCTCGATTCTCAGCCCCGGACTGGCCGACGATGGCTTGTCCTTTCTCCACTGATATTCTAAGCTGAGCTGTCAAAAAGAACAGCTCCCCGGGGCGGTCAGCTGCAATGGAGTCGGGTCGTAATAACTTGGACGATATTATCTGATCCCGACGGAGCGGTCAGGGCTTAAGGGCTTGGGAAATATCCCGATTACAGCAGGATTGGGCGGGAATTGCTACAAAGTCTTCCGATCACAAGGCGTTTGCACTGTCACTTAGTCACGGCCTTGTATTGAACGAGTGTCCAATCGGTCGGTATTTGGATTTGATGCCGATGGATTAACGGTCATTTTCATGAGCGAGGATGACGATAATTAGGTATTAGGTAGGTAGGTACTATGTAGGTAGGTTTGTCGATCGTATGGACGTCCGATCGCACATCCCCTTCAAGGCGCTCCATGCATTTTACAACCTTAACCGCGTAAACCATCCGCTTCTAATTATTCCCACTTCAAACCTTACAACCACACGTGGCTTCGAACATGTCGGGACATACATCTCCAATACGCGAAAGTTTACCTAGGTACGATTCGAGATGATAGAAGTGACAGTGACAGTGGCGCGTGTTTGTTTGCTTGTCTGTTCTGCCGGACCTCGTCTACTCCGCGTAGTATAACGTCCGTAGCAGAGCAGCTTAGACATCCGGGTATAGCAAGATTTCGGCGACCTCAGCCCTCACATCGCTAGCTATTCCGAAATTTAAATTCCGATTCTCCGCGCCCTAATGTGGCTTACAGTCGATCCCAATGACCTTACCAGTGGCCTGATATCAATCTATCCTGCGCGCTTTTCGGCCGTAGTACATTCTGCTTCATATTCCGCTCATGGTTGGGCCTTGTTCGCCTCGGCACCATGCCGACGCCCTCCGGGTAGTAATGGGAGTGAAGACATCAGCTTATAGTTTTTTGTTGTTCGGTGTCTGCTCGGTATGAACCACGTCCATATACAGGAGGGTTCGGAATCAATGCTGTCTTACGGGATTTGCTGGTTGTGGGCGGATAGTACGCCACGAGTCTTACAGCTATAATTTAAAGAACTCAGCTCAGCTAACTGAGATCGAGTGTCATGGATATCAATAGTATGTTGCACAAATAGGTAGCCTCTCATAAGCGGGTAATATTCTAGTCACGTAGGGTTTAAATATTGGGGGTCAGTTGCCTTTTGACTTACTACTCCTTTACATAATATTGCAGATAACCTCATGAGAGACTACCTACATCATGTCTAAGAACCTCACTAGGCTTTCCTAGCATTACTTCACCGCTTAAAAATTTAAGTACGCTCAGCCCTCTATTGAACTTACATCCTAGCCCTATGATGTCTTTGCATTACCTAACATAAAGGACGGATGGGTTGTCTCGGTCATCGTATATGAGGAACACCTAGCTCGCCCATCGTGGGTGTGTATTTCTGTCTTGTGTAGGGAGTAGCTGGTACACATTTGAAGCAGATGAACTGGGTATTTGACACTGTCAGACTAGATTAGAATATACCTATTATATACCTACGTATTTCTTACCAGTTGATTGACAATGTCGCCGACTAAATTATATCATTCATAAAATATTCTATAAAAATGTGTTGCTACATAGGGGGTAGATTTATATTTGGACAATGTCGTATTCAGGGCGCCCACGTACCCCAATGGATAGTCTTGATACATGACTAGGTACGAATGCACCTGCAATGCCATTCTCGGCTGGACGTCTTCCTCGTTATTTTTAGGGACTTCATACCTCCTTTACGAATTAGAACGTGACATTTGTAACGGGCCAGATCGAACAGAGTTGTCTCTAAGAGAAAGATGAGTTACTAATAGGGGTCCGCTTAGCAGTAAAATACGGATAGTAGGAAGACTCAGTATCAATAAACCTAGCTATCAACTAAGATTCGATGTTGAATCACATTCACCATATATGCAGACATATATGCAAGCTAAACAGGTGATATTTATCGGGATAGGACTAAAAATAGGGGTAACTCTTAATCAGGTCCACTTACTGTGATATTTCTGACCCTACGAAGGTTTACTGTATTGAGTTAAGTGAGAACACGAAACTTTGTGTTCTATTGTGACTCACCGGGTTTGGACGTCAAACTGGGGGCGAAGTCAAGTTGCCTCAATATCCAAGCCTTCCTGCCTGGTTCCGCGGTAACATGCCATGACATGGCTTATAGCTTTGAGGGATGGGCTTCCTTGATAGGGGTGATCATTTTCATATCGATTCCGCGAGCAGTTATGATTTGAGGGTCAATCCTTTATGTAGCTGCGAGTTCAGTATAATTAGAGTGAGGCCTCAAGTAGAATGTGGTGAAATGAGATAGTCGAAAATATGTCAATTTTGCTGCACTGCGCCTAAAAACTACGTTAGGCAGCTGTTCTTATGAGGGATAGAGCTTCTTTTTGGATATTACAAATACCTAGAAAGGTAGCCTACAGGCCACAGATCCTACGACAGGACTGGGGGAAGAGGCAGGGGTACGGTTTAAGGAGAAGGATTTCTCCGAGCCTCAAGCTACTGGACGACCTTATTACTTTGACAAATGGGCTTGTGGTTTTCTGCTGGCCCCCGAAGTTACCCCCTAGGGGTACTTGAAGATCTGCCTGGTGTATCTAAGTACATAACATGTCGAATGTTATATCAAAGTACCTGGATTGGACATCATTGGCTAGGATACGCTGAATGGATGGCGTGTCAACAGCTTCCAATGATTTGAAACTCTTAACACTTTGTACGTATTTCATCTTCTCCTTGGATTTTTCAATAATCGCTTAGCTACTTGGAATGTTTAACTCGGTTGTTCAATATAGATGATAATCTAATGGTCTGAATGATTAAAGGGGGATTGTCTACCTAGGAGTCACTCAACGAGATGCTGAGGGTTCAAGATAGGGACTTGGTTTGCTATTCTCGGTTTCCTTTCTTTCTTTCGTCTCATCAACATAATATTCCTATTGCCATTAGAAATATGAAGCGGCGACTTTACCGTTGTAATTGTTCTTTTATTTCAACATTACCTTTATGTTTTTTTATAAAAAATATCTTCTTACTCGTATGCAATGTCAACACGAGATTCTAGAGGTATTGCTCATAGAGCTCATATGGTCTCCTTAGCCGAATTAACGTCAAAATTACACCTTATAAAACCACACGGCGCTCACCATACAGTATAAAAACCAAATCGGCTCAGAATTATATTAACAACCACAACTCTCCGGGGTATATATCATGATCTCAGGCCTACCCGGCCTCTTCCCATAACCGATTCTCACGAACTCACTCATCCCCTAAAACGAAGGTCCCCAGACGCCACGACGCTTGAACGCGGGTACTCCGGAACTCAATGCTAAACCACACACCGAAAAATGATAAACCAAACTGATCTAAAGCGAAATAATGAGGCCTTTTATCTAGCTTCCACCCCCCTCCCCTTCCCTCCTCTACCACCACTCACTCCAACTCCGCACGAAACCCACCTCCACCACCCCCATTCTCCCCCCTCGAAGGCATCTGCCCCTGCTGTCCCAACCTCGGCTTCTGCGGCGTCCACCCCGCGCCCAGGGACTGCCGCTGCTGCTGCGGCGCCACCTCCAAGCCAGAGTGAAACTGCTGCTGCTGCGGTGCCATAACCTCTAGTCCCGAATGAAACTGCGACTGCGACTGCGGTTGTGGTTGTAGTTGTTGGTACTGCCCGCTCGGCGTGCGCACACGATTCACGCGCAGCGGCTCCGGCATGAAACTGCCGTTGCCGGCTCCCACATCAACGCTCAGCGCCGCCTGATTCGGACCCGGATTCGGACTCTGATTCTGTATATGCGACGATCTTCCAGCCGGCTGTGCCTGTGGTGGTGGGGATACACGTCTTCCCGCCTGCCCCTGCCCATTCTGTCCCTGCGCCTGGTTATACGACCCGGAGCCCTGCCGCGCGTACTGCTGCTGCGGCGAAGAAAACCCCGCAGAACGAGTCGACGCCGAGCTGACGCTGGACCCGGTGTGCTGGTGTCTGGCGACCGGGGCCTGGGGGAGGGGTTTCGCGGGGGCGGCGGCGAGGGCGGCTTTCTCGAGGAGTTTTTCCACGAGCGTTCCGTGAGCTTTTTTAAGTGTCTTTTTTACGAAGGAGGACATTACGAAGTTGCATCTTAGGTCGACGTCCTGGGGAGTTTTGTTAGTTTAGGGTTTAGGTATTTATGAGATAGGTAGGTAGACAAGAAGGGAGAGGGAGGTGAGTGAGTGAGTGGGTAGGTAGCTGTTGAAATAGTGATGTGGTGGGCGATTTGGACTAAGACTTACCTCGCGCAAGTAGAGACCCTGTCTCGGCGCGCCGATCCCCAGCTCTACTGGCTCTACCGGCTCGCCGGGCAGGGTACCGTTCAAACTCCATCGCTCGCGGATATCGGTGCCCATGGGGGCGTAGATGTGCGTCTGGACACCGTTCGCTAGGTCGTTGAAAGCAGCGGTGTATGTGATGTCGCCCGAGACGACGCCGCCGGGCAGGTACGAGATCTTATCCGTCAGGCTCCACCAGACGCACCGGCGCTCTTCGGGGGTTGCGTGCGATGGTGGGGAAATTGGGTGTCGCTCGATGACGAGCGGGTTCAGGTCGATCATTTCGACATGGCTGTGCAGGAAGTTGAGGACGACCTCGCGCGTGATACCCGGTGGCAGCGTCGAGATCGTCGTGAACGTTGTACGTTTCGACATCGCCATCGCGCAAACCCACTGCACGCAACGCACGTCACTCCGAGACGACGAGATAGAACTGAGGAAAAGCCGCCCGCGAAAAGAGGCTTAGGTGCCGAAATAAGTAAACCGAATCCCAGCCTTAGACTACAGTAAATCCAGGATCTCGGATGTAAATGACTCGCAGAAAGAAGCTTAATTGCAATAGGTCGCGGAAGCGAAAGGAATACGTGATCGGATAACCGAGTAAGTGTTGCTAGTTGAGATGGTACGAAGTTTGGTTTGCTAGATCGATTTAGATCGCCTTAAGATCACTTCGCGCGATATAGCTATGTTAGGTGTAATGCTATAATCAGCTGACCAACAAGGTGATGAGGATATCGGATGAAGAAGAAAGAAGGAAACAAAGTAAGAAAAAGTGCAGAAATTGATGAAAGCTGGAATAATAAATCACATAATGGAGCTTCGAGCTTGAAATAAGGTAGTTTAATTTGTTAATTCTATGACTACCTGGCTGTTGTTTCTCGTTTCATGGAGAAGTAGAAACAAAACTCTTACACGATTGGTTGCATTCGTCGGGCGATCAACGGGGTTCAACGCATCGTTGGCGTTTCTGGCCGCCTCTCCCTGCATTGATGAGGCTGTGGTATTGAATTTTGGGCTTTATATAGACCCCAAAATAGAACGGCTTACGGGGGACATATGCGCTACCCCTTAGTAGGAAATCGTGGTTGGCTCGTTCGTACCCTATCAATGCTGGCGTAATGGAGGAAACAATGGGGAAAACAGTGTCTGTCTTACCGACGTTGCAAGCGTAATAAGTCCGTGCTAGTGGTTGATGGATGGCCTGCACGAAAATGTGCGAAAATAGGATGTATTTTTATCGAGTGACTTTTGTTTGGTGGCTTGCGGAAGTCTTCACACCCGGCTGGCTGAGCAGAGCCTATTTAGGTTGTGTACCCAGGACCTAGGTAGGTATAAATTCATATTCCATGCAGGTGTCAATCGATCTATACTAAGTTAGATCTGGCTGCACCACCGGCTTAGAAATCCCGGCAGCTCGCAAGCCGTAGGAATTTCATCCAGTGCAACGTCGAGTTTCCACATTTTGCCCTCTAGACCGGCGTGCAGAGCGTTACTCCGGCCTCCAATACCGGCCGGGATTAGAATGCCGAGAGACACTAAACGCTCCCACGCTACAACGGCCACGCCTCGACCCCAAGTCCTTGCGCCCGCCCCTAGCGCCAACATGCCGGACGAGGCCGACTGGACTCGTTGCTTACCCATCTGAGAGCTATATTCGTCATACGCCATAGCGAAATTGACTGTATCAGTGTGGGCAATGATGTCTAGGCGCGCCGCCGAAATGAGCAGTGCTAATTCGAGATCCGATAATGTTGCCAAAAGATGGAGGCTTGATCCAGAAGGTTCTAGCGAGACGCAACCCACGGGATTCGACTGTATTGTCAAATCTAATGAGGAGGCCGAAATCATTGATAGAGGTAAGATGCAGGATGTGAGGAATGTCGGCGCAGATTTCGTCGTGTAATAGTGATATTCGAGGTGATCTTCAAAATTCGGGGTCTTGCGTAGGGTCTAAGATGCATCAGCAAAGGCTCACAAAAAGGTTAGTAATGACTGCAACATACTTCGATCTTCTTGTCCCAATAGTCTCGGAATTTGTAAAGTCCTTGCAGACTAAGATCAAACCCCTCGCGACGAAGATCCTCCTCGTCAACAGAAAGTCCCTGTTTGCAGATATCCCAATACGACGCTAACGTCTTTGGAAGCGACATGTAAACGTATCGATGACTAAACCGACTCTTCACTCTCTTTTCTAGACTTTCCACAACATCTATCCTTGTAGTCAATCCCAGCACCGCAATCGGTGCTTTTCTCGCTTGAGCGATGTCGAATAGGTTGTACAGCAGAGTTTGGCGGGCATGCGTCGCAAACAGGTCGAACTCGTCAATAATGAAGACAACAGACTTGGATGTCACACCATCTTCAGCCCCCATGATTTCTGCCGGATGGGATAGAAGTGCTAACAGTGAGGCCATCGTATCGGCATAATTGCTTGTCTAGTCAAAGTTAGTTCATAATTCATAGATCGTATGTAATACGAAGTACCTTATTCGCGAGATCATCTTCGAGATTCATCTCCTTGCCGAGTTGGCGCCATATCTCCTTAAGAGCTAGCTTGTCATCGGTATGAATAAACCCATTGAGACGAACCACATGGAACTCCTCTTGGTGCTCAGCTCGAAGATTTGAGATGATCTCCTCCACCAACGCAGTCTTACCGCAACCTCTTGCACCAATGACCATCATCGAATTCCCTTCTCCAGCCAAGACCGTCTGTTCAACGAGTTGGAATGCCTTGTCATAAGCATCATCCTGCCCACAAAGCTTTATACGACGCCTCCCAGAACAGCGATCCAGTAGCACGCGCTGCATATGCCGTAGATGTTGCTCGAAATTCGGAATACTGGGAGTTTCGGTCGCTTTCGTCACACGTATCTGTTTCTTTGGGGTCGTTTTGGGGCCCGAGAGAACATCGTCTTGGGAACAATTTCTACAAATCCAATCGCCTTCTGGGATGATCGGTATACCGTAGCATTTCTGGTGAACTGCCATGTCACAATTCTCGCAAAATATGATCTCATTCGGCGGTTCCGAGTCTGGCTTCAAACACATAGCACACACTTCGTCGTCCTCGCTATCTTGCTCTTCGTTCTCTTCGTCGGCAGAAGGTAGCGTGACGTCATTTACAACACCCGATGTTTTCTCTTGTGTTCCACGTTTAGTAGGTTTCGTCGGTATGTCTTCGAAGAAAATGTCGTTCTCCTTTCCGCTGTCTCCTTCAGTAAAAGCCACGTTCTTCCGAGGTCGACCAGGCTTCTTCTTCTGTGGCGACAATATCCCTTTGATGCCCGGGTCTATACTGCGTGCCGGGAGCTCGGTCCTGGTCAGCTTTATGTTACGCGCGGGCACATCAACCTTGTCCTGTTTCTTAGCGGGTTGTCTACCCTTTCTTTTCGGTATCTCTTGTGTGTCTTGGTCGGGTTCACTCTGAACGGGTGGAGCTAGTTTCTTTTTACGCGATTCTAGTAACCGAGTGGTTACACTCTTTCTTGAAGAGGTGCTTGATACTGCACCAATAGTCTTCCTCCCAGCCGGCGTATATTGAAGCTCATCCTGACTTGTACTTGTTTCCTCTCGGCCACGCTCTACCTCGTCATCAGATTCAGGTACATCGTATACACTGCTGGAGGGTCGCTGATTTTTCTTCGGTGAGGGGAGGCCGAGTTTCTTGTGCTTGATTGGGAGATTCTGCAACGAATTGACTAATTTCGTATTGTTGGAAGATTCGGGCACATCATAGGCGGTATCATTAGTCGAGGTCACTTTGTCTGGTTGGGTTTTGTTCTTCGAGCTTCCTCTTCGACCCAACCCAAATACGTTTCCGATCGCAGAAGTAATAGCGGAGAGGCCTTTTGGGGTTGACGGTGATTGTGTCGTAAAGTTATTAAGACGACGCCTCTTAACAGCGGCGGTCATGCTTGGTGTCGCTGCTGGCGACGAGTCCGGCTCATCGTCAGGACGACTTCGTTTTCTTCGACCGGAAGGAGTCTGTACGGTTGCCATATTGTAAATGGAAATGCTTCCCTATTTAAATGTCCGTCCACGAATGTTAGCTGCAGGGAAATTCGGGCATGTCGACATTAACTACGCGTGAAGATGAAGGTGAAATAAGTTGTTGTAGATGCGTAAATGCGACCCTATTAGTTTGTGAAGTTCCATATTAAATTAGTCGCTAAGAAATAACCCCTGGCAGCTGCCTCATTAGAACGCGACGCGCCTGCCGTAAGTAATTTACGCGCTCTGCCGGGTTCTAAATAGGCACTAGCCCTACAATTTAGCGGACCCGTCGGACCTAGGTAGCCCCGATCAACCACTAATCGGCCATCGGTTCTTTCTATCTTCAACGTTCCGCCCTCCGTACCTATATTTTATTTTAGAATCGACAGTCATTTCTACGAGGGAAATGCAAGCCGAGTATTCAATTACAACTAACAATTTTATAACATATGGAGGAGATCAAGCTTATCTCTAAACATACAAAGATCATTGATCCTCTGATACCTCCAAGAGCTCTTCATACAAGGCGATGTTAACTCCCTGGCTAGGCTTAGCCACGACCTCCGTCTCGAGTTTCTGCGCATACCAATCCCCACGGTACTCGATGCGCTCGTATTTCTGAAGGATTTTGACCACTGAACATGATCATTGTCAAAAATGTTATTTCTTATCACCGAGGGAGAAAAATAGATATTTGGTACTTACTGCAATAAGCCATCTCAGTCAAAGCAAAGTTTTGACCTACGCAAATACGCGGTCCGCCGTTGAAGGGCACGTACTGCCAAGACTTGGGTATCCAGTTCTCCCACCTCTCAGGTGAGAAGAGTGCAGGATCTTCGAACTTCTCCGATACGGGAGGATACAATTCTTTCCGCCGCTGCATCGCGAGCGTGCTGTAGAATACGATGTCGCCCTTTACTACCGAGATAGGCGGCTGGCCTGGTTTACCTGGCAGGGTTGTGTCACTCAGCGCCCCCCGTATGTTATACGGAACGGCAGGATAAAGCCTGAGTGTCTCATTTAGGGTATGTCGCAGATACGGCATATCCTTGAGATCTTGGTACGTCGGAGTTCGCGTGCGACCAACAGAGTTAATGATCTCATCACGAAGCTTCTTATACTTTTCGGGATAGTGAGACAACTCATAAAATGCCCACGATAGTGTTGCAGCTGTCGTGTCGCGGCCGGCCAGGAGCACAGCGATGATTTGGTCGCGGAGTGCTTGACGATTGCGAGTATATCGTACTATATTGTGTAGGAAGGTAAAGTGCTTGTCGGAGTTGGAGAGCTTCTCTAGCTCCTCTTGCGGCAATGCAAGTGCCTGCTCGATGTATGGCATAATAAATTGGTCTATAACCCGGATCCCTTCATTGTATTGATGACGGGGAACAAGGGCTTCAAATGGCCTGCATTCATGATTTAGCATACTAACCTACAAGGACAACAGTCTAGGGATCGATTTAATTATTACCCGATAGCAGTGACCAACATCTGGATCCTTTGGACGTCATTGAATGCCTTTGCAAATCCACTCTGAGGACTCCACGAGGTTAGCAGGAATAGTGGTAGCGGTCAACATAATTTCAAAGACTGAACATACTTGCTTAAGCTGTCAACACTGGCCCCTAAAAGGAAGTCCGTGGTAACATCCAGAGTCATTCGATAGAGAAGATCCATGATATCGACAGTTTGTCCTTGAGATGGAAGCTTCGCAAGGAGCTTCATCATCCATTTTTCGAACGTGGCTAAATCAGCGACCCTATCTTTTACAAACATCGGACGAATCAAGCTACGACTATCGTGCCAAAGCTGACCATCGGTCGTGAAGATGCTATCTCCAAGAAAGGGTCTCCATAGATCGTGGAATCGGGGTCCTTTCCCGTAATCGGCAAACTGAGCCGCGAGTACTGCTTTGATATGCTCCGGATCTCTAGTGAAAAGATATCTCTCCCGTGGGAATATCTGGATCTCGATCAAATCCGGACATTCAGGAGTCGCCGCGTCGAAGAAACTATTGTATTGCTCCAGGAGCTCATTCCTCATCATAGCCTTTGCTGTATCAAGAAACCACGAGGCCGCTTTTTAATTACGTTTTATATGTAAGCAACACTATTCTCAAGTTGACAAGATTGGATCATCCCCGCATGAGACTTCAAACCAGCACTTACCTACGAGAGGGTTCCTTGTTAGACGGGGGGCTCGCACTCCTCCTATCTTCTTGATCCTCAACTCATGCCTCTTTAGTTGAACCACATAGTAGATCAAGGCGCAAACCAGTAACAAGGCTCCAGCAAGGCCAATATGATTGAATGAAACTTGAGCTAGCATCGTGACTTAACCCGCCTTCATGTGTAAGCTTCTAACGATACTTCTATTCGTATTATCGATTGATTAGAACATCTTTAGACATAATATATGTATCTTGCAAATAGATGCCTAGGTATCTAGACCTTATCAAGTCCTACTAAGCATGTGAAGCCACGTCCACCAGTAATCGATCACGAGCGTAAGCCGTCAATCCTTTCTCAACGTGAAAAGAGCGTCTATATTGATTCGGCGTACTGCCGTGTGGTATAGCCAATTGGCCTCCCCGCAGGGTGTCATCGTCCATCCATCCTTGCATCCCCCGCAACCCATCGTAGCCCTTACCCCTAATCATGGAATAGAATAGGTAATTATCTGCATAAAACATCAGAGCTGAACCCGTTAGTATGGATTGTCCCAGGTTCTTGCTTGTTCTTTTATGTTGTATAGTTAATCCCGACATTTCTAGTTGAGCTCGCCGTTCCCACCACTCCTCCTAGCTATTCTCTCCTCCAAGTTGCCCCCTAGGAACGTACTTAATACCCACCTAGGTAAATAGGAGAATATACCACACCTAAGTATAGACCGTACCTCTACCGTCCATAATGCCGCTCAAGATCCGCCCCTAAATCCCGCCGTCCACCCGCAGCCCCAGCCTTCCGCTCCACAGCCCGCGCGACGTCGCCCTCTCCGGGAGGATGCATCTGTTCGCCCTCCAGCTCGCGGGACCTGTCCATCTCCTCCTGTGACCGGCCGTGTCTCTCCTCTCCAGCCGGCGCGCCGCGGATCCCGTACCCCAGGCTCGAGGGCGTGGCCTCGGCTATCTTTCCGGGCTGGGTCGGCGGCATGCGTTCCGCGATGTTGTATCCGGGCGTGTGTTCTTGTGCTCTGCGCTGCTCTTGGGGAGTGGATGTCGCTGGGTTACTTCCGGTTTCGTAGGCGGCGCTCTTGGGCGGTTGTGGTGGTCCTGAGGGGTTCATTTTGGGTGACGGGTGACGGGTGATGGGTGATGGGTAAGAGGGATATGATATTTATTAGGTTTTTAGTTACATAAATGTAAGCACTCATAAATTATCGGCATTATATAGGTAGTGAATAAATCGGTTGCTGTGAGATGAATATCTTCCATATGACGCAATGATGCAGAATGCCTAACTTGATCGATGACGTCGATAGGACTCCAGAGCAAAGAATTATTTCCAGTAGTGGCACGACAGCTATACGATTCTTGGTTCATATTAAAAGGCCTCCAAAGATAAACATGCCCGCATGTAGACCAACTCGGAAATTCGATACGACGCTTACCTAGGTAGAATGTAAGTTAGTATAACGTAGTAAACTAACTGAAGCAATAGTTTTTTCCATGTACCATAAATTAACATTGCAAGAATTATATGATATCAATACATTCCTAACGCACTCCGAGCGTGACAATTATCTATATTAACACACGTAGCATACTATCTGACAACCCCTGAGTTGAAAATAGAAATACCTAGGTACATGTACTAGCCCAAACATCGCTGCAATTAAGAGCCTTCAAGAGTATCCGTCGGGAAACTCGATATGTTGATGACATCGGCGTAATGGTATCAAGTAAATGGATGTGTAGAGCACCAATACACGTATATTTAATGTTACCAAAACTCATCTGCTCCTTTTAGAATATATGGCAATCACTAAGCCGGTAGATAGCCGTTATTAAGCCCAGATCGTGATGTCGATTATAGCGGGCCAGCCAAACCCCAAAATTCAAGGTGATAAAGATCATCTAAATGAGTCGGTATTGGCGCCTCATTCATCACTGACGCAAGACTATTATTCTGGCCTTCGTCATCACGAAATCTTCGCCATTCGGGTCTCTTTATCGTATCTAGGTCCCACTTCACGTGTCTGTCTAGTAGGTTGGTGTCGGATTTATTGCGTAAGAATTCCAGGTAACCTTGATACCACGGTCCTTTATTTAGCACACGGGGGATGCAAAACTCCTCCGTCGGCCGGGATTCTGATGGGGTATTAAACCACCATTTTCGTGTATATATCAAGTAGTCCCTACGCAGAGCAAGCTCGAATGGAGAGAGGATCTCCGTCGATGTGTTTGGCGATCGTCGGTATTCCGTGTCTGGGCGAGGATGAAATGGATCCGCCCCGAGTTCGAAGAGCAAATCAGCTGTCATTGGGTCCTCTAGCTCCTTTAAAGCTACCATCATAGGCGTATTGTAATTTTCATCCAGAGCGTTGACATCCATCCCCAAGCTGACAAGACGCCGTATAAGTGTACAGCATCTATGAGACACAGCGACGTGAAGCCAATGTTTAAATTCCTTTGTTTCCTTCCAGGATGATAGAGCGCCGCGATCGAGGAGCGCGTGACATATTCCGTCCTGCCATGAGGAGACCACTGCGGTTTCGAAAAGGGTCTCGATCTGCTGGGACGATAAGAAGTCTAGGCAGAAGCTAAGGCATTCGCTGTGAAAATCGATGCCCTCGCTGTCATCCTTGATTATTTGCTTAGCCCAAATGAAAGCTAGCTCATTAGTTGCGTGGGAAGTTGCGCCATGATACTTTAGTATCTTAGCTTGCATGAACCGCTGCTCTTGTAAGCATGTTTCGAAAAGTTCGTTGATATATCCGTCGCGAAAATTTCGACGTGTTGCCGACGCGAGGATATTCTCAAGCATCCATCCTTGTCCTGGAGGACACCGATCAATAGCATTTTCTAGCTGGGTACGGCTATCAGTGTTGGTCTTACTATTATGACGCCGAGTATCTAGGCGAGCGCCTGCTAAACACAAGTAGCTTATTTTATCAGTAAAATCCCCGCTGCAATGCAAATAGCCATCGTTGTCATTCTTGCCATAGATGATCCATAGCATATCAAACGGTGTCATGCCATCTTTTTCCCTTGGGGCTTCTACATCAGCCCCTGCTCTTAGTAGTTCATAAGTAGTTGCTGCAGTGCCTTGTTCGATGGCTGAGCAGAGTGCTGTATCTTTATGGAACGATCTATCGAGAGCGGCGCCGTTTGCAATGATCTTGCGAAGTACTTCGATTTGATACGATTGATCTTTTGGTCCCTCCAGAGTATTAAAATTGCGTGCGCATACAACCAAGGGAGCTTCATCGTCATCTTTTGTCGGATTTACTTTTGCCCCGGCATCCAGCAACACCATCGCATTATCGAGATGTTGCTTTTTAAGAGCTCTAACAAGAGGACTGTGGAAGTTGTGTACTGCATTCTTATCGGCACCAAGATCCAGTAATAACTGTATTGTCTTCGTATTGTGGGGCCGCTCTACTGCGTAATGCAAAGGTGTCATAGCATCTTGGTCGTGCTGATTGACGTTGATTCCCATCGTCTTGACTAGATACTCTATCACTGTGGGTAAACCATTCAAAGCAGCCAAGTGTATGGCTGACTTGTTCGTGTTGGTCTTGAATTGGTATTTGGCGCCGCGTGAAAGCAATAGTATGGAAGTAGACTCTCGACGGCATATTATTGCAGAGTGTAGGGCTGAGTACCCAGGCGATACATGATCTTGAGGCCAGGGAGATACGGGGAATGGTGAATCGACAACTATTCGTTCGCAGGGCGTACATTCCAAGGGTACACCGTGATCAAGTAGCCATGACACAGTGGCATCGTGCCCAGACCTAGCTGCGACTTTCATGGGATCGTCTTCGAAAAAAGAACCTAGATCGTGTTGATATTTGACTGCTATATCAAGGATATCAATTCTATTTCTCATAGCGGCCCAAATGGCAGCTGAGATGAATGCATCATGGAAATTTTGGTGGATTCCCCATTTGCCATTATACTTCCAGAGGATGGGATTGAATACATAGTGAAGTCGTCGATTGGTACGGGCCAGCGATGCAAAACTGTACTGTGTTGCAGCACATGCATTCCGACCCCAATAGCCAGACTGGCTAGCAATGATGAGTAGGATCTCGGTAGGTAAGTAGTCCAGCGTTATTGTCATTGTTGTCTATTTGGTTTGAAGAGGTCGCAAAGGTTACAAAATACGGAATTTGACGCGTCGAAGTTGGTAATCTGGCAACCTGGCAGCCTGGCAATCCATAATCTAACACAAAGCGTCGTTAAGCTTTGGCCATAAACTGGCTATTGCTTTTTGCTTTATTATCTGGTGCATCGTAGCTAATTGCGCCCATAAGACGCCGTCAGCTCAAAACTTACCGCATTCAGATATTGGGACATGAAGCCATCCTTATTAGGTGGGATGAGAATCTCCATCTAGCTAGTATCAGTAAAAAAAGTATGTATGTATTTAGGTATGTTTTATAGAGAAGGGGGAGAAAGTATGTAACTACTAGGTACATAAGTGGGTAATATAAGGTTAAGAAGCCATACAAAGGGGAGCTTACGAAGCGTAGGTTCAAGCCCAAAGTATAAATTTACTTTAGCGTAATACTTATGAATTAAATGTTCTCAAACTTACAGGGAAATGTCAAATATTTCAATGTCAAATGTAGAGATTTCAAGGTTCAGTTTCCAGGAAGTATTTATAGTGCTTCGTACCTACTTCCAGATAATAGCATTGAAAGCTCCAGCTTTACGTATTGTAAATCGTCGGCAAAACCACGGATAAATGAGAGCATTAGCCCCGCTATAATTTTTCAGGTGGTTCACGCAGGATTCACATTGTCCTAAACTAAAAAGTTATCAGAGACTTTGCTTCGCTGTAAACAGCAAATAACAGATTGTCTATAATTCAGGATGGGTCGGCCAAAGCGCGATATTCGTGCGACTGCGGAAGAGGCGACGACACCTCCTTACCAACTTACTGAAACCCAGTCGCTCGCTAAGGTGATCAAGGCCGAAGGTAACAGCCTCTACGCCTGCTCTCTACCCAATCAACAAACCGTCCTCGTCGAGCTTGCATCTCGTTTCCGCAATACCGTTTGGATCAGGCGTGGGGGTTATGTCTTGGTACAGTTGATTTCCTCCGAGGAAGAAAAAGGGAGAGTGGAAGGCGAGATCATCAATGTCGTTGGAGACGAAAAACAGTGGCGGAAACAGACCTATTGGTCAGCTTGATTCAACCCTGCCTCGAAGACTGAGAATCTGACATAGTGCCTAGGCCCAAGGAGTTTCCACGGTTCACCTACGAGGATGAAGACGAAGACTCGACAACTGGCAAGATGCCACCATTAGATTCCGAAGATGAACATTAGATTTGCATTCAAATGTCAGTCGCAGTTGCTAGACTCATGTGTCTTTGCGCTTGCCTGCGGAGTCACGTAGCGATGCTGTAGGTTCGTCCCTCTGGAGGGCCACGAAAGCGACAGTTGTGGCGAGGACGCCAACCACAATACACGAGCTGATAGGAGTGCTCGGGAAGACGTTCCAAGCCCATTCTTGAAGAGCCCAGAGCCCATATTGGACGACGGGGTGAGCTCCACTCCTCCAGAGAAGGTACGGGGTGGACCATGCGAGATAGGAGTAGAACTGGTAGTGCAGAGTCCGCGCGAAGAGGAGTCCAATGATATTTGCCGAGAGAATGGTCGTCGTTACATACTCGGGGGTCACGCGTGACGCCACCACGCGCTCCTCTTGTGGACTGAAGGGCGAGCTGAACTGGAGAATCGGCATGATCATTGCGGAGAGAGGTTTTTGTGCGGGCTTCAACCATTTGTTGATGATAAACCCTGCCAAAACCGTGGCATGCATAGTTAAGAGGGCCAAGGAAAATGGCCGACTGAGAAATATCTCCTCCCCCACGAAGCGCCAGTTGACGGTCCATTTGAAAAAGAATTGCCTAGTTAGCTCGAATGCTTTACCGGCATAGCCCGTTGCATTTTCTTGCAGGAACGGATAGGCGATAGCAATTTGAATATTAGCCATGATCATAGCACATTTCAAACTACCCGAGAATCCCCGACCTAAAAGAAGGACAACACCAATAGCAGGAAGCACTAGCAATAATGACATCTTGATCCCTAAACCCCACGAGTACACAATACTCGCAGCAGTCCAATCTCGTCGTTGGAATAGGTATATGGCGAGCCAGAGAGAAAATGTAGCGAAGCAATCATTGAAACAGCGTAACACGAAGACACTGTGGAGTCGCTTCGAGAGGACAAGTAAAGGGAAGACGTATGGAGGCACCTATTCATGGACACTTGTCAGTAGACGCCTTTATCCAATAGCTTGTAACCTACCTTTGCCCTCCAGTAGCAGGCCATTACTAGTGCCAGGGTCGCCATGTATAGAACTGCAAATATCTTTTGCGCAAGAAGTATATCCTTGCCTTCATCCGTCAGATAGTAGAGGGCGGTATACGTGTAGACGTGCGCGGCGGGATAAACGAGGGGTCCAGTGCCTCCTTTAATGACGGTATAGTCGTATTCACCAGACACAAACTGAGAAACTTGTTCCATGTATGCCTTCCAATCGATTTCTGTGTCTACCAAAGAGAGAATGGTAAGTAAAGATATTCTTGACAAATGCGCGACCAACAAGTCTCGGGATTCTTACATGGAATCTTCCATATAATGAGTGCGCAAAGCACTGCATCGAGGATGAACAAGCATGGTGGAACGAGTTTTGACAGACCACTGCGACCGTTGGCAATATTCAATGCCAGCGCGACAGCTGATTTGGCGAGACCGGGCCTTGGAGTTGCCATTGTAGTTGTCGACGTTGTTGAAGCTCCAAGCTTGAGACGCTACTGCTGCATTTGATAGGTAAGACCCGTGACAGGACACGTTCTATAAAGTGGGTACCTTAAGATACCTAAAGGTACCTAGAAAAGGTACCTAGTAGGTCCTAGCTATCACTGATGCATCATTACATTCAGCACCTTCCGAAAGACGCCGTTCACTTGCATTGGAAGTATCTATCTGCCTACTGTACAGCGATTAGAAGTATGCTCCTAATAGTTTTATATCTAATATAAATATCTCTATAAAAGACATTGCAATCTCACCTACATATTCATATGTGATTCTGACAACTAAAAGGGTAGCATCACGCGAGATGGGCTGCTACCAACATTATAATCGAGGACGACTAAGTACCTCACCCACAAGCGCAACGACATCCTGCGCGCAGCCATACGAGCCCTGATAGCCCCAACCAGCATGTCCGTAATTGTGAACGACCCACGTATCATCGATATTCTCTTTCTCGATCCTCACGCCACCCTCCCTATACGGACGGAGACCTACGCCGTGGCGGATAACATCCAAGCCCTCTACACCCTTTCCGTTCGTAAGCTCGGGCATCATTTCCACCGCCCTCCGCATGATCCGCATGGCGATATTCGGGTCAGGCTGGCTCTCCCACTGCCCCTTCTGATACGTCCCTCCCAGGATGGTACCACCGCCAGAGGCCCGCATCATGATGTAGCAGAGCTCGTCAGCGGCGTCGTCCGTGCCGGATTTGGTCACCATGTACGGCGCCTCGTTTCTGACGACGACGACCTGGCCGCGGACCGGCACGACCTTCTGGTCCATCACCCCGCCGAGCCTAGACGCCATGAGCCCCGTAGCATTGACCACGACGTCAGCTTTTCCGCCGCTGTGGCTCAGGGCCGCGGCTTCGGAAATGTGCTTGAGCTGGCCGCGACGGAACACGACGCCGTTCGCCCTGCATTGCCCCACTAGCCACGGCGTGTACAGCATTACGTTTATGCACGCCGAGCCGAATTCGCAACCCGAGGCCATGCCCGTGGGAAGCTCGTCCTTGGAAAGCTCCCGGAAGTCGTCGAATAGCGTCTTGTACCATGGATTCTCGTCGAAGAGACCATCGAAGTTGTAGCCCCCTTTTCTCAGGCTTTCAATGTCCTTCTCTCGGCGGTATACGCGAGACTCTGTGCATATTGTTTAGGCTCGCTGGATCACTCACTATGCCGAGCTTAGGTACTTACTCAGTAAGTGTATCCCCGCCTCGGGCACCTCGGTAGCGAGTTTCTTGATTTCTGGCCATGTACGACGTTCCCAAGAGCTGTTCTTCTCCGTTGCCATAGGTAGGACATTGGCTCCAGCCCATGGCGATGCATACTCGATGTCATAATCGCCTGGCATATGCTTCGCTACGACCGTTACGACATTGTCCTTTTGTTTCGATAGCAAGAATGCAGACGTAAGGCCTGACACTCCCGCACTATCAACTGCTGCGTTAGCGTTTGGGGTCCTCGGGAGGGGAAACGCCGTCCCAACTTACCCGACGACTACGATGTTCGGCATTTTTGGCGATAATGAGATATCTCCACGGATTGACCTTGGTTAAGACCACAATTGTGGATACAAACCCATAAGTTATCAACAACACAATGAAGCATAAAGCAGTATTTCTAACAAGCGTGGTGCAGTGATCTCTGGATGGGACTGTCGTCTAACTGTCTGGAGTCATCCCGTAATGCGGAAGTAAAGGATGCATTCCGCGTTTACACTAGCCGTCGTGGTCACGATATGGTTCGATAGTGTGGTGGTGACTCCGCACCGGCACTCCGCTTCTTACTTAGTTAGTCACTTGCCGAGATCGACTCGCACCCGCTGTGGGGTCCCCCGAAGCCGGTCTGAGGCCGACCTGTAAGCTTCTATCAATGTGATAGGAAGTCCAAATATTCTCGTACTCTCTACCTATCAAACCTCGGGATTTTCGGTATGATCTGGTTTACGTACACACCGAACAACACCTTAAACTTATGCTTTGTAATGTGATAGCACTCCTCCTCGTTAGGGGTATATTTGATTTGGAAAGCCTTAGGAGTCGCTCACTATCGCAAAACACGAGATATTGCCGAGTATAAACAAAGAGAAGGCATGCGGTCGCAGTAAGTGGCCGCCCCTCCACTTCCAAGAAGATACTTGGCCCTTTGACCCTTTTTAACCAACTTCTATACCACATGAAACGATGAGAATGGTCCAAACTGCCGCCCTAGACGCCTGCAATTTGGTAAATGGGGAGATAAATAGTGACCCAATCTCCCTCGTGCAGCATTTAAATTCGTTGTAAGTTCCACATTTTGCGTCGAGTTGATCCGAGAGTCCGAGTTTGACACGCGGACCGGCGGATGATTTGGTGACTAGGCGTCTAGCCAGCGTTCAGCTCCCAGGGGTGATCGAATCCTTACCGGACAACCATCTTTCGACCAAAGAGAGAGGCTCGATGCTCGATGCTCGAATGGACGAGCAGGGTGCGGTGTGTTATTATGTTATAATCTTCATGGTTTCACTTGGAAGGATGGTCTAGCTCTCAGTGTTCACTTTGAAGACATCTCTAAAACAACTCCACACTCTCCACCGAGAAAATGAAATCAATCGCCCCGTCCGCTCGCGTCAGGAACCCGCTGGATCCGGCGCCGGGTAAGGTGCTAATGCTTCCGACCATAACTCTGGGACGAGGCTTGCAGGAAGCTGCAGGTACTGCTTGGAATTGTTGGCAAGATACATGCTCCTGGTGATTTGTGACAGAATTCTACGAGAAACCTGCCGTGCTGCACCGAGATGGGTACCTGGAAACGCATAAGCCGTGTGAATATAGAAGTCTCGGTTGATTCAAGAATTTCTTTATGAGCAAAAGTGATAGGGCCACGATTACATTGACTAATGTCACCTATACATATTAAGTAAAAAACTACCATCACGATATCAATCGTATCAAAAACGTAGATAGTATATATTGAATAGGTAGATCAACCGATCGTATGCTTGTTAGATCATCGTCCCCGTTACATTCTTGTGGCGTTGTTACTACTTCTGACATGTGTCTTGAGATGGCATCCGCTCTTCGGCTGAATTGAGAAATAATAAGATGTTACTGACATTCAACTATACGCGTATGGAGACAGCCGAAGGGAATAGGCAAGCTGTCATGAAGACCCCGTAGATCCAGGCGCGACAAGAATAGAATATGCATGCCTACCTCTTGAAGAACATGGATCCGGGAAATGAATCGAGGCAAGATGCAGGAGTCCTAAAATTCGGCAAGTGGTCTTTGGACAGATGGATGCGACGCCTAGAATTTTCTTCCCGCAACTAAGCCGCGTCTAGCACGTACATACACCTAGTACCACGTTGTGCTTTTGCGCGATTTCGGTGTGGCTTGAGGAAGAGAGAGGTCCTAGGATGGGTGATATTATGGTGTAATATAGATATATCATTCGAATTTTCTGAATAATATTTCTGCTGGTCCATGGCTTCATGCAGCAATCCGAAGAGGCTTCCATCAATCTGCTACCGGAATTTATTAGTTTCCCGACTCCAACAAGTAGGGTCCAGCGGGCTGCGGGAAGGGTGACAGCCAAGAAATTCCATGTAGACGATTAGCCGGCTTGCAGATCTGATGATTCTTGCAGAGGGCGATCTTGTTTAAGTTAGGCATGTATATACAACTCTAAGTTGGAATGGACGGGCATATTATCGCTCAATGCTACAGGGCAAAAATATGACGTCGCATAGGAACTCCGATGGTACGATTTCACTGTATCCAAAAGTTCCTTGGGGGTTGCTTGGAACGGATTTTGGAGGTACTGTATATCTCGACTCCTGTCTAAAAGGTAACGGCGGTTGAACAACCTGGCAACTTGGCTCAGTCAACCCGGGATACTTCCGATCTGACCATGACCATATGCACGTCATTGCCTTGGCCTATAAGATCGAGTATAGATATTACTATAGAGTAAACAGTGCGCCGGTGCATGTGCTGCAGCTTTCAGACTTGATCGGTATGCTCCTAAAACACTCGTAAACTATCAACTTGAAATATGGAAGGACTGTGCGTTCCGTTAGAGCGTGTCCGAGCAAAATTGATTACTATGTCTAAACCTAGTAGACCCGACCCCTCAGAGGATGGAAGCGGTGAAGAAAATACCGACCACTGAGGGAAAGGAAATAAGCGTACCAGCCAGCTGGGTCTTCGCAAGAAAGGCGGACGGGATGAAGAAGGTGGATGCGAGTATGCGGCGCTGCTGCACCGAATAGCCGGGACTGACGAGAGAATGAGAACGAAATGTATTATTTGATGACACATACGTACAATGCGCCCAGTGGCTGATTCCCAAGACTTTAGGTCGCATACGTAGAAGGTTGTACAGTGTGGTTTCACGACCAGCCGGGATCGTGCGTTCCAGTGCATTGGGATAACGCCCAAGCGTGAGTGGTTCCATATCAACGGCCCGAGAATCCAATTTGTTGGAACTCGAAGGGTTTTGCCACGAGTAAATTGATATGTCTTAGACGTAAGAATTCATGCAAACCACCAATCGACCTTTGCCGACTGATACCTCATGATGGCTTGCTGATGATCTTAGATAAACCTTCTACCACCAAGATTCGGCTAAGCGTCTGAATAAGGACACCAATGTAAATACTATATTAGATCGACCCAGCTGAGGGATGAAGGAAGAAGGAAGCAATAATCGAACACGCTCCACGGGCATCGGAGTATGGATATGTCGACGGATTGCTTAGAGGATTTCTCCCTTTATCCTTCATAGCGCGGTAAAGCCGAGAACCGTCAAGTTTCTTTGACAGCGAAGCTGTTTCGAGCTGCGTCGAGTCAACGCAGTGCGAGGAGGGTTACATGGTGTAAGATGTGCGGGGCTATTCGCTGCAGAAACTGTCGACCTATTACCGTTATATGTAGCCTTCCCAATGCGGTGGTGGAGAGGGGGGGATGTCTGTCGGCGAGAACGATGCATGAGAAAGGGTTGAAATTGTTTTGCCATTCTCGGAAATCTTGAATTGTTTGAAATGTACGAGGTCAAGCGCACTGAATATCGGCTGATTCGTCATATTGAAGCTGTTAGGAAAACACGTTGTGTCAAGCGACGTGTCATCGCTAAACGCTACATATGATTTCCGCCCTTCGCCCACACCACCCCAGGCTATCGGAACAACCTGATTAAATAAGATAACCCAGCTGAAGGGTCGCTGACTCGGAATGCCGCGTCCACGGTATTTTGAAGTAGCTTTGCGGGGGGGCTCGCATCCACCCCCCGTATTATTTCTGTGATGAGATGAGATGAGATATTCTTTTCCGAATAACTGAAGAATCGGGACGGCATGCGAATTATTGAAGCTAGATAATACCATATGTATACTTAAGTACTTTTACCCTAACAACCTCAACGTGAGATCTGAAACTCGAAGAGCGTGGATAAAGCTTTGGTACGATTACCGTTCAGTCGGGTTCTTAGCCTGAGACCGAATAGCGAAATCATAGTGTAATTACTAGGTAGTGCAATAGTGCAATACAATGCGCTGGCCAGGGGTTAAAGAGGTTCGATAGGGAAGGCTGCTAGCTGTTGGCAAGCGGCAAGCCAGCTCGCGCGAGATCTCCACCAACCGCATATCGATGTACAGTTGTATACAAAAGCAGCTAATGATGATTCGGAGACACACCACGTTGAAAGAGCCACATGTCTACCTACTAGGGAGGTAGCTAAGGGTATGACGCTTTCTGCAGACATATCCAAGTCGGGTTTGGTCGCGGACACCATCGAAGAATAAGAAGATAGAATATGCAAGAGATATGCAAAGATCAATACCCAAATGATGGAACTTGGTAACGATGAATGAGGTGAGTGAGGCATGAGGCATGAAGGGCGATGGACTCGATGGGCTAGATGGACTAAATGGGGTTGCGGGCGGGAGAATCGATATTGGGAACTAATTATGGGGAAAAGTAATTGAAGGCGACTGGGCGATTACCCAGCAAAAGATAGTTTGGCACCTTCCGGCTGGTCTAACATCTCAGGCTGTCCCATCTAGTTGGATCCGTACATATTTAGGTACATTAGTAGTTCGATGTACATCCACACCTTTTCTTCTCCCCTCCAATACAATCCAATCCATGGGTGTCCCAATGGAAAGAACAATCCACCGTTAGCAAGCGGGCAAGTGGGAACATACATCACATAATATCCAATGTCCAGCCGCTCGGGAACCAGGTCCACCGTTTACCGGATGCAAGTACCATGAAGTATCGTACCTACATACTACCGCACTTTCCAAGGTCATGACTATCGAAAGGCAACGACAACAACCTTCTTCCGCGGACTGCGGACTGATGCGACTGCGGGGAGAAACTCAATTCGACCAAACTATATTAGGTGACTTCGAAAGTTGAATGCATCGACAGGCCATGTGCGCTTCAATCCACTGACACAACGTAAGTGCAACCTTATGTATTGAAGTATTACATTATGTATAAACTCACATTGATTACCGACATACAAGACATACAATGATACAAGACATACTACCTAGGTAGGTAGACAACCCACACAAATCCGTACATGCATAATACTTAAAGGAACGTTGTATTAAACTCTCCCTTCTTTTTTTTCTCTCCTCACTTTTCCTCCCCTCCTTTGCAAACCTTGGAAGATGGATAATACCTGACTCGCCAATAGGCCGTCATCAACATGTAAGATTCCTATTCCCGTGCCGCCGTTGGTGACGCGTGGTACTGGAACAATTACGATTGATGATTGGATTCCCAGTAAATTCTTTGCAGATATTAGCGTAGCAGCAGCAGCAGAACAAACACGTTTTTACAGTGGATAAAGAAGGGAAAAAACTTCCTCTCACTCCTGGACCGGACTGCTGAACTGTAGGTACCTGCTGTACCTACTGTACCTGGTCGCTAGGCAGCTGGGCATGGTACCGACATGCTGGATGTGTGTATGATTTACCACTCCTACGTGCCTAAAATTGCAAAAGTTCCATTCTCATTACCCCAAAGCCGCACCGCTGGAAGCAGGGTTTGAGGTACACAACAACCCGAAGGACGCTACCGAATAAACCCTTGGTCACAATATCGCACTAGACCAAGATAGACGGGCTACCGTAAGCTAGTTAGCTAGCAGCCGACATGATGATACCTCCGTTTGGATGGGATCGATGGGAATGGATCTCATATTACATACAATGGACGAATTGATTATTGTCCTAATTGATGACATAAACGCCTGATGGGAAATAAGAGGTTGTTGGGCAACAACAGCGAGACATGGTAGAGTCCAGAGTCCCGACAGCCTTTCCTCTTCTCCGCGTATCGCAAATGGCCCCCAGTTTTCTCATTGATATCCGCCCCATGATCATGCTGTACATGCTGTACAGGTGTTCGTCCAGTGGTCTGTCTCCTGTAGCCGAGCCCTGTCGTGGTTTGGTAAATGCATGGATATCTTTACGCATAGTACCGTAAGGGAGGTACAAATACAATACATACTTTGCCCGCATACAGTATGCCGAGGTAGCCAGAACTGTACCGTAGTGCACTGTTGCATGTACCCATCGAATTGGACAGCAGGAACCCAAGGAGCCCTGGACTGTTGGACTGTTGGAACCAGAAAGAGGGAACGAGGGCTGCGAGGGAAAAGAGGAGCAGGTACCTTCTAGCAGCGCCTCCCCACCGAGACTACCACGCTACGAAGTACACTTGGTACATTTGGGTCGGTGGAAACTGCCAAGCAAAATGGCGATACCCACCGGTACGGAGCAGAAAGTCTGTTGGTTCAATCTCCTGTTGGCCTGCTGCGGTGCTAGGTCAGAGGTGTGCTAGGTACTGGCTGGTACTGGCTGGTAATGGCAGGCTCGTCCCACATCTTTCCATCTCTTCGTCTCTACACCTCTACGAACCTTGGAAACTGGTACCTTATTTACCTTATTTATTATCAATTCGACGTTAAACTAAAACCTTTTAACCTAGTAGAATGCTTCCTCACCTGGGGTGACCTGGCGCCGGGACAAACTACAAACTGCTGCTCGTAACAATCGAACTAACTAACTAATCAAAATTCCCACATTTTCTCCGTCTTCCTACTCTTGTTTCTTCTCCCCCTTCTTTCCTCACTCCTCGTCCAGCTCGCTCTGGAGATTTGTCGACACTACTAATCACCAGCAGAAACATCAATTGATGTTTTGCCTAGGTCATCTAGCTACTTCAGCACCGCCATCGCATCGGCATACCCGCCGAGTGAAATTTCCTTGTTGTTTGGAGGATTAATCGGGAGGGAAGGACGATCTAGCCGTCAACTTTGATGGCCTTAATATTCAAGTTGTAACCGGGAATTTATACCGATATTAACGTCACTGTCCTCACGCGTTTGGTCTCGAAGGCTACTGGTCCTAAACATTCCTGTCTGCCTTTTACAAAGTAAAGAGGCAGGCACCTCGACTCCCGCTCTGCCATTGTTGTCTCAGGTGTAAAACACATGGTTGCGCGGCTTGACTCGGGTAGAGCTCAGTAATTTGAAGCTTCGCATATCACATTCGCCAACCCTTATAATACACCAACACCTCCACGCCAATAATTCGTTACCGTCCTAATTTGGTCCACCACACCAGTGAAGGCAAGGGAGAAGAAGAAAAAAAATTAGTCACTATGAGTTCACCTGCTACCGTTCCCCCGACGGGGCCTATTCCGCAAGACGGCAAGAAGAGGAAGGGCGTGGGCAAAGTCTTGTACCAAGTGAGGACTGTCTTCAAAAGAAGTGGTCGCTCTAAGAAGGGCGCCGCCGGACCGACCGCGCCCGCCGCTGCCGTCATCACTAGGTAAATATTTGGTCCCCGTATGTAATATGTTAAAATATTGACAGTTTTCGAGTGAACCCACTGCTCCTGCTGCACCAACCAAGCTTGAGTATGAAGATGCTACCAGGATTCCTCGTATACAGATTCACGAGGAGCGTGCGAAGAAACTTGGCGCCAGATTCGGCCTAGAGATCAAACCGAACGAGTGGCATTCTAGTGAGGGAGATGTTCTCCGTGTTGAGAAATCAGTTCGTATGCGAATTCATCGTGAGTGCCATAGGTGCCATTCAGCTTTCGGCGCTGGCAATGAGTGCCCTGGTTGTCAGCATAGACGTTGCAAGAAGTGTACTCGAAACCCAGTCAAGCATACCGAGGAGGAAAAACAAGTCATTCGAGAAAAGAGAGAAGCCCTTATTCGGAGGAACAAGCAGTTGGGTCCTATCATTCCAAGCTACGACTACTCGGAGAATATTGTCTTGAAGCGACCCAGGAAGGCTGCCCAGGATCTCGTCTATAAGGGCAAGCCTCGCATGCGTGTTAGGAGACATTGTCATATGTGTAATAATCTGATTGCCGGTAACACGAAAGAGTCGAGGGTATGCGATAATTGCGGTCATAGGCGTTGTGATGACTGCCCACGAGATCCGTAAGTTAACTCTTAATGAAAGACTAACTCTGCTCCATCTTAACATGTCATAGGGACGGCAAGAAAAAGTATCCGTATGGATATCCCAATGATGCACCTGGTCAAGCGTTCAAAGGGGTACATGCCTGTCACGAGTGTAGGAGGAAATTCCCGGCAAATACGGAGGATGGGACCGAATGCCGAAATTGTTCGCACAAGAAGTGTTCCGACTGCCCAAGAGTCAAACCAAAGAAAGTCGATCCCGAACCAGACCCCGAAATTATGGAAGCTTTGCGAGCTCGCATGGAGTCTCTGAAGACAACAGAGAGCTAACAATTTTAAATACGCCCTACCTCGATGAAGAGCGTCTCAGAAGCGCAAACCAGCCGGAGTATTATTCAAGAATTGGCATCGTCCTGCATCGTCCATCTTTCAACAGACTTCGACCATCTCAGCAAAATCCGTCGCATTCGAGCAAGATGTATATATCAGACTTTCGGAAGGGAGTCCAATGTGCAACGAATTACGATATGAGCCGCATTATACCACCTTCAGCATGCATTGCCATTTAAAAATCATTGATACTTCTCCTTTCTTCGCGAACATTGACTAGACGGGATCGTTTTTAGGAGGCATGAAATATTATTTACCTACGTTGGCTATTGCGCGAGTCAGAATAAGCGCGAGGCAGTTTGCCCAAGTGGATATTTCTGCTGGCGGATCGCGATGGCATGCCCGGATGGAACCTATCATGTCAATGTCGCCTCATTCGAAATTTCGAATCGAGGCTTATTACGTTTAACCATATAGTTAAAATGCCGTTCTCTTCATATACATTTACTGATATCTACTACTACAATACTACTACTAAATTTTTGAAACTCTGATGGCACCTATCTAATGGTTCCTGTTACCGGCATTTTCGGGTGGCAAAATGAATGCATATTGAATTATTGGATAATCTTAGCCGGCACTCCTCGCTCTCCCTTGCATTCAGTAGTCCGTAATTAGCTAACCTTACCCTCCATCATCTAGCCTAACTACCGCCTAGAGCTCTATAGGTGGTATCTAGTCTGCTAGTGACGGTGGCTTGAATCCAATGCTCGGGCTACGTTGGTCGCACCGCATGTTCCTTGGATCACTCGCATGCTAAAGTAGAGAGATAATCTCATACCAATCCCATGCACCATTCCGATAGAGGGGTATGCGGCGAATCTAGCAGCCAACGTGTTCGTCGATGTTGCGACCCAGGTTTGCCTTGTGACGCAATTCTTAGGTGGGCTTACTACCTTGGATAACGCCTCTTCCATGGCATGGTCACCTTGGGAATTCTACGAACAGATGGGCAGTCAGACCATGGTCAAACAACGGTGTGTCGGAGCCATAATTTGACATGTCATAATAGTTGTTTTGAAGGAACCGTCCAATAGACGTTTGCGGCTCTTCTCTCGCAGCAGGTAGCTCGTTTATTCGATTCCTTCAGCTCCTATTATTAAGTATCGACCTATGTACATATCAGGACTCGGTTCTGGACCATAACCTCCGAAGCAGACACCGCTCATCTTCCGATTTAGACCGGTGCAATCGCCGAGAGACGCCTCGGCGCTTCGGGTGACGATGTGGATTGGCTGTGGTTGTTCCCAGGCTGTCGGGAATGGTACATCCCGTCTCTTTGGGCTAAGCTGTTGTGACCATAAAAAAGCAAAATTCTACATATTAACTTGAACCAACTGGTCGGGCAGGTGGCTTTTCCTTAGCAACCACTCAGGAGTCGAAAACGATGACCGGAATTCAAATAGGCAAAGCAGGCGCATTTTACAGTACCATGCCTTATCTACGATCAAAAAGATCAAACGATTCGATCGTGATCTTACCTGATTGAATTTAGGCGCCCGATTCCAAAGAGCGTTACGCGCTGTGACTTGTACTGCGCAAACCCGGCTACCGACATATGTACTAGGTACTGTACACAGTTACATAATATTTTCGCTTTCGGCATCGTAGAAACATCAAATCGTTAAGCTTGACCTGATCAAGTAAGTTTCGTAACGGCTTGACGAATGGGAACGTCAACGACAACTACCCGAATGTCGATGACAGGGTTAATCCGAACAGAAGTCCCGACAAGGGGATTAGGGGGGCAAAATCCCCTTTTTTGGGTAAAACCTAAATTAGACGAACTTCGAAGTGGATTAAGAGGCACAGACAGATGAAGAAGTCTTCTCCGCGGGTTACGGGCGGCTGCAGCGTTACCAAACGTGGTTTCCAGTTTGACACGAACGCAGATCTGCGACAAGCTTTTTGATTCCCTGATTCCTATCAGAAGGGGGATGTCAATTATGACAGGAGCGTGGTTTATGTACCTACGTACTTCGCAGATACATCCTTACTTTCCAAGTTCCAACCACCCCGGACCCGACCGACCAGGAGCCCATTTGTTCCTCCTTCCCTTGGAGCAAGACCCGAGAGATTGGATAGGCTATCCCTTTTCTGCCTAGCGGTAACCCCAGGGTTCCCAAACTGGTGATTCTTCCGTGTTACCCTTCCTTGGAGATAATGTGGTACCGAAGACCTTAAAAGTTTTAGCTTCGGGAGATTGGCGGGTTTCCTTCCTCTCTACGAAGTACAACTATGTACCTCCGCATGTATTTTTTTTTGTTAATGCACGTCCCTTCTTCGAAAATTGAATTTGTCAAGTTAGTCAGCTCCCTTTCTGAGTCTCACCTGAGGATTTAGGTAAGCAATGGAGCCTGTCAAGCTTCAAGCTTCCAAGTTCTCTCGCAAGGAATTGCCGTCAGAACCGAATCCCGCAAAGTTGTGGTCCTTGATATCGATTATGTCGACTTTGATTGGTCTATAAGTCGGTTTCCTTATGCATGAATAATTCTTCAACTCTACACATACGCAGTAATACCACCCCCTAGATACGCGCTGCAACAATAAAAAAAATCGATAGGACGTATGGATGTATATTTACATATTTACGTAGGAATCGGATTTCTAACGTCACTATTAACTTGCATCTATCGTCATGCCGGAAGAGACATACCGACATGAACCTTGCGACGACCAGATCTGCATATGCGCTGTTCCCGTCGAAATCGCGTTGCGTTGATCACATTTCAACATTTTCATCACTGGCATTGGCACTCACTGGCATCGTCACAACGCGGCGGCGGCGGAAACTCCCGTCCCGCATCCCGTCCTACAACCCCGTCCATCTCCCTGAAACGTCATTCCACCGTCCCTGGTCTGTGGTACGCCTTTTTTATTATCTCCAGCCTCTTTGAAAATATAAATTCAATCACATGTGTACATACATGTTACATAGTAGACAACGGGACGGTTCCGCGCAGTTTTTTCTAGAATCCTGAATGTACATGTCAGCATGTCCATACAACCTTCCCCGGACACCGCGGAATGTTTAAAATTTCCCGACGGCCAATCTTGCGCTTCTCAATACATAGTAATAATAAAGTTGTAATAACATCGTCTATTAAGGAAGAGGGAACTCGAAAGTAGAATGCCAGGCGAAACCGCACATGTTACCCGTCGACACTAACGCGGACCGAATATCCAGATTCCAGCCCTCGAGCTTAAATCCTTCCCCCCTCCCCTTCCCCCTTCCCTAGTCGTCGTACGTGATCTTTACATATGAGGTAAGGCCAGACCGGTTAGGGGATAGCAGAACGCCAACTCTATCTTTCCCCGAGATTGAATATGCCTGCGCTATGCACGACTGCCTTGGTCCTCACCCCTACAAACGCGCCCCGGCAGCCTGCTTCTCAGAACCCGGTTTTAAAAGGAGGCGGTGCCCTAAGGCTTAATTTCTCGCGATCCCTACCGTACCCTAACCTTACCCGCGATAGATGGATGGGCGCCTCGTCTGTCGCAATCTATGTACATACATACCTACCTGGGAACCGAGGCAGGCGTTGTCTCATATTAGTGTAGGTATGTATGTACATTCCACGTGAGAAAACACCGGGTACGTAACCATACGATGGGAATACGATGGACATATACATAGGTATTTAATAATAAGCCCATGGATCGCGAACCCATTCCGGGCAGAGTCCCACGTGAGTTCCACGTGGAATGTACACACCGCATCTGAATCGGTGATTTTCATACATGACAAACCCACCTGCTATCGATGCTGGTTGAAGGACACGAGGAGAGAGAGGCACGGCATTTGCCAAGGTGCTATGAATATTAATATGCTGTGCCGTTCTCTCGAACCCGTTTGAGACATGCTTGACGACGTGCTTTTTTGAATTCGGGCTCGTGCGTGTCGGAATACGTACGAAGTACGACGTAGGCGTTTATCTAGCTGTCTAGGTACTTATCTAATGCCTAGGGTGTCTTAGGCGTTATGCGGACGGGAGCGCCGATTAAGTCTCGGTGTCTATAAAAATACTAGTCACATCACAACACAAACGAAAGTACACATCCGATTGTAGGGAAGGGGTTTGTATCAATTAATGTTCCAAGGTGCAGAATGCAAGAGGGAAAGGGGCGGAATGATATCTCTTAAGTTAATTCCCAATGCGTAACCAATGAGCTCGGATGGCAACGGAATGGCGAGTCGATTCCGCGAACCTGCAACATTGCAACACTACAAATTTTGATGTAAAAAGAACCTTTCCTTCCTCGGGGATGACCAAATTCGGTATCAAGCAAGATAAGTAGACCAAAGCGTCCACCGATGGCAAAAACCTGTAGTCTCAACTGCAACTGCTAGTACCACAACGTCCGCCTCCAATTGACCCAATATACAGCCTAGGTAGGAATCCGTCAAATTCCTCGAGGCGGTTCCACGACTCCGGGTCCGAGAGACAAGGTAACTCCGGGCATAAGGGCGCCGGAGAGGGCATCAAGACGGGATGGGACTCTACCAATAGTAGGACCCCACGAGTCGAGGCGCTTGTTGAGGGACTTCTGGATAGACGGGATGAGTCCCTGGCGAAGGTAGTCGCTCCATGTCGGCTCTTGATACAGCATAGGACCGAGCTTCTGGGACTCGTAAAATCGACCCTTAATCGATTTCTCGGTCTTCATGACGTTCGCGCGCAACAGAACCCAATCGTAATGAAGCCCATAGCTTCTCATTACCTCGTCTCGGAATTGTTTTTCGCGGCGCATGGCGGGGGGAACCTGTTCTTGGTTGGGTGCGTGCTCCACGCCCTTGCTGTCTTGCAGGACCCAGATATCACCTCCGAAGAGAAGTCGTTCACCCTGCTCGGATTTCTCGAGTATTATGTTCTTCAGAACCATGACGAAGGTCACATCAAGGTTATCCCACTGCGGGTGCTCGTTTTGCTCCACGCTAACTCGAACTGCCTCGAATAGGCCAATCTTCTCACAGCCGAAGAATACACCGCCGAAGCTTAGCTGGTTAGGCGGGAAGTTGGGGTTCTGAATAGCGTTGAACAAGGAATACGAATGATCGACGCGACTCGCAGCTATCTTCGAGGCCTCTAGCATCATCATCTCTGGTCTTGAACTTGCTTCGTAAGGAAGCTCGGATTCCATCGCGAGCCATTGGACCTGTTCCATGGGTAAATTGGCAAGGCTAATAATTGAATCATGGACCTTAGGGACGCTGTAAGTAAGGAACGGGCGCATATCAGCATGAGGACGCTCGATGATTTCGGCGTCTCCTTGAAAGTGACCCAGCGGCTTGATTTTTCCTTCGGGTGTGTCGGTAGGCGCACTAGAGACGCCCTGGTGAACAATTCCAAGACGAAAGGTAGATGACTGCTTTCGGTACCAAATTATTTCACCTTCTCTGAATAAGGCAGACTCATTCAACTGAGCCTGAATCGGAATATGCATCATGGGCTGCATGGTCGGTTGTGCCGAAGGTTGAAGTTGTGCTGGTGGTTGTACTGCGGGCTGTACCGCAGGTTTTGCTGCGGGCTGTATGGCAGGTTTTGCTACGGATTGTAATATTGGTTGTGCTTGGGGTACTGAAGGACTTGGAACAGCCTTGGTCGTTGATACGGCAGCACTAGTCTTCTTGGTTGAGGATTTTGTACTGGTATTAGATGCAGGTGAGGCACTTCGTGCCTTGCTTGTCAAATGAGCTGGAACCGGGACAGACTTAGGCTGGCTTGAAGCTGTAGCCTCCTCACCGGATGGCTTACAGAACTTACAGGGGCAATTCTTGCTATCATGAGTTGCGTCGGTGATTAACCACAGAAGGTGATCGAAAAAGTCAGTTGTAGAACGGTAACATTTCAAGGCACTTTGCTTCTTGGCCTTCTTCTTGTCCTTCTCATCGTCGTTCTCCGGATATCCGTATAGAAATGTGTCGTTGCGGGTCTTGCCTTCAGAGAATTATTAACAAAGCACCTAACTGAAATAGCGTGGGATTTACTTACTATCAGTACGGGTTCTCACTCGAAGTTGGTAAAACGGCGGCAAGGCCTCTAAGGTAAATGGCAGGACTGTTAAGAGTTAGCACGTTCAGTTACACGATGTATAGTGTATAGTTGTCATACGTGAACCAGGATAGACCTGCTCAGCGATCATGGCTCCTAGGCGATCGCAATAAGTTCTCACAGTTGTTTCATCCGCGGGCTTTTGGTCAGCTGGGAAGCGTGCCTCATCGTACTGCATTCCATCACTGCGTATGCAGCGGAAGACAACGACATCCTTAGAAGGATCTTTAGAGCGGTCCATAGTGGGTGAAGGTTTACTTTCGAGCGTAAAAAGGAACTCGATAGCTAATAAGAGAGTAAAGGGGAATGGCTATTAGAGAAAGATGAAAGACCATATGGGGTATTGAAAAAGGTGCAGAAAAAGAATCCTTGATGTAGTGAAGGATGGAAACCTTAGAAGGAAGAGGGAGTAATAATTTTCAATGGAAAGCCGCAGAACTCATTTCATAGTTCCAAAAACTGCTTGTAACTGTTCATTATGAAGTCGTCTATTTGTGAGTTTATAAGACCGACGATGAGATATCGTAACAATGACTTGATCGATGGCCTTCATCAAGAAGTAATACGTTTAAGACGGCTCAGCTCATGACCCAAGACCAAATCAGGACTCGTAGTCATAGACGTGAAACCAAGACACACGAGTCGTACTATAGACTTAGAAAAGACTTAAAAGAGGCCGATACTAGGTATGCTTGTAAGTTGATACCTATGTTGTAATAAGAAAGTCGAGTATGGTAGCCGTGTTAATACAACGATGTAGAGATCAGATTAGTGAATTTATTCTCACCAATCGGATGTTTTCAATTGAGTCTAAAACTGCTTACTGCGCCACCGAATATCTGGGTACTTCTTTGTAACTGTGGCTTCATTTTTGCTTTTACTTAGGTACGTACTTTGTACATAATACAAGGAAAATATTAAATACAATGTATTCATGATGTTAACGTCTGCATTTTTAAAGAGAAGAAGGTAACTAGTAAGTATTGTAAGAAATGCTCAAATAAGAAACCGACGAAAACTACATTTATTTAGGACGTGGTAGCGATTGTTAATTGAAATTCATATATCTGGGATCTTAGAACTATGAAGCTTGAACAAAGGATTTATGATGTCTAGTTTAAGAGCTGTTCAATGTGCTGTCTAAGAAGAGCTTCCTATCTCAAATGAAACTACCTAGAACTTATTTTGTATCTTATAAATACCTAGGTAATTAGTTAAAGTGGCTACTGTATTGAGTTACCACAGGATTAAGAACACTGTGGCTGGGATGAATGATAATGAGAGTAGCGGGATACTCCGGGTTACTGCAAAGACATCTTACCACGATGTGAAATTTATGATTGTTCATTTTTCCTCTTTTCCCAAGTGATCAAATATCTGTGAAACCGTCTTCTACAACTATCCGCGGACTTCGGAATTAGCGGGGCAAAGCTGGAGTTTTGCTTTCTAAGTGCGATATATTCGACACTAACCCGAGAGATCAGCTTGAGGATTACTAATGCCAGTTATACCATGACTTCTCTGATAGTTTTTTATATAGGTAGAAAGCATCATAGTATCCGGCGTTACATAATTAAGACCGGTAGATGCATAGAAGCGTCGACGGCGTCGTGAAAAATGACTCCTTACTACGAGATGCTAGCGTCATCAACACGATCGCAACTTTTCGGTCGGTATGCCGCCTCTGCTAGTATAAATAAGAATTGCAAGATGGAAATGGAAATGGAAATAGTCCCAGGCGGAACGCAAAGACGGATCACAAATAAACCCATATAACCCAAATCTACCCAGTTAACTCGAACTTGCTAGAGGTAAAACTTATAGCAAAAATGATCGCCTACAGCAGAGAAACCGAGGGTCTCACTCTCGTGCACGAGTTTGCCGACCAGGTAAAAGGGAGAACATGTAAAGCCACTCTCGCACATCCCCAAATACTCCAGCGAACAAACTAACAGCACCCAGTCCTCCTCACCGGTCCCAGCCCGCGCGGCGTCGGAGCCGAGACCCTAATCTCGCTAGCCGCAGCGTCACCCGCTCTACTCATCCTCATAGGACGCTCGCAAGAGAAGGCGCAAGCCACCATCGACGCCATCAAAGCAACCAACAGCGCCGTGGTGACCAAATTCATCGAAACCGACTTGACCTCTCTCGCGAGCGTGCGCAAGGCAGCCCAGACCATCCTCACGGACGCCGAAATCACCAAGATCGACGTCGTCATCAACAACGCCGCCGTAATGGCCACGCCCTTCGAGCTGACGCAGGACGGCTTCGAGCTGCAGTTCGCGGCGAGCCATTTGGGCCACTTCATACTAACCAACACGATCCTCCCGAAAGTCCTCGCCGCAGGCTCCGGCGCGCGCATTGTCGGGCTGACGAGTTCCGGACATCGATACTCCGGGGTGCGGTTCTCAGACCCGAATTTCCAGGAGCCGGGCTCATACACTCGGTACGATGCCTACGGACAGGCGAAAAGCGCTGTGATCCTGTATGCGGTGGCGCTGAACAAACGGCTAGCGAGGCGTGGGGTGCACGCTTACGCCGTGCACCCGGGTAGCATACAGACGAATCTGCAGAGCCATGTGATGCAAGTCCCGCCGGAGGAGCTGGCGGTGATGATGGAGGATGCGGCGGTGCGGGTGATGGGGATGTCGCTGGAGGAATACAGGCGGACGAACCCGTGGTTGACGCTGCAGCAGGGATGCGCGACTACGCTGCGCGCGGCCCTAGACCTAGGGTTGGTGAAGCGGGAGGGCGTGTATTTGCAGAATTGCGATTTGACTACTGATGCGAAGTGGGTGAGGGAGTGGGCGACGGATCCGGAGCTCGCGGAGAAGCTGTGGACGTTGAGTGAGGAGTTGGTTGGGGAGAAGTTTGATGTTTAAGGGCTTTGGGATTGGACATCCTGGGTATGATAATTGTTTGCATAGTTAAAATAGAGATATATGTATTTAGTTAGAAATCATGATATTATCTACTAGGTATATAAAAAACGACCACTCTTTCCGTCACTAATAAGTTTTGGAGTACGAAATAGAAGCTTTAAATCGTTCCTGACGATGACGGGATATCGGAGGTCGTACCTGACAAGCCACATCGTGTTAATAAATAATTGGCACCCCATAATTAGCACTGTATTCCAAAGACCCCACCACCGAAAGAACCCCTGGAACTTCATCTCGACAACCATAACCTCCAACGGGTTCGATCCTCCATCCAAATCGATCCCGCGTTCAAAATGCTGTCCTTCATATTAATACAAAATCGACAGTAAGCACCTCTCCCATCCCCTCCCAATCCCTCCTCACCCCATGACCAACTAACCAAATCCCTCCCCCCAAAACAGAGGCAAGACGCGCCTAGCGAAGTGGTACGTGCCGTACAGCGACGAGGAGAAGATAAAGCTGAAGGGGGAGGTGCACCGGCTGGTCGCGCCGCGGGACCAGAAGTACCAGTCGAACTTCGTCGAGTTCCGGAACTACAAGATCGTGTACCGACGGTACGCGGGGCTTTTCTTCTGCGCCTGCGTCGACACCAACGACAACGAGCTCTCCTACCTCGAAGCCATCCACTTCTTCGTCGAGGTCCTCGACGCCTTCTTCGGCAACGTCTGCGAGCTCGACCTCGTCTTCAACTTCTACAAGGTCTACGCCATCCTCGACGAGGTCTTCCTCGCCGGCGAGATCGAGGAGACGAGCAAGCAGGTCGTCCTCACCCGCCTCGAACATCTCGATAAGCTTGAGTGAAGAGCTCGTGGGCGATCGCCTCTGTTTGCGGGGATACGATGAATTATAATAAACAAATGGGTTGATAATGGGTTCGCCGTCGTGTAAATAATTTTGTTTGGACTTAAAGATGTATATTTTCTAGGCAGAGGCGTCTGGCGTCCCTCGACAAGATTGATATTGGAAGGTAGTCTGAATCTCACGAGACTACAACAGCATTTGAACTTGGAATATCTTATTTGAAAGCATGGAATAGGCCCCTTATCTGCGAGACCACTACGACTGCTTTGGAAGCTCACAATTTGTTATTGCAACGTTCGTTAATTTCATCTAGCTAAAGCTATGTGGACATTCATCCGATCCATTCCGATGCCAGAATGTGATCAGTACCATTTTCAACCTCCACAATATCACAAGCCCAACATACACTCATCGAACCTTTCCATCAAACGGACATCCATCTTAGTGATGACTCGAGCATATTCGTAGGTCGTTGCAGTGTACGCAGAAAAGAGGATTGAATATGGATTTGGTATGTTGTGAACTTAATCGGTTAGCAATCAACTCTAATGTTAAGAGGGCAGATGTGCGGAGCAACTAACTCTTTGGAATTTCCTCGGCAAGCGATGCAAAACAGAGCTGTTTCGCACGCCTCGCAAATACAAAATAGGAACGGAAACTGAAGCAATTGTGCTGGTATCTAGCGGATTATCAGGTAGGTAAAGATACCACATATGCTCTTCGTATCAGATCCATTCCAATACGCCGTTCAAAGTTTCCAGACGGGCATATCGGTATCCTCTGTGGCTAACATTACCTAGGTATGTTACCACTTAATATCATACGTTCGAGTTCATAATAAGGACGCATATGATTTATCGCGGCCATATTCTCAAACATCCTAAGGCTTAGTTGGGAATAAATTCAACTCGTCGAACATCTCCACGGCGGTCTTTCGATTCACTTTGTTTTTGACGATGGCATTCTCGCGATTCTTCAAGAGCGACATTACTTGCAGTCCGGATTTCAATCCCTGGTTATGCTGATCTGTCTGTGTGGAAGCAAGGTTACTCTTGTTGGAATCGCATTTCGTATTCTCCCCTTTATCGGTGTTCATCTTATCGCCTGAATAGCCTTCGTCACCCTTCACATAAACGTCCTCGGGAACTAAACGTGCCTCATTCGATGGAACTGGCTTCTTAGCTAGAAGAAGCTCGTTTTTTACTTCGTCAAGGAACTTGTTGATTTCTGCCTTGGTTTTCTCCATCTCCTTGGGCATATCATCGACGTCCACTGACGCGTGCTTCGTTACTTCGTTCTCCTTCAGGTTTGTGTCCACAACCTTTCGCCTGTGAGGGAAAATATATTCTTTCGGTGATAGAGAGGTACCGTTGAAATCCATGAATACGTCATCATACGAGAGTCTCCCCATTTCTCCTTTATGTGTCTTGTTCAAGTCCAGGGATGAACGTGGGTGTCCTTGGGGAGACGGTACTTTTGGTCGACGAATGGGGAGTTTACGGGATGGAGCTTGAGAGGGCTTTTGAGGATAGATGTTTGAGTCTCTCTCGTGGTCGTAACCCTTGCTAGGAGTTATTAGTCGACGGACCGAGTAAGGTGAGAGGCTACGGTCGCGGGATTTCTCATAATCGTTGACCTGAACTTGCGACTTGTCGTCATCTAGTCTATAGATGTCAGGTACTTGATGGTGATTATTCTTAGGAGTTCGTGAGCGGCGTCGAGAAGGTGGAGTGAGACGGTGTCGATCTTGACCACGCGTCTTACTGTCTCGTGTAGGCGTTTTCAACCGAGCTTGAGAGGGCTCTTCTTGACGCAGACGTTTTTTCGTCAAGGACGACTGCTTGTTGTTTTTGGGACACAAGGTTGCAAAATGATGGCCCTTCTTCATACAGATCTCGCACGTGTAGTCCACAGGGGGCGGTCGATCCCATTCCGGATCCATGTTGGTAGGACAAAGTTGAATCCAGTGTCCTACAATTCAAGTCAGAGAAACCTTTTTCTCGTACTTAAAATCGTTCACTTACCCGGTTGATAGCAACGATTGCAGATGTAGGTCGGCGGTGGCAAGGAGGAAGAACTATGCTTCTTCGGAGAAACATCCTGTCCAGCTGACTTCACGTTGCTGTAAGGTCTTAAGAGACTATTCTCTGATTTTGCCTTAGCAAAATAACTCTCTCCATTATCCTCCTCCTTGATCTTAGCAGTACTCTGGTGGGTGTTGTTGCGGAAGCACCTTCTTTTCCCTAGTGGGACTTCGTTGGACCCTGATTTACGCTTTCCTCCGCCAACAAGACGAGTACCAATTGCTTCATCCGAAGAGTCCTGTTCTCGGTCAAAACCCGATGGCCCAAAAGACCAGTCGGGCTCCGAATTTGAACCACGCCTAGCCTGTTCAAATAACTTGAGGAAATCTAAGTGGACCATCTGGTACCTGCGTATGTTTGCAGGGTTCTCTGCAGCATCGTTAGCCTGCCATTCTTTGAAAGCTGCATCCACCTCGCCTTCCGTGAATGGCCCTTGGTGTAACTTCGCGGGTGCCAGCAGAAGATCCACAAATGCAGACAACAAAGATGTCTGTTGTATATCCCTTGTGATCTGCTCATGAAGCCATCCCATGAACACCTGGAGTACTTGGTATCTAGGCACTATACCATACTGAACGTTATTGACCTTATTCTGAAGCTCCTCTAGGGTGATATCGGCTAGGCTATCCACACCTAGAGCTTCTAAGGTTGGATGAAGATCCATATTGACACTAGATAATGGAATATGTGAACCTGTGAATCCCAGGGTCCCGGTGAGGAATAACGTACCAACAAAACAAATCAATCCGAGGGGAATAGCGGCGTCTTAGAAAAAGGATGTGGTAATTCTAGGACCATGCAATTGTTCTTAAATGATATGAGGCACTCGATTATTGTTCTTGTTTGTTTACCAGCACACCTAAGCTGCGGGTCGTCAGCTGCAGATTAGATGTGAGTTTCGAACTTGGTGCACTTCTTATCACTCTGAGGAGGGGAATCTATTGAAACATGGGAACAAGAAGTGTGGTACCCATGAAGGGAAGATGTAAAGGGTGCGGAGGTAGGTCGAAACTTTGGAGAGTAGAAGGTTGGGAGTCCTTGGTAATTTTGAAATATTTTAAGCATCCCTAGATCAAATTGTAGGAAGGGACAACTCGGCGAAGTTTGATAGATTGGAAGGTCTCAAAGACGTCTGAATTACACATGTTAGTTCCTTCTATTAAAACGACTATATTTCTTGCGCAACGTCGCCCGTCATTTGATGGGAAGTCGCCGCTGAGCAAGACCCACGCCTCAAGTGACACAACCCCTTATCTCTTCATCATATACGGCGAGCACACCCACGTTATGACACAAAGGCTTGTAAGGAAAGTTACAATCCTTACTGCCCATAGAAAAGATACCTAAGTTACCAGCTTATTATAGAAGCAACGAATCTCTTAAAAAATCCTCATTATAGGTGGGTTGTAAATGATAGATCATTTAATGAATACCTGGGTACCTATATATTTCAATAAGGTTGTGAGACACCTGTCGGTGTACTGATAGAAATATCGTTATATTTCAGTTTGGTGGTAGTATAGGTACCTAGTAGGTAATAAAAGTTGAGTCTTCATTGATATCCATAGATAAACACGCTGTCTCAAAAGAGCGATGTTTTCCCATATCCCCATCATCGTAATTACTAGGTAGGCTAAGTAAGCTACCGCTTCAGAGCAGCAAAACGGGCGGCCAATTCGTCAACGCTTGTTCCACTTTTCTGATCGTCATTCTTCTTTGCTATACCGGCATCAACCATCTTCTGGCTGGGTTTCAATTCCACTGAGTTGAGGGTGACCTTCGGACGAGGGTTATCTGTTGTAGGACTTGGCAGATTGATATGTAAAGGTCCTAAGGATCGCGGAGGTGTCTCGCGGCTTAAAGCTTCCCTTTCTTGGACCGCTTTACTATCACTAGGAAGGGGTGAATCGGGAACCTTCTGAGCTTGGTCACCACTTGGGCTATCATCCACATCATCGTCCATGTTATTTTCCACATAATCCGGGGGATCGCCTAAATCTTTAGGCCGCTTTGGCCAATCGACTCCATATGCCCTAGCAATTTCTTCCAGATATCCCTGGACAAGTTCTTCTCGAGGTGGTGTAACACTGAGTTTCTTTACCACCTTTTCAGATACTTTCTGATCCCAGTTCTCCATAGCAGCGAGTACGAATTCTTTACCATACTTCTCCGCGAGGAGAGCGCGCACCTGTTGTAATTCCTTGATTTCTGTTTTTGGTGCAGCGTATATGATGCTCTTCACCGCTTCCTCCAACCCAGGATCACAGGTATGCCCTTCCAGAAGACCGGCTCGTGCCAAAAGTAATTCACAGTATAGTTCTAGGATCTCGTGAAGCTCTGTGGTGATATCGGATCGAATAATGTTCTCGACTCTTATCCGTGCCGAATCGATTTTGCCAACGTCTAACAATTGAGCCATTGATCTTCGTTGTGTCTTGCCCATTTGTTCATCGCGTTGTTGTACCATGCGCAGTCGCGCGATGGATAGCTTTAGCTGTACTTTCAGCTTTGTCTACAAGTTAGAGCGATTAGTTAGTTGCCTGGCTCTGTAGATGGACAGCTTCCCCGCTTCGGGGCCAAAGGTAAAAAAGAGGAATAATCTTACAACCACATTCACTGATGGAGGCATCTTGACGATACGTAGCCCGAAGGCTCGTGGGATCCTTTTCACAAATATTCTTATCGTACTCAGTACTTGACGTACTATTACTAGGGTGCCTAGTATGTTTGGTTTGGCTTATGTTGTAGAGAGATTGATCGTTGCGGGAGGTTGCGCAGCGCTAGACATCTTATCGGGAAACACATGCAGCTTCTATGTACCTAAGATTGCTGCAGAAACCCCGCGACGATCAAAGGCTCGACAAAGTCTTGATACCATTTGATACGCTATCAATAAGCGTAAAATTTGGTAGCTATACATTGCATCTTGGTAGAGCTGAATTACCCCTGTCTGTGTAACAGTATCACAAAGCGCCCAATAACCAAGATCAGACGTTTTGGCGTGTTTTGGGATCCATGGATGATATCATTGGTGTGGAGCGCCAAGACGAATGGGGTAGTTGGGGTAAGAATGGGGCGTCAATCGCTGGCGTTTTAGCTTTTTGGACAACAAATTTGGAACTTCTCAACTTCTTGTGAAATGGAGAAATAGTCACGTTAATAAAGAAACTATTCACTATAACCACACTATCACAGATCTACCTACCTACCTACCTCCAGTCAATCGGTTGTACCACACCTAACTCGCGAGTCTTAGTCCCATCCACTTATCTACCTATTTTCGAGCACTATTTATGTCGAGTTTCGACCACCATGAATAGTTCCAAGTTTCAACCGTCGCTGGATTTCGTGCTGGGATTACAATCGAAAAAGCCATGGCTGTAGCCCATCATTTGAAGCGGAAGCTTCAAGGTCAATTTCAACAATGGTTCGCTACGGTGGCGGCCAACCTCCAGAAAAACAATCTCTGGAGGAGAATCATCAAGAACACCATATGTACCACCATCAACCTGATAATTGGCCTTATTCCGGCGGTTATCGCCATATATGGAAAGTCGACATATCTTGGGGCTATGGCTTCGGTATTTGGACATCCAGGGCAACGTTTCGGCCAGATGACCGAATCTCTGATGCTCATTACCCTTGGATCCTTCTTCGGGATTGCCTGGGCTATCCTAGGTCTTTACCTTTCTAGCCTCGTTCATCAGTCCAACATTCAAGCAGCTTTGGCCATCAAGGCGATTTTCTTCACATTAGCCTTGTTGTTTCATGGTATCACACGCTCATCAGCGCCTAGGCTGTTTTTGTTTGTGTTTTTCTTCTTGCTCATCAACATTACCATCTTGACGGGCACTACCGTTTCAGTATCATCCACCATTGTCACGAACATAGCTTATCCTATCCTCACGGCAGTCGGTGTCATTATATTTGTAAACATCACTGTTTTCCCTGAATTTTCAAGTGGTTTCCTGGGAAAGTCCACGATAGAAACGTTGTGTGCGACAGTCAACTGTTTTCAAGAGTCCGGAGACTGGTTTATGTCAGATTCTAAACAACCGGACGGAGAGGATGCAGAAAAGGAAAAGGCTGCTTCGATAATATTACGAACCAAGCTTATAGCCTTAACCGAGAAGAAGGCCAAATTAAGGGCCCAGCTTGGTAGCTGTAAGAAAGCTCAAGCAGAGAGCAACTTTGAATTGGTCTTCGCGGTTCTTCCACCACGGTCATTGAAACCAATTAGCATGACCTTGATGTCACGCCTTGTCCAAATTACCATTTGCCTCATCAATGCTTGCGAAAGTAAATATGCTCTAGCGGGACATAAATATGGAGAGGATGAGCTGGAAGAGCCAGAACAGCCAGACGAAAAGACTACCAACGACTCGGACTCTGAATCCGAGTCGGATAGCGACTCCGACAGTAGTTCTGAAAGCGGCAGCGACGCTGGAAAGTCGAAGAAGACCAAAAAGTCCCGGCGAAAATCCAAATACGCACAAAACATCGAACTCATTAAACCAGTTCGGGAAATCGAGTCTGGTGACATTGAGCTCCTGGAGCATATCCTTTGCCAAATTCGCGGACCAGCCAAAGTCCTTCAAGAACAAATACAAGCAGCAACGTATGTAATATCCTCTGCTCTAGCATATTGCTACGATGTACCCCGTCTCCCATCGGGCGCTCCAACCCCTAAGGGTATCCCCTTAGAAGAAATTGATCTCCGAGTAAACATGTTTGCAGAAGCATTGCTACAGTTCGATCAAGATTCCGCAATGGCTCTTGAGCATGCTGCGTGCATAGAATATGGTCGAGAATCACATGGCGATATTATGCCACGGATGGAGACGCATTTGATCTCCTCGTTTTTGATCAGCGTTCGACAAGCAGCTAGCCAAACCATGGATATGCTAAAACATTCGCGAGCTCTTGTTGAGCGAAGACAATCGAGGAACAACCATCGTAGGCTTTATTTCCCAAGGATTGGTTGGAAAAAGTGGCTGGCAAGCGGCGGAGAACACGACGTAAACGCCCTTCCCGAAACGGCAAGAAAGGAGGCAAGAACAGGCCACGGCTTGAAAGAAGACCTGAACATAAATGAGAAGGGCGCAGACGGTAGCGAAGAGCAGCTCCTCAGACATGCTGAAGATGAAGAGACTGGCCACGTTATCTCGAAGCAACCCACATTTCCTGAAAAGGGCAGGATTCCGATGCGGAAAGGCCCCCAGAAATCAGAAGCTAGCAATGCTCTGTGGTTACGTGGCTTGGCTGCCGATATAGTCGAGTTCTTTGCCGAATCTGATGACCTCGCCTACGCCCTTAAAATGTGTATTGCTGCATTTATTATCACATGGCCTGCATTCGTGCCGGCGACAAATGGTAAGACTTGAATGTCTATAGCGACGGTGGTTCGACTGCTAATATTTTTGCGTAGCCTGGTATAATTCGATCCGAGGATCTTGGGCATCTCTCCAATTAGTCCTTGTTTTCGAAGTCTCCGTTGGAACTTCATTTCAAGGGTTTTTCCTTCGGGTGTTTGGCGTCATATTTGGCTGTGTTGTTGGTTTCCTTGCTTACGAAATAGGCCAAGGAAATCGTATCGTCGCCGTGGTCGTTTTGGTATTCGGTATTATACCCTCTTCATACATCCACCTCGGTACACCATTTGTCAAAACGGGCATTATCTCCCTAGTCAGTATGTCCGTAGTCGGACTTGGTAAGTAAATCATCGATATTGCATCTTAATGAATCAATATTTCTAATGGGCAACCAGCAACAATCCTTCAGCCATCCGGAGACCAGACATGGGAGATCTTCGTCAAACGGATGGTATGCTTCCTTGTTGGCGGGACAATCGCACTACTAGTTGAGATGTTTCTTTTCCCTGTCCGAGCTCGAGATAGGCTTGTCGAATCTCTAGCCTCAACAATCCAACAGATTTCGCAAATGGAGAGTTCAGTCGCCGTTGGTATTGACTCGCCTCAGAATGTCGATATCAAATCTCATGCATTAAGCGATAACTTCAAGGACGCTATGGAAAAGGCTGAGGAAGCCCTTACAGCAGCCCGTACGTTCTTGCCGTTTTGCCTGACAGAGCCGAGAATGAAAGGCAGTTTTAAAGGGCAAGCGTTGATATATGGCGAGATGATATATGTCCTGTTCCAAATCATCGATCGCATGGACAATATGCTTCACCTCCGCAAGGCATACGGAAGCAGTGTGATCGAGGAGTTGAATGCTGATGTCTTACCATACCGTCGCAATGTCGCTGCTAGTATGATGCTTACACTGTTCGCTGTCAGCGAGGCTCTAACAACGCGACTACCTCTCCCTCAATTCCTACCATCTAGTCGTGTCGCACAGTTGCGATACATCAGCCGAGTCCGCGAGCTTCTGCTTGGGGGCATAGTAAAATCGGCATACAATAGCGGTACTCATTCGCCGGCAACAACCACCGGGGGTTCTATCCCACTCCAACCACACGTTTTGAAATCGATGACTCGACAGAGTTTCCTATCGTGGAATGCTAGTTCTGCGGGCATGAGTAAGCAATATTTCATACCCGGATAATCAATAATTACTAACTTCATACGCCAGTGGAAATTATCGAGTATTTAGAAGAACTCGTAGACCTCGCCAAGCTGTTGGTTGGGGTCAACGCATTCCGCAGCGGAATGCTGGAGCGCCCCAAATTCCACGAATATGCGCGGAAAATCAAGGAGCGCGAGTCGGACCGCAACGCTGCTGCTGCCGCTGCAGCGCAGGCAGAGGCGGAACAGCAGAACGTCCAGATGACGAAGAGCAAATCCGGAAGCAGCTTTATTCGCAGGAGACGTGGCTTTACGCTAGGTAAAATGCCGTCTCATGGAACCGTTACGGGCGCGGCCTCTAGCTTGGGAGTCGATGCGAATATGCTGAGGCGAACGTCGACGGCGCTATGGGGCCATGATGGCGCGGCGGATGATCATGAGGAGGCGGTGGACGATTTGCCTATGAGCCTGCAACGCGTTATGACGAAACGGATGGAGGGTAGGCAACGTGAAAGGAGGGAGGCCAGGGCGAGGCGGGATACGAATGATCCTAAGGGAAAGCGCCCGCTGGTACGGCCGTCGGCAACGTGGGCACTTTAGGGCTGGGGGGAGGTCGCGTTTATACCCTTTTGCGTTGATGGTTTGGCTGATTGTGGAGTTCGGGAACGAAGTCGTTGCTGGATTTTGGGAATGAGATATGAGGCATGCGAAACATATTAATGTGATGAGATAGTTTGGAGGTAGCTGAATTGCGAGGCGGTTCAGTCGCGAATACGTAGCACATCCCCTTTTTTGTTGTCACCGGAGTGGTAGCAAACTTAGTTGGCAAACAACATGCTAATATTACGATTTAGTACATCATATGATCATCAGATATCTTCTTAACCATCTCGTGTATGGTCCGAAATACGGCGAAGGTCAAAATACACAAGTCAGAACTTTAAAATAAGCTTATTGAACGTCATCGCATCCCTATCTTAAGGGGTCGGCTTACAGGGTCCACACGTTCATCCCCAACCACTCTTCGGTATTCGCCAAGACTCGATTTCCACTGCCACGAGTCTTTGAGACAACCAACCAGATCAAAAGCTGATATGTCACTGGTCTAATGGAGATTACCTACCTATACATATCACCAAAGGACAGAAACTGTTTTTATGCAAGGTGCCGTTGATTGATAAACGCAACAAGGCGTGTGCTCTATAAATATCTAGGATCTAGTATGTTTTCATTCCATTCATTGGTTCGTAAAACCCCATTTTGCCAAAAACGTCTCCACATTAGATTGAATTCAAGGTCGTCAAAGTCGTTTCCGAACTTAAGAGGTGAGGTCGAAGCCAGAGATACCGGTGTAGGTCTGGACAACGGCGTTGGGCTCGTTGGACATCTTGAGGTCGGCATTGGCGAGGAGGTGAGAGCCGGACTGGTCGCTGGAGGGGGTCACGGGCTGGGTGACGGTCAGGGTGAGGCCGTCAGCACCCTTGGTGACGCTGAAGGTCCTGGCGGAGTCCTTGCAGGTGCCGTCCTTGACGTCGGGCAGAGTGCCGTCGGTGTTGGCGGCGAGCATGGCGGAGCAGGCTACGCCAGTGGTCTCCATGGTGCCGGGCTGGATGACATTGAAGTTGTAACTATAGCGGACTTTGTTAGCATATCCATGGTTTAGACAAGATGGTGGCAGGTGGTGCTTACGAGCACTGGGTGCTGTGGCGGATGCATCCGGCAGAGAAGTCGGTGACCTTGAAGATGACATCGGCGGCCGAGGCAGTGGCGATGAAAGCGGCGAGGGTGAGGAACTGCATTTTGATGGAGTTGAAGTTTGAGGTGTCGTAAAGACTAAGTTGTTGATGAGTAAGATGAGAAGTGTGTAGTTGAAGAAGCTGTGATTGCGTGATGAGGCTGAAGACAAGATAGGACATATCAGGTAGGAGGAAGGGTATTTATACGCCTTCGTCCCATATGATGTTCGTTTTGAAGTCTCATTGCAGATGGAGTGTGGGGGAGGTAGCTGGGCAGTGGGCAGGGCTGGTAGAGCTAGCTCGCCGGGGCGTGGATCTGCGGAGTTGGTGACGGTGAGAGCATGAACCTCATTTCGTATTCGGCGGGGTCGCACTCCTGGAAATCTCATGACATGGAAGTTTTTAGCATGATGCTACTAGTAAGTGGCTGTAATTTTTTTTATTTTTATTATCCTCAACAATTACATCTACAATCCTGTCAAGTCAAAACATAGCCGTTGTTGATGAAGCTAGATGAAGCTACTACAGAAACGTTACATCCTTTCAAGAGCCAAACCCCAGGAAATTACTAGAGCTAGAGGCTGCCATCGCTGTCACACTGCCGCTAGTGCCGGTATATTTTAGCACGAAGCCGCCCTTATATTCCGATTGGCCCCATAAGAAGACATTTTAAGGCCTAAGTAAACAAATGGATATCTGAGGCCACCGGGCCACCAGGCCACCAGGTTGGCTTTCTGTTAGGTAAGGGTTCATTGCTTAACCTTCACCGTTCGTTGCTACTAGCTTCGTAAGGCGAAAAGGGACCTTTGAGGCCTTGTACAGGGTCATTCTAGAAATGTCTCATCTACAAATGTAAAGTCTGAAGAAGCGGTTTTAGGTTGCAGTGTAGCATTTAGTCTATATTATGAACAGCCAAGAAGATGAGATGATCCACAAGTCTCAACAGATCACCATTCACAAATCCTTATCAAGCTAGATGAAGACGGTAATGTTGTAATAATGAGTTCATCGATATATGTGAATACGAGAATAAAAAATATCCAAGAGTTAAGCATACTAATAGGTATCTGTTACAGAAAACTCAGCCTCGGAGGCGAGTTTGAAAGTTGCCATTCCCCATAGAACTCCACTATCTAGGCCGTCGTACTCGCTCTTAGGAACCCAAAATAACTGCAACTTCTCGGAGCGAGTACCGAGAAAGGAATGACTTCAAGTCAGTCCACTCTCTGAGTTTCAGGAGAGGTTACTATTGGATGATTTCTCTATAGAAGGTAGGTAGACAAGTGGTGCTTCCAGCGCAGAAGTATACTTGCCGTTGTCTAGATGGAAACTTCCGTGGATGAAAACTACCTAGCCTATGGCCATCCCGAAAGCCAAACGATCTTCCACGTTTAGGTACCCGGTCTTGCGGTTCGAACCTATCGAGATTGATCGACACCCTATAACCTCTTCTGATAATGGCAAACATGTCACACTTCCCCTATGGAAATTTTATCTTCTTCTCAACCATGAAGGACTAGAACATATGTAGGTAGTTACTATTAGTTTCCGCATTTGCCGACACCCGATTATTATTACGGAGTTGTAACTTGTCTCTGCCTATGAGTCCGCAGACGTATCAGAATTGACCGCTCTTCTCCTCTTCACAACTACATAAGTATATTATAGACCGAAGACTATATCCCGGCAGCTATTCCACGACAACAACGCTGCATTAGCTCCCGCGCTTGCGCAGGTCAAATAGCCTACTTGCCCGGGACCCTGACATTAGTACTATTCCAACCCTAGATTCTTGCCTTCGATGAAGCCGATATCCTTCCCAGCTGCTTGCCTCAACTTGACTTCAAACATCAGAACTGGGCATTCACCGATATTTGCTTCTCCTCTATCCCTGGGCATATACTCAGGAGATATTATGTTTGACTGCGGGAAGAGGAGCTGAAAGCTTCTCAGTCGGCGCGAAACGCGGCATCTCGGGATGTTGGTGAGCACATCCGGATATACTTTCGAGTGAAGAATGATTCTAGACATACTAGATGGTGGTTGGGACGTTGATCTACGCGCATTAGTCCGGCTATCACAATAAATGTTAAGCTAGGTAGACAATCCTCTTGATTTGACTTCATGTAACACAACCTCCTTTCTACCTATATCCCTGATGTGATTGGGCAAAAGGAAATAGATAACCCGAGGGCGAACATTCGTTCTGTGAAAGCGTATCTCAACTATTAGATGTTGGATAATATGGTGAAGCTCTGAGTGTTCCTTCAAGGTTCTTGATGATCATAGGTTATTGTCATCTGTCCTCCCATCAACCTCGTCTAGCAGCGTGGCTATTGGCTTCTGAGATTTAACCACTATAGCTCCAATACCTACAATGCCAGTCATGTCAGTAAGATAACCTCTAGGTGAGATATTCAGAATCCACCAATCGGCCATGAGCATCGTAGTTCAATATTTCCATTGGGTGTATTCATAGCCTATGTACATAATAGTTTCCCACCTCGCCTAACAATGCGTCTCATCGATGTTCCACATCACCGCCAAGAACGAGGCGTATCACGACCTCCCTCCACAAGTCAGGGGGGGAATGTAGGCAAGTAGGTCGCAATATTGCTTGCCGCATCGCTCCATGTGGGAATCTACAACGTGTCAGTACCCGCAGGACCCCGTACGATGCCATCAGGGTAATCCGGGCCTCCACGACGGACGAACATCTCAGTCAAGACCTCGTACGCGCCTTGGATCGTTACTCTGACACTCGCCTCCCTATCCCCGTTGTCGCAGACCTCGACGATGTGCCCGAGGAGCACAACGGGGATGTAATGGCTCCCGATATAGTAGTCCTCATCGCCCGTCTCGAAGACCCCGACGTAGCTCGTGCCATCTACTAGGTGGTGCAACTCCCTTATGCCGTTGGTTCTGGGGTTGTTGCCGGAATCAGGCTTCTTCACGTACACCCACGTGCCTACGTCTATGTTCGACGGAACACGGCCGCGCGAAGGGTCGAAGGACGCGACCATGAGTTCGCCGGTTCCTACATATGCCGGTCGCGCGACTTTGGTCGGTAAGGAGATGATACGGCCGGTCATGACTTCCTGGTTGCGAGTGCGAGTCATGACGACCAGGTCGGCTTTCATGTGCTGCTGTCTAACGAGGACGGGGTGGAGCGTGGCTTTGTATGAGGAGGCCGTCGAGATGTAGTCCGTGCCGTCTTGGATCGGGTCCATGTTGTTCATATCGAGGGATATGTTGATTAATGTGTAGTGTAGGTTTCGACTCGTATGCTTCACGAACCCGACACAGACGCAGTTTCCATCGTTCGTGTCAGTGTGCTCTTCGATCTGCGTTTCGGACTCGGGTACAAGACGGTCGGAGGTTAACCCGAGGAGGTACAGGTTCGCGTCTTCTACGAGGCCGCCTATGGTGACGGAAGCGCAGCATAATGTATCTCCCGATGGTGTCCTCCTGTGGAGGTGGACGCGTCGCGGTTGGGTCCAGTGTACATCGCTACCGTCGAGTGTGTCGTACACTTTAATTCTTCCGTGGAATGGCGAAGGTGTTGGTTGTGGAGGTTGTTCCATTGTCGTTTCGATAGCTAAGTTTTGATTGAACCCGTAAATCAAGCTGGCGAAATGAGAATACTCCAATAGCTGCTAGAGTTGGATATATATATTATTTCCATGGTTCTTTTCTTATGACTTGCATGATATGGTTATATTGACCAAGTCAGGCTCTTTGCTTCTAGTCCCTGACATCGGGCTTTAGAGTGAAGATATACCACGTACCTGAGTAAATTCCGATTCCTAAAGGGCATCCATATCACAGTTTATAGGCATCTTTACCCATTCAATCCCTCTGAGCGATGTATGTATGTCTCACATAACTTGACGAGAAGACACACCGTAGAAGATATCCAATTCTCTCTATGATCTAACAGCAACCGGCCTATCTATGTCTATCAGCGGGCTGCTCTAATCGTCCAAATTTCCGTCTACTGTCCGCGGATATGAATGATTGCACCAAATCTAATTCTAGGGATCTACAATCTCCCCTCACCCTGCTCGATCTCCAGCTCCGTACTTGTTAGTCCGTACCCGCCCGCAGCCGCCACATTCTCCTTTTGGTATAAGAAGCACTCATCCGAATCCACAAATTCGGGATCGAACTCGAAGATCCTCACCTCGGCGTTTTGCCATGGGTAATCGCTGCTTTCCCGGCCCGGTCTTGTCGTGATTCTTCGTAGAATATCACCATGCGACACGAACACGATATTCTTCTCCGGCCTGTCTCTCAAGAATTTTCTCACCCATTGGGCTCTCTCAGTCAACGCCCCCACAGTCGGTGCCCAGAATCCCTCTTTGCTATTCCAGTCAGGGGTTAAAGGCGTCAGGTCAAATACTGCAAATTCAGGGATACTTTCTAGGACCTCCTTCGATGAACCCGTGTCGCACTTGAATGAGTCAGTAATTTCTGATGCTTGCTGAGAAATTTCGCTCTTGAAACAGAGATTTCTCAAAAATGGAGGGGCAGGGGAATAATAAATACCGGCATATTATTGCACTCCTGAGCCTGGGGGAGCACAACGACATTTTTCAAGCCACCAAGGCGCTCGATAGCTGGCGCATATCCTAGGTAAGTGGTCTGAAGGGTGCGCCGCAGTGGAGAGGAAATTACGACATCTGCTTCTTTCTGCAGGTCGGGTATGAGCCGGCTGAGGGATGCCGCTTGCTTTTTACCAAGAGGGGTGAGCGGTGCGTCGGGGACTGTATGCGGGCTGTCAGCCACATTTTCTTATTCGTGTACCTGTACTTGAGGTACGTTCTGGATATACAACTCACTCCAGTAGTCTGAGTCGACATTGTGTTCTGCCTGGGCATGGCGAGTAAGAATGAGGCGTGAGTTGGGCGCCATAGTGAAGTAGAAGTAGAAGTGTAAACAGTAAAAAGTGTTGATGTGTAGAAGTTAAGAGGTGAGAGTGTGAGTGTATGATTGAGTCTATCTTATGGTCTATTTATGATTGACTGTAGTGATTGTTGCCTTGTATTTTCTGCCTGGGAATTTCAACAAATCATGCACGCTAAAATATGAGCAAAGCAGCTTAGAAGTTGAAGAGAAGGCGATGGATGGATGAGTGTTTGTACGGTGACTAAATGTCGCAGCGGAAGTCTACCGGACCTTAATTCCCCACTATATCGACGATCATGACGCCGGTCAACCGCACCGACAACGGCGAATGCCCGTCGCGCATGGACTAGATAGCACAGCCTACTGGTTGGAGACACTAAACCTTGATTATAGGAGTCATAGCTATGTGACTACTTATATATTAATCATTGATCTATTTTTCGATTTGATTATCTCAAACAAACCAGGCAACTTTGTCCGAGTAATCGAGCTTTAGAGGGATACGGATATAACAGTTATCGCCAACCGTAAATCTAAAAGCTGTGTAATCGCTGGCTTCGTGAAAATGCCAAGGAACAGTCTACTAGTACCAATGACATTATCGCTGAATGCGCTGCTCCTGGTAACTCCTAGCAACAGGCAATTTCTAAAAATCACTTCTAAAACCAGAAGTGTGTAGTGATAGAATTTAAGCAAATAGAATTCAAAACTCCCCAAACACCACTACTCCTGGGTATGTCCCAAACGTCTTGTCTCATCCTCAATCTTTTGCGATCGGTAAATTCCAGCCATGAATAGCCAACACTCTCTAAACTGCAAGGTGTTCAAGCCGAAAGAGTAGCCAAATATTTCCACCATCTTCCAACCCGCAGCAGAATCAGAACAACTTCAAATTAGTCCTCTGCTGCAAATTCGTGCCGTTGAGCATAGCCCTCGACTTCTTCGGACGAGCCTGCAAGCGTCTAAACGCCTCCTGTATATGTCTCGACTCGACGGGGGTCTTACCCTCGTTCGGGGGATCGAAGAGGCCCTGCGCAAGCTTCCGCTTTTTCGTACCTGAGTTCTCACCACCACTGCGTTCCTTCCAGAGGTCCTCTTGCTCCTTAATCTTGAGTGCCTCCTCAGTGAGCGTCTGCACCATCTCGAAGGTCAGGAAGCCGAGGATGTCCACTATGTCATCCGACGGCTTGCTGTCCGTCACGATGCCGAACCCGGCCCACTCCCTGAACCGCTTGCCCTTGCGGTACGTGAACGACGCCTGTCGGTACTCCGACCACGTCACGTACTCCTCGCGCGTCATTGCCTTGGTGCGTTCGTCAGCCTTACGCAGGCGTTGCAGGGTGATGTAATTCATCTCCTCCTCCTCCTCGTCTTCCTCGTCGTCGCGCTCTGGCACTTCCTGGCTATAGTACGAGGTCGGTTCCCACGGGAGCTTGACCTTGGCCTTCTTGTTCTTCTTCGCGGCCTCTTCGACCGCGGGGCCGCCCGGCATGACGCCACCTGCGGGGTCGTCGGCGACGCCAATGTCCGCGTCGCCGCCCTTCTCGTCGGAGTCCTTGGCGCTTTTGCGCACGTCCTTCCACGAGAGAAATGTCCGCAGCCGCGACACCTTGGGCGCGTCGTCGCGGATCTGGAAGATTAGATCGTTGATGGTGATTGAGCGCGAGCCGCGACGCGCAGCGAGCTCTGTGCAGTTTCGCAGCATCTCGATCACTTGCTGCCGCACGATCTCCTCGATCATGGCCGTGGTCTCGACAGATGGTTCTCCTGTCTCGCCAGAGACGTACATCATCTGCTGGATCTCCTGCCGGTACTTGTGCTGCTTGTTGCTGTCCGCCATCTTGATTGATGATGATAAGCAGTGTTTGAATCGGGTTGAATGAATAATGAGGTTTTCTATCGATGCATTTAATTTGTAATATGGGCTTGGAGGAATAGATATAAATAATATCAATTGAATCGAGTTTAATAGGACTGTTAGAAGGTATATGTTGTAATGATAGAATAAGAATGAAGAGTTGAATGGTCGTGAATTATTTAGAGATAGGTACAATTGAAAGTTGAAATTCCTCTGTGCATAATTGGTGGGACAAAATATTGGCTTAATAAGTTAGCGGCACTGTGAACATATGAGAGTTCAGCCACCAACTCTAAATATTGAAAGGGGAAAGTACAAATTGGACAAAAGAATTCTGACTGTTAACAAGATATTCTTATTCTCGTCTTTTCGTTATTCCATCATGTAACTGACTGTAACGGACTGTACTAGGTACGATATCTCTTACTCAGTTGTAAGGTGAGGAATACATTGAATATCATGTTGGTATTTTTGAATGGACTACAAAGCCAGATGCTTTCTATTCCTTAGCTCTTATGGTGGCAGAGGAGACTAATAAATACTTCTCAGCATGTTCATCGACTTATTCCTCATTCCCATCACAATCCACTTTCCCACGCTTGAAATCCGTCTCCTCTCCAGCCTCGAGACACGATATAATGATCTGCCAAGAGGTTCCATTCCTCAACTTCATCTAACCCCTCTAGACCATCAACCCTTTCTTTCTCCCCCTCCGCAATCCATCTCCGCCATATATCCCCTATGGTAGAGCTCTTTACCGAATCAAAGCCTGCATCCTTCAGCCGGGATTGCTGTTTGGCGGAATCTTGATAGGCATCTAGCGTCGGCATGCGAATCCGTCGCGCTGCCAAGTTAGACACCATCTGCCTACCGAAAGAATCGTTCGGGTGAATTGGCTCGTAGATGATGATGGCTAAGTTTGGAATCTTCTCGGTGAAGTACTTGATCACCCCTTGAGCCTCTGAAGTCTCTAGATAACATAGACAACACTCTGAGATCAAAACAGTTGGAACATCTGTACGGAGACCATCGAGTGATTGTACATCATCCTTGAGTAGATCTCTCAAGTCTAATCCGTGACACCGATATTGGCAATTATTCTGTAGACTTGAACTTTTCCAGCTGTTGGTATCGGCTTGTGGATTAGTAATGATAGACCTAAGTTGCGGCACAGCATTCACAAGGTTTAGTTTCTTGGTGGAAATTGCAGGGAAGTCGATCTCATGGTAGATAAGACCGGTTTCCTGGGGCTGAGAGAACAGTTTAAAACATCTCGTGTCTGTGCCAGCACCAAGTGAGATAATTTGCCGTTCCTTTGTTGCAGTACCAGCCAAGAATGAGGATATTAGTCCATCCAGAGCGGTAGTCCGGGTATAAGTCCCTACCTCTAGCCTTAGCACTCGCTAGGGCAGAACGGCCCTCGGACATCTTACCTCGATTTATGATAGGCAGCCTTCTGACGGTGCCGCCGACTGTGTTCTGGACAAAATATTGTGCAAATGGGTCTTGCAGGTAGCCGAGGTCGACTGCGCTCATGCGCGACACGGCGGCATCTGTATCGGTGCCTTGAATAGTAGTATCATGACTAATCGCTGCAGACTGCGAATGGCCTCCTCGTCCACGGCCGCGACCCCGGAAACCCCCTCCTCTAGAGCCTCGAAGCGAGAGAAGATTTGGGATAGATGGAGCAGACATCTAGCCGGTCTCGTTAATGTTGGCGTTGATGAACTGAACAAATTCGGGTCCGTAAGGCTGATGGTGTGATGTAATAGTCGCTAAAGAGCGTTGTAAAGTCATGGGCGAATTATAATTGGCTCTCATAAAATCCAGGTCTAACAGTGTCACAGATCAAACAGATACTGTCGAATCAGCAACAACGGAAGCGACGGGGTACGCTTCCAACATCAGGTTAACAGGCTGTCAAGTTAGGTAGGAAGCACAGAAGCGAGGCAGTGCAGCCAATTCCAAAGGTACCTTGCGATCGGGGGCGGCGGTTGCCTAGATTGTACGCGACAATACGTAAGTAGGCTTACTGTGCTGCCGACGCTCCGAAAATGTCAAATATCGGATGTTTGATTAGATAGTACTTTAAAGTTGGTGGTAACTACATGCATGACGAAGTACTGATCTAACAGTTATTAGTCCGAATGTTTAAGCTTTCTACAGTGCGAGACACCGTATTAGCCGCAACTTGTTCGAGATTCGATGTTCCTTTGAGTTGCCTGCGCTGACATTTATCATTTGTAAAGGACTTTTCAGCTCCTATTTCCCCGTTTCATACATCTTCGTCACCCCCTCTTCTTACATTTTCTCACTGCTGTTATTACTCCATCTTTTGAATTACATACTTTTTAGTTTATCAACATCACATTCCCTTGTATACTACTACTAGCTTTGATTTATTGAATATCTACTATAAGCCACCCAAAATGTATCGCGACATCGCCCACGCGGTTTATAGGCGGGGCCAAGACTCTATGGAGAACTATGAGATGCCTGGCTGGGGTTTAGGGCTGATCTTCCTAGATGTCCTCATCTTCTTGCCTTTGGTCTTGATGGTACGATATCCAACTACGCGTGTATCGGAACACAACTAACGCGGCTATTTAGGTCAACTACTCTCTCCAACATGTGTTTCCAACGCTTGCTATTGTCGAGGACCCATCACCTCCGGCCTACGAACCCGTATCCCTGAACGATGACGCCCAATCTTTCGCCGAAGACAATGCCCCGCTTGCCGGCGAGGCTGCTAGTTCCCAACCTCGTCTCATCACCTCTTCCCTCCGATCCACCTACCGAACTCTCACTGCCATTAGCGGATGGCGTTCTCTGTTCCGAGGTCTTGCGTGCTATTTCTCTCTGGGTGTCGCTACTTCGGTCGTCTACGGCATTCTAGTTAGCACCTTCATCCCCGGTCCCATCGCCGCCCCTCTCTCCGCGCTCGGTCTCGTCCAGCTCTACACAGCATGGACTCACATCGTCATCTCGGCACCGAGCTCTAAGACTTTCTGGCAGCGTCTTCCCCCCTTCAAGAAGGCTTTCAACGCTACCGCTCTCCCGATTTCCATGTACTTCTTCTCGGCTGAGCTCGCTACGTTTGTTCCCAGAATGCTTGCGTATGCTATGTCCATGAACCTGCCGAACCCCAAGCAGCCCGGTGTCATTCCCGTGGCTGACAAGAACGACATCTGGAAGGGTGTGATTGTGCTACTCGTGTCGCTTGTTTTGCACATCTTCCTCGTCATTCCCACTCAAGTTATCCTCACCCGTGTCCAGGCCTCTCTCCTTCCCGATGAGGATGACACCGTCGTTCCCTTTGATCGTTCGTTCAGCGGAAAGGTGGAGCCCGCCATTGTCGGTGGCAAAGGTTTCGTCACTGTCAAGGATGCCTGGCAGTCTTTCTCTCGCGCCTCGTGGGTTCGCCTTGTCAAGCTCTATGTTAAGATCTTTGGGGCCGGTCTAGCCCTTGGTCTACTCTGGGTGGCTGTTATTGTACCCGAGATGTTCCTCATCTTGAGCCACAGCAAGAAGGCTGCTTAAATCTGATCGATCTACTCCATGGTCATGAACCATGACGCTACAGTCCGCTCTGGTACAAATATACTTGTCATTTCTGGATGGTTCTTGCTGCATGTCAATATTAATGGTTGAGAGGACACTTGGAAGAATAAAGAGCAGGCCTGGCGTTCAGATGAAAGTAGGACAATGGATTATAGCATTTATCCCCTGAATTGGGTGACAGGGCGATTCAACTATGATATTATGAAAAAGGGTTAGTTACATGCTTTTTGGTTCAGTCGAACCGTCCGTACATCAGAATAGCAACTTTTCAATTATAACATGGTAAAATCAGTATTTTCATATTTCTAAAGCTTGCGTATGTTCAAAACTACGAAATACTTGGTGACTTGGATAGATACTAGGTACATACCTATGTACCTATGTATATTTGTTGGTCTAACATTATATGACATCGACATCGTTTAACCTGCGATGGCTTAACTAACAGAAATATCAGTCATAATAGTAGTAGATATAGATATGGTACATTGAAGGATTCAGCCCGTCTTCTAAAAATATAACTTATGATAGAGTAGTTGAAACTATTTACGCCTTAGATGGCGTTAACAGATCCATCCATCGATTCAGGTGGGTTTTGCTTTGTTGCACAGGCTACAAAGCGCTAGTCCTAATGCGATAAAGAATACGTACCTAGGTACGTACTTTGTACTAATGAATCAATGAAATTGTTAATTGGCTAAAAGGAATCAGTGAAGACCCATATGTGATTCTGCTGATTCTTACCGCCCGACCAAAGTTTATAAATACCTTTCTTCCCTCCCAGATTTCTGAATTCTTTTTTTCCTTTCTTCTTCATACTTACCTTGTTCAGGCAACCCTCGCTCAAGCATGAGGGTTGCCAAGGGGGGAGACCTGCATTGCACAGCGCGGAGTCGACCCTTTTCTATTATCCCTCGTGGATCGTAGTGAGCGCAATTTTTGATCTCAAAACTTTTGTTTTCGTTGTGACCGATGCCTTGATGCATCGCCATAAGGAAGATAGTTGACATTTGATCTGTGCGGCATATCTAGAACATGCTTGTTTTTATTACTAGAGGGATTGAAGTTCTGTCCTAGACGTCTTGAATTCATTGGTACTTTCTACCTAGGTAGTAGTGTTCCGTAATCTATTTTCATCATACATTGCCGCCACTATCACCTTGCATGCACCGTACATTCCGCCATTAAACACATCACATCGCCATTTCCCCATCCCATCCCTCTATCATTAACGCCTTTCCTCTTCCCCTCCCTCCCTTCTCCCCAATCCACCTTTCTAATCTTTCCTCTCCAAAGCCCAGCTCCATAATGCTCAGACTAAACTCGTCGACATCCTCAGGTCGCTTGTCATAAAATAAACTCTCCGTTCGCGTCGTCGGCAGGAATAGCGCGCCCTCCTCCCTACACGCGCGATACCACGCATACGGCGACTTCGCATCCCACAACCCTCCCCGCATCGTGATCGTCACACGTCCAGGACATTCCGACCAGCCCTGCTTCATATACATGTATGTCTCCTGGATATAAGTCGCAATCGACCACGACCGCCTCACGCTCTCGACTAGGATCCAAGCCCTCCACAACCCTTCTTCCGAACAATGACTACCTCCCCCTCCTCCTCTAATCCCACCACCCGAACTCGAACTAGACTCAGACCCGGGACTTGCACCGTCGTCACCACAGTCATGACCACTGTTCGGAATGGGATTAAAAGCAAACCCCGCACCCGCCCCAAACCCAGACCCGGAGCAATACCCCGAACTCACCAGCTCAGCTAGAAACCGCGCCCCCCGCGTCAGCGACTCGCGTGCACAGTCGAGTAGCTGCCGGGCCCAGAGCGCCAGCGTCGGGATCAGCGCCTCGGCCTGCGCCCGCATGCGCACATCGCCGTCGAAGAGCCGGATCGTCTGGTACGCTAGTAGCGCTTGTACCCGGCTCAGGTGGTCGAAGATATCGGGGTTCTTGCCTAGTGATAGCGAGAGTGCTTGGTCTTCTAGTAGCTGCGTTGCGCGGTCGTCGAGGATGCGGGTTGCTGTTGCCCGGGCGTCGGCGCTGGCGGTAGATGATGTCCTTTGGCTGTGGTTGTGACCATGGCTGTGGTTATGGCTGTTGGAAGGAGGTAAGGTATGGTACATGGCGATGGCCGTGTATGCGTCCTGTATGTGCCGTGGCATCTTCTCGCGGTACAGGTTCCTATGGTGTAGTGGACTGCTGCCCTCCGTCACCCACCGTCTTAGCCAGCTTTGCACGCTCTCGATGAAGCGCCGGATCACGCCATCCATCACCGCCGCCGATTGGACCGGGGGAGGTGTAAAATCCGCGAACCATGACTCCGGCGTTAAGAACCAGGTATCCGAGGACGTAGCATCGGGCGGGGCTTGCGGCTGAGGGCCTGCTGCTGCTATTGGCGCCGGAGCGGCTGCTCGACACCCTATTGCTCTCCCGGCTACTTCCGCTGGCGTCAGCGAGAGAGGGGGGAAGCCTAAATCACATGAGTCCGCGTCGTTACCACCACTCTGACTCACCGAGGGCGCGTCTGCGGGCGCGTCTGCGACTGATGATGATGCTGACGCCATCATATCTGTTTCCGCATGAACGATTCGCCGTGCTGGAGGGTATATGCAGGGTATGCGTTTATCCGCACACCGTCGGCACACGGGTAGACCTTTGGTGCATTGTCTCTTAGACTTGGTGCAAGAAGTGCAAGCTCGTCGCCAAGGTGAAGCCATGCTTTAATAGGTAAGTCCAGGTGAGTTTTAAGTAGATATGCTGTAAGTCTGCGCTCATTCGGGAAGGGAGAGCTATACGATTGGATTGTGATAGGATGTTCAGCGCGCCATTCTACTCAACGTAACATGCATAGGTCTCAGAATCGTTCCGCAGGTTGCGGAAATGAGCTGAAAGAAGCTAAGATCGGGACAGCTCTACGAGTACGAAATAAATACGGTATATGTGGGCTTACCGGGGGTCATTCACATTTGTAAGCCCGCAGCACGGAGAAATGTGGAGACCATCTCTCACTATAATCGGGAAAGAGGAAACCATCACGACCCCGAACCAATCAGAGCTGCGGGAAATTATGGTGTCGTTCCCCTTTTCTGCAACCACTCGAGCATGCATTTTACCATAGCGCGGGGTGGTGAAATGCTACACCCGTCGGTATTATTAATATTGAGCCACTGCGAAGCCTGAACTACAGTAGCTAACTTGGCAATGAGATGCTAACATAGCATCAGATACCGTGCTATGACGATATCATATTACATTCTCGGCTTGAATAAACCGGGGGCGGTAGAAATGATAGATTGCTGTAGAGCTCATGAATTTGTATATAAGCCATGGACTCCTATGTCTATCAGCCAGGTTTAGAGAACAGAATTTCATATATTGCTCATAGCATTCAAAGATCACCCTGAACATAAATCTCTAATCCTAACACCAATCAGCCAGACATCCCCTTTACTCACAATACAAAATGGAAGGCTTATACAACTTAGGGGCCGTAACCAAAACTACCCACCGTGCCTCCTACCCAGCCATCTCCTCCCTCCGCCCTGAACTCTCTCAAGCCGGCAAAACCGTCCTCGTCACCGGCGGCTCCGCAGGCATCGGATACGCCATCGCGCGCTCCTTCGTGCAAGCCCAAGCCGCCAAACTCATCATCTTAGGCCGGCGCTCCGGAACCGTCGCGAAAGCCGTGTCGTCTCTAACCACGCTCGCCCGCGAAACCTCCACCAATGGCGGCCCCGCCACGGTCGTAGGCCTCGAGTGCGACATGGGCAGTCCTACGGACGCAGCTGCCTTATGGGCGCGATTGGCTGGCGAAGGCACGGTTGTTGATGTGCTCGTGCTGAATGCCGCGGCTATCCCCCCTACCAAGCCGCTCCTGGATATGGGCGCGGAGCTCTGGGCTACGTATTACGATGTCAATGTCCGCGCGCAGTTGGATTTCGCGGGGAGGTTTTATAAACAGCTGGGGAAGGGGGTGGGGGAGACGAAGGTGCGTTATACTTAGTACTTCTATCCTACATTCACTGCTACACCAAAATGAAAAAAAAAGGAACGCCATGAAGAGCGGCTCGGAAACCGACATCACAAATTTAAGGCCAAAAAGTCCATACTGACGCATCTCCTCGCAGTACCTCGTCCACGTCTCCACAATGGCGGTCCATAACTGGGAGATCAACCCGGCGCGGGCCTACGGCCTGACCAAGAACGCCGGCGCCGCTGCCCTGCAGATGGTTGCCGCGGATGTGGCGCCCGAGAAGATGCAGATCATCAACTTCCACCCCGGCGCCATCTTCACCGACGCTGCTAAGGACGCTGGATACACCGAGCAGACTATTCGGTGGGACGAACGTACGTGTTTCCCAACTCCAACCCCAACCCCCTTTCTACCTCCCTAGGCATTTTCCGCCGTTTTGGCGTAGGGTTAATGAACTGACTTTGTTCTTTGCTACAGCCGAACTCCCGGGCGACTTCGCCGTCTGGGCTGCTACCCCCGAGGCTGGGTTCCTCCATGGCCGGTTCGTGTGGGCGTGTTGGGATGTTGATGAGTTGAAGAGTGGGGAGGTGAGGAAGCGGATTGATGAGGATCAGTGGTACTTGAAAGTTGGTGTTAGGGGTTTGTGAGGATGGGGTAGGAATACAAATAAGGGATATCTTATAGATAGTTGTGCTTATTGAAAGACTATAGATCAGTTAGTTAGATATATTGTATCAATTACGTACTAGGTAGACAGGGCTATTCAGCTCTATCATAGTACCGAAATTGCAAGTACCTATATATTTAAATAAGCTTCTTAACGGCGCCTTACTTACTATAGAGTTTACTTCTATTTTAAACATTAGCACACCTATCTATATTGCCCGGGGCTAGGGGGGTGAAGCAAGGTAGCATCGTACTAGCTGTATATTGTGTGACATGCGCAGACGAACATTAAAAATAAAAGGGGTACAAGACCCATTAAGAGAAGAGAAAAGATGGTATACGAACTTGTGGCGAGCTAACTGCTACTATCGCCTGCTCCGTGACGCGGTCTCCGACCACAGGCTCCTCCCCTGGCATAAGTCTAGTTCATTTGTAGATCTATATAAACGTCACATAAGGGCAGTAAGACTAGGGGGTATAAATAATTTCTGAGATCATTAAACGTAACTAGGTAGTCTAGGTAAGTAAAAAATATACAAGCCAAGCCCATTCCATACCATACCATATCCAAAGCCCATCATACACATATACACACATCACCACCCGTCCACGACCGTAGCGTAGACATGCATGCCGTATTCCGGCCTAGCAGTGATGCCTCCCTTAATCGTTATGTTCTTCTCGTCCCTGTACTTTTCGTCCCTCAGAGCGAACTCGAACCGGCCAACCCACGTCGCGAGCAAGCACGCGAACTCAGCCCTGGCGAAGGCCAAGCCGATGCAACTCCTTGGGCCGTGGAGGAATGTCAGGAATGCGTAGTTGCTCGACGCGCCTCCGCTGGCGGCTTTCTTGTCGTCGGGACCCTTCGGCAACCAACGGTCTGGGTTAAACTCATCCGCGTCAGGGCCCCACAGAGTCTTGTCGAAGTTCGTGGCCCACGGCGATAACATGACTGCCGTTCCCTTGGGCACTCTCTGTCCTTGTATCGTCGTGTCTACGGTAGCCTCGCGAAGCGTGAGCGGGACAGGGGCGTAGTAGCGTAAGACCTCGTTAGCGACGGCGTTTAGATAAGGCAGGTTGTCGATGTCTTGGCTATTGACTTCCTGGTCCGAGTCGATAGGGGGTAGGTTTTCTCGAATCTCGGCGCGTAGTCGTGCTTGTATTTCGGGGTTCCGGCAGAGCATGTATATACCCCAGCTCATCGCGGTAGCCGTCGTCTCGTGGCCGGCTGCTAGGAAAGTCATGAGCTGATCGACGAGGTTCTCATCCGTGAACCCGCCAGATTCTAAAGCGACGGAAAGGATATCGAGATCTTTAAGCTCTTTTCGCGCTAGCTTCTCCTTCTTTTCTCGTATCAGTCTCCGGCATACGTTTCGAATAGTTTCGGATGCTGCGCTTATGTCGTTGTTGCGTTTGATAGGGAGCCGAGCGAGAAACCAGTTAGGAAATAGCAAGTTTAAGAAAGCCAGCCTCTGGGCCTGTCTTGATGGCTTGAAAACATCTCGATATGTTTGACTGAGTTCCGCATTTGGATCCTGGATAGCACCGAAGTCTTGACCAAACCCAGCAAGACCAATGATGTCTAGCGTCACCCGGGACCCCCAATCACCAACCTCGATGACACCCGTCTTCTTCGCTTTCTCGGGGTCTTGGGAAGATGTTTCATTCTGTGCGTTGGCAATAACAGTCTTCGTCATAACCTGTACAACTTCACGACCCTTTGACCAAAACGTCGGATAGAGTTCCTTGATGTGTCGAAATGCGAATGCAGGCAAGAGGTTTTTGCGCTGGAATTTGTGTTCATCACCCTCGGCAAGAAGTACCCCAACACCTAGGAGACGACTGAGACCGAAGCGGATAGTGCCTGGCTTCTGAAAGTCATAGTTTCGGGTAACTAAAACCTCAGCAAGGGCTTTGGGACCAGTTATGAGTAAACGCTCCTGGTTGAACGGGCCAAGGTACCGAATAATGCCATCATTTGGTATAGTGGCAACCCTTTCATATTATATCAGCAAAACATAAACATAACTAAAAATGTATACCTATACATACCACTTCCTCATGGGTATACCTGTGGGCTGAGTCCTAATATCCTTAAATTGTCCCATGAAGAAAGATCCATCCTTGGGTTGAGGAAGACCACGAAGGGGAGAAAATAATTTAGGATATAATATGACTCTCCAAATACCGTAATATACAAATACTTGGAGAGACCAGATGGCAACGAACGTGCCGAAGAATCCCAACTTAGCCCATCCTGGCTGGAAAGAAACGACAAGATATGAGGAAAGGAGCGATATAATAGAGAAATTGCGCAAATTTGACAGCATCGTAAATATCGTGTATAGTCGAAAATTGATGCAATTGCTAAAGTTGATGACTGAGAGTTGTCAGAAAAGCCAGAGAAAGACTATGGCCGCATTAAGGCGAATTTGGTCCCAGGCGATGGGTGTCTTAGTTACTTAGAGTAGAGTCCTAGGCGAACGGAACAGGGGCTAGCCGAAAGGTCATGCGTTGAGAAGTCGATCTGAAAAGGTCCCAACCGCGACTAGAGAAATAGTTGATATGATATTCCCAACAACGATCGATGTATGTCTTTAGAATTAAGTAGTCGGCTTAATACAAAAATAGTTGATTAATAAAGGCGAATAGTCATAGGTTAATAGAAGGTTGACGTGACGAGCCTAGTAGCTGTTATAGAACGTCTAACCAATTAAATAACAGATTAATCCCAGTTGGGTAGTCTGAGGTGTTTCGTTAACAGGAAGACGGAGTTTATAGAAAAGGCCGTTTATAGTCTAATTGTCATGGACTTCGTGGGGCGAGTGGCACTATGGAATGAATTTAAAGGCCGCCGGGGTGATTAAAGGCTAACGTAGCCGTTTTTATATACAGAATCTGATTACTGTAAGAGTAGATCTGGTTAATGGAAACGAGATGAAGCGAATCCGACACTGGCCGGCCCACAGATTGGTCCCTGATACATATCAATTTGCAGGGATTCTCAACTTCAACTTGACCTCTCGCAGAGGAACATACGAAAGAAGGCAATAGGATGTCGAATGATGGTTAGTGCAAAACAGTTAAAAAGGGACGCGTCATGAATTTTCAAGCTCTAAAAGGATCATCATTGGCTAGTTCTAATAGGTGTTCCAACACACTACCTAGGACCTAGGTATCGTTCTCGTTCTCGTTTAGAGGGTTATCCAAAAGACACTGTAGGGAGGCATATAAAAGTCGCTCTCGCTCTGCTCAGCCAAAAATCAAAAATCGGCCGATCAAAAAGTCGGCCGAACTATTGGAAAGCCCCGCAGATGCACAACCGGATAGATTTCCAAGATTCCAAGGTTCTTACAACAGATTCGGATGATTAGAGGCTGAACGGCACTTGCGATACATACTATGTAGGTGGTGTATATGGTGTAGATAGTGTAGATGATCATGATTTGAATACTCTATCAGGCTAGGAAAGCGAGCAGGTTCTTTTGGTTTGACTTAGGATATCTTCCGTGCGGAGAGTTTTCCACACTGGCGCGGCGAATGACAAGTGTATAACGCCGACACGGCAAGATTCAAAGACGAAGTCCATGCTCGATTCGGATGGATCCAAAGATGTAATACCTACTAATTACCATGTGGCTAACCTGTCCCCCAGCCCCGCGGGTCCCCGACGGGCAGCCGAAGGGGTTTCCGTATTGGCAAGGTGACCGAAGATGGGAATGATTACGATTGGATAACTCTGAATGGAAGAATGATTCGGTATCTAGTATGTAAAGAGTTAAAGAGATCCGAACCGCGAAGCACTTGCATTTTTAGTCCGAATCAAATAGTGGGATGGATCCTTGTTTCTTTCGCAACTGCCACATACTACTTTTGATTCGTACCTCTTGCCAACCTATCGAATGCAAGCAATTATCAAACTCTTTAGTATGTACATGTACTTAGTTGGTATACCAAATCTCTATTCGATCTATACATCAGATTGGTATCTATACTCCATAGTATGGTCTGATGAGCATAATATGTACAAACGCAAGTGCGATATCACATATCATGATTGTACATAAGATGGCATAATTTAAATAACTTTTAGTTTGTAATGAAATTTCACCTTTATAACTTCCAATTTCATCCCGAATAGCTTCATGTTACAAGCGATGGCTAGCGCTGAGCTCTTCCGTACATCGGACACTTTGTGTCCAACTGCAACCCTCTCACGCGATTTATTACTGGTATAGAGAAATCTCAATCTCTAAGCTGATTGGACCGCGGTATATCAAAGGTCCAAGCCACCGACATATACCCATGCACGAAGCTGATCATGGCACTACGATACCCTGTTCTTTGCGTTTGTGACGAGGGATCAATTACATTGAATTAGAAAGTTCTACGATATCGTAAATAACAGTAACGTCAAGATAATCTCGTAACAAAGTATCGTCTCCGGTACTAGGTAGCTATCAGCTGAGCGAGAATCGACAATGGCATCTCCGTTGGCTAAAATCGGCATAATCTCCATCGGAGATATGGGGGTGGGAATTGCCAAGCTACTGATCGCCAACAGATTCTCAGTTGCGACGAATATCAAAGGTCGAAGGTCAGTTAGTTAGCCAGCATTGCTATCCTCGAGCTTGTAATTTGCCCATTGGGTTTCTCTTTGACTTCACCCGATGTTGTGTCATAAAGCCGATCTCATGCTTAAAACGTCCACAGCAACGACACTCTCGAGCGCGCTAAGGCTGCGCAAGTCGAGCTCCTCGACTCGGATGAGGCCCTAACGCAAGCCTGCTCCGTCATCCTCTCTGTCGTGCCACCCCGCGATGCCGTCGCAACCGCGCAGCGCATTGTGGACGCCCTCACAGGGCCCCTACGGCGGGACTCCTCGTCCCCGCTCTACTACGCGGACTTAAACGCCGTCGCGCCCTCGAGCGTAAAGCACATCGCCTCGCTCTTCACCAGCAACAAGCAGATTAGCTCCTCCGTGCGTTTCGTCGACGGATGCATCCTCGGCGGACCACCCGCACTTAAACCCGATACCTCGGAATGGTATCTCCCCAGCCTCCCCACATCCGGTCCGCACTCTCTCTCCTCGATCCCAGACTACGGGCCGCAGCTCTTCTCCGCGCTAAACATGAAGCACATCTCCGAGGACATCGGCGCCGCTAGTGGGCTTAAGATGTGTTTCGCGAGCATGGGTAAGGGCTTCATCTCACTCGCCATCCAATCCTTCACAACGGCGCACCGTCTCGGAGTCCTGGACACGATGAAAGCAGAACTAGCGGCCGTGCTGCCGATGCACCTGACCATGGCCGAAAAGGGTGTCGTGAGTATGGCGCCCAAGGCGTACCGGTGGGCCGGGGAGATGGAAGAGATCGCGCGCACGTTGCAGGAGGAGGGCGGTTTCGAACCAGACTCGTTTATCGGTGCTGCGAAGGTGTATAGGCTTGTGGCGGACGATACGGTGTTAGGTGAGGAGAAGATAGGGAAGAGGAAGCGGGGTACGACGGTGGAGGATATGGCGGTTGCGGTGGCGGAGGGGTTGCAGTCGAAGAAGAAGAAGAATGAGTAGAGGGTTAGAAGGGGGAGATGGAGATAGACATTGTTAAAGGTGGGTTGAGAGTAGATATAGGCAATGCCATGCCTATTATAGATCTAGACTTGGGGGTTATAATGTCTTAACTTCCCATGGTAGAAATCCCAAGGCACCCTTAGTATCATAACAGCTCAAAGTACCTAGTAAAAAGACAAATCGGAAAACTATGGATGGGATATACCTAGTAAAGGGTTGCAGGTGTCTACCATCACGATCTGCTTCAGACACTACACCTGCATTTACTGCATTGTGAGATGGGTAGAATAGCAGACATGTAGCTAGGAAGATTTTATTTGCCTAGCACGATACCGAAGATGTCAAATTCAGACTAAAAGCACTCTTGTTGACCCATCTTAATACTCCGTACAAGCAATCATGTGTTTACCATGCAATGAATGACCGTCCGCCAGACCAATTTACTCAATCATGTCCACATCATCACCGACAGGGGCATTGGCGCTTGTCTGTGCCGCCGGGGCTGCGTCGTTGCTTCCACTGGGGTTGAAGTAGTCTGCCATCTCGGCATCCAGCTCCTCCTGCGTCTTCTTGGGGCGTCCATCCCGGCCAGTTCGCTCTCGGCCGTTAGGTGTGCTAGTGCCTGCCTCGCGTCGAGCGCCAGGTCGTCTTCCACCACCATTACCACCGCCGCCTCCATTGCCACGTCGGCGAGGAAGGGGGCTGCGCGACCGACTGACACGGCCAGGTACGTAGCGGTCAACGCCTCGGTCTCTGTCTGAGTTGCGGCGAGGTGAAAGAGAACGAGGTCGAGTTATCCGCTCGGCTAACGGACGACCGGGCATGTGTGCGGTGTCGAATGGGTTACGTCGGGGAGCCGAGGAAACAGTCGATAGGCGGATTGGCTGACCTATAGGAGATATGTTAGCCTGTGACATGTAGTCGCTGGGAGGGGCTATCCTTACCCTTGGCATTGGCACCATCGTACTGCTTGATCGCCTCCATTGCATCGTTTCGATTCTCATAGGTAACGAATGCTGTACCTTCCGAGCGGCCAGCACGGTCGTACAGCAACTCGAGCTTCACAACATTACCAATCTTGGCAAACAAACCCTAGAACCGGGTTAATGTAGTTCAAACGGAGGAGAATGTGTTCATTCTTACATCGAGGTCTTCCTCCGTAAGCTCGTAGTGCAAGTTGTCTACCTTGACTTTTACTCCACGAGTCTCTCTAGTATTACTATCAGATAACTGTCTCTTTGGTTTAAGAGATATGAGGTTATACGAACTGGAATCGATCCGGAGACGGCCGACGTCGTGGGTTTCGCTGGCGGTTGCGAGCTAAGGTGCCATTAGCTATTGAGACTCGGTTTTGGTGATATTAGCTAATAGCCGACTTACAGCCAGGCTCGTCAAACTTGTCGTGAACCCATTCTCTAACCCTTTGTCAGTTTATAATCATGTGCCTATATTTGGTGGTTCTACTCACGAATCCATGTTTCTCGAATCATCTCGGGTTGACTGTCTCGAAGAACGAGATTGCTAGTTAGCCATTATCACTTCACGAGTAAACCATCACCGATCGAAGTCCGAGGCATCGAGCGCAGGTCGATAACTTAGCAGGTCGCTCGAGGTAAAGGGATGCGTGGTCGAAGAGGGAAAGGAAAAATGCACCTGCAGCAGAAGACTATTAGATATTGCAAGACAATGGTATGGGTGTAATTGAACAGTTACCTTTCTTACGCCATCGCGGGGATAGGTGTCGCGTTCGCGAGGTCGACCACCACCTCCACCACCTCCATTTCCACCACCGCCTCGACGAGGTCTAGAGCCTCGCTTTTTATGCTGAAGACTCAGTTAGCAAGAATAGCAATAAAACGACCACAAGTCATTCATTTGTATAATAATTAGTTCAATTACGTACCTGGGACTCAGCAACGATCTCATCAAGACTACGATCCATTTTCAAGCGTTGTTATAATAATGGCTGTTTGGTAAATGTCAGCGACAAAGACGCGGCTTTGTTCAGAGGATCTTAGTTGTACGTGTAACGGGTACAGAGGTACATCACAGAGCTTTGACTCTATTTTCATGGCTAGCGTGGAGTTAGCGTGGACCCTTTTATCGGAAAGCTGCATGATTACACAATACAGTGTAAATTAAACAATTTACGTACTGTATAGCTGTAAAGCTGTTTGTATATGGATATTGTTTGCTATCACTAATTATATGTACAAATGCATGAAGAAGATACTAATGATACCTACTTTATAGCTGATTTTCTTGGTAGACAGGTTTAAACCCATCAGAGTACGAAAAAAGCTCGGGGCGAGTCAACTTTCGTTGTGAATACCTGAGGCTGTTCAGTTGACTCGCTCGCATCGCTATCGCTCATCTCATACGGTGATGCCGTAGTTTTCAAGAAGAGACCAGTCTTCGATACCACACCAAAGTGGTTATCGATTATTTCGATGCCATTTGATATGTTTGCAGAATCAGGCTCTTGATCGCTACTTGAAGCAACACCCAGGGCTGTTAATGGCGTCATGTGCTGAAGTGCTCCTAGTTCTTTCTCTGTCCAGTGTGGTTCGATACAGAACATAAGATATGAACCTGGGGTCACGATACCTTGGGATGGATTTGGATTATCAATATCTTCGAATGCCTTGATAAATGTTTCAATATCGTCTTGATCATCTTGATCTGGTAGGGAGAACTTCGTCTCAGGGTCAAGGGAAAGGAGTCCCTGTTTGAGGCCCCAGCCACCTCCTCCGCTGACTAAATGCTCATTAGCTTACGCTGATACCTGAATGTTATGAATCACATACGTATTTTATGTAGTCGACAACCGGAAGATATCAACTCGGAGAACATATCCATGCTCTCAAAAGTTAACTTTACTTCCGATTGAGGTGATTCGACTTGAAAGACATTAAAGTTAAGAAGGTCGTACTTCTCCACGACGTGAGGAGGTAAAACCCAACACCATACCCCGATAGGTCCAGGTGAATGCGAGGCATCCTGCTTAAACCTAATGTCAAATATTTTTGGAACGAGATCTTCCAGCTCTTTTGAGGCAGGGGTTGGAAAACCATTGACTTCAACCTGGCGAACGATATTACCAAAGCCGGCAACAATTTTCCGAGGGGGTATTAGGGGTAGTAGAGGAATATGAGGGCGGATGCAGTCAGATATATCGGTGCTGGGACATATCCGCTGTGTCGGCTTCATAAATGTTTGAGGATGGCCTAAGTTCCCAAGTCTATCGCGTTGCCAATGGCTTGCAAATAAGGTAGTGCGTCTTCCAGTCTGGAAAACTGTATTTGCTAAAGGCAATGTAATTTCAAGTGGTCGTATATGTCCAGGAAGAGGTTTTGATAAGAATGAGACCGAGGATTCCGTATCCTGATCAGTGACTGGTTGGAGACCCTCAATATCCCGTAAATCGGGTAAGATGGTGTCTGTTGAGTCATATAATATGGAAAAGCCTGTTTGGGGCTCACCAAATAGTCTCTTTGGTGTGAGTCCATCCGTTACCGCACATAAAGCGCTGAGGCTTTCACATTTGGTGTTTTCGCTATCACCTTGATTAAAGAGAATTCTGAGCAAGTCCTCTATGAAAACCTCATCTCTTAGCCAAGTTGCGAAGTTAGGGGAAGCAAAAACGGCAGCTCCACCATTCGAAATATTGATAGATTTTCTAGGTGAATGATCGAAATGCTTGCTTAATGCTTCTATGACTGCTTGCTACATAGACATTAGTTCCTATAGCAATCCGATGCAAAATGAACTTACTTTAGGGGTTTTCGGCGATAATACGAGACTAATTCTTTGGGTCGACTCAGCTCTAACACTAAATTTCCTCATGCATAGCCTATGGTATCTAGCTAGAGGAAGACGCGTGGATAAACGAGGAAGCATGACTTCCAATCTCAGAAATTTAAGGAATTCGGGCGATAGGTGTTGACTACCTAGGTCCTACATGTAGATAGATGACGAAATGGAGTTTTGGTTTGAGGAAGTATTGCCTTAAACGATTCGTTAACCTCATTATATCGATATCGATAAGCCACTCATACATCTTATGTAAGTACCAAGTAGGTGGGTAAATATTTATAACTTTCCAAAGTCTTTCTCGCAACCGTTACAGATTAATTACCTATTAACTTGAAGTCTTCGATGGTTTCAAAACAATGAAAAGAACATTCAATTCCTAGAATTGTTGGTCGCGGCGTGGCTTTTACCAAGAAAAAAAAGCAATTCAAAAATAAACTTCAGCTGCATTTTGATGAAGCTCCCCACTGCATCTTATCCAATCGCCGTGTCTCTTTTCCTCCGCCTAAGACAATGCTCTTGGACTGGCGCTTAGCCCGAGCTGTGGCTCAGGTACATAATGTAAATCCGGAATCCGCTTAGATGGCTTTCCTTTTCTTACTTCACCGGAGTTTCCTTAACTAAAATCCTTACCCATGGCGGACCTCGTTATCCGTAACCTCACAGCCACTCCACTGGAGCTCAAGCTCGTGGAGCGGTTCGAAGGACAGTCTGTATCTGGCCGCTCAACTCCTCTCGGTAGGATTACCGGCATTTTCAACTCAACTTCTCTTTCACCCAATGTTCGCATCCAAGGCGATGCTCGAGATCGTCGTGATGTTTCGTTCCCCATCGGACCCTTCGAGACCCACACGACGGACATTCGCACGGCTGATCCGGGCAGGGAAGTCATCCGCCTGACCTTCGAGTCAGATGGACACCGGTACCAGGTAGATGTGCCGAGTGCTTCGCAGCGCAGCACGGTCATGACAAAGCTGGACGGTGCTCCTAATGAGTACACGACTATCTACGTTCAATCTGGTAGTTGTCTAGCCATATTTAGCTCAGCTAATCTCTCGAGTTGGATGCGTGAGTTACACGATGAATATCCCCTCTCGGCATTATCCATACCAGGCACCCACAATAGCCCGACCTGCCATGTCGCGCTACCTTCGGTACGATGCCAAGCAGTCAACGTGCGCGACCAATTAGACAACGGCGTACGATTTTTCGACATCCGTGTAAACGTGGGCTCCGACTCTTCGGAGTTTGCGCTCGTACATAGCGCGTTCCCCATATCACTCACGGGAACCAAGTACTTTAAAGACATGCTTGATGTTATCTACTCATTCTTAGAGGCCAATCCGTCTGAGACACTCGTCATGAGCGTAAAACGTGAAGGTACCGGCAGGGGTACTGATCATCAGTTATCCAAGATTTTAAAAGACCGTTACTACGAGGACGGAAGACGATGGTATACGGAGCCACGAATTCCCAAACTTGGTGAGGCGCGAGGAAAAATTGTGCTCCTTCGCCGACACGCCAACGACCCGAGTCTAGATGGCGAATGGGATGGCCGAGGATGGGGACTCGACGCTAGCGTCTGGCCGGACAATTGTGAAGATGGGCTAATTGGAAGCGGCCTTGGTCGTGTACAAGATTTCTACGATATTGACCAGAGCCACAATATACAGAAGAAGCTTGATCTGGCGCGCGGCCACCTCGAACGAGCAGCGGAGCCTGCGTGTCCCATTCCCGGAGTCGAAGGTTACAATGAGGGTACTGCACCACAGCCATTCTTCGTGAATTTCTTGAGTGCTAGCAATTTCTTCAACGCCAACTGCTGGCCCGAGAAGATTGCAGCCAAGGCGAACCCGGCCATCATCGAATATCTCTGCTTACGGCACGGCGAAGATGGTAAGGGGCCAGCGGGTCTAAAGGTAGGAGACGGGAGTACTGGTATAGTAGTTACGGATTGGGTTGGCCAAGATGGTGATTGGGATCTTATTAGATGTATAGTCGGTTGGAACGCAAGACTGCAGCTGAAGCAGTAGTCTTTGGTTTAGCCTGCGAACCTAAGTTACGGGTATCTATAGGCTATTATACTATATTTTGAATAGATATTAGACTTGGCATCAATCACCTATATGACATAGGTATAGATCAATTATCTACAGGAGGAAATTAAGTAACAAATTATCTTAAGCCTGGTACACCGGTGCTGCTAACGGCCCTCCCTTTCGCAACAATGAGTAGGTACCTATATAGTCCGTCTCAAGAAATCAATATTAAAAAATTGGAAAAAAATCCTAAGAATCTAGATGAATGAAGTCAACAACAAAAAGGGGGTTACTATTGCTACTGAGGAAGAGCTGCGGTATATTTATGACTTCATTAGTTGTATAATATGAAAATGTTATACCCGGTAGTGTTGTAATGCATAACTGTGCAGGTGAACCAATGAATTGCACATGTTAGCATACGTGCTGTTTCATACGTCATTCACCACCCAGGCCCTTGTCTTTAATAATGAGCTGTAAGCCCCACTGTAACTAGAAATTACAGCTACACTACAAACACTCAGCTCTCTCCCTAGAATTTACAACCTTCTTAACTTGGAATGTTTGTAAGATGGATTTTTCTAGAGATATTGTGTAACTATTGGCTTACGCCTCCTTTTATTTTCGGACCCGAGCCTTGCCACTTTTGAAGAGACCCCAAATCTCTCTTTCCGGCACATTTTGCGATGCAGGTCATTGAATTCTAGCCTGGCCCGTTTTTTCTTGTTCGTGGCCTCTGTCGCAAATCGCAGATCGCATACCGAGGTTGCCGAGGCTGCGAGATTTCCAAGTTTGTTTTCGGCAGCATTGCTTGACATAATAGCCTTCGAGCCATCGCAACACGGCGCAGACCTAATCTGTTAGTCGACGAAACGGGGGCCCTTAGAGAACTTTAAATAGAGCCAGTACCGGCATTCTAAGACAACGTGCAAAGTTTAATCCCCAAAACGGATGATAGGCGATACGTCTTACACTTCATACATTTCTCTCTTTTTTGTTTTAAGGTATGTTTTATCTCCATTTCTGTCGAATATGGAAACATTATTTCAACCCTAGATTTTATCAATTATGGCAGACGGCAAGAGTAAAAGTCCCCAGCTCCAGCGTCAGCGCCAGGAGCCTTCCAACAGCCCACACAGTTCTCACGGCTCCAAGTTGCCACGTCTAGGACGAAGATGTCATCAAGATCCATGGGATCAAGTACAAACGGCCGATTCTGACTCCAATCTAGGCTCTCGAAAGAATAGCCCGTCCAACAACCCAACTCGCGATACTAAATCTACAACTCCTAGGGGACATAGGCGGGAAGTCTCCATTTCGTCAAGCATAGTATGTCTTGCGCATGTTAACAATCGCCATTCATCACAAGCCGACGAAGACAATGACTAAACTTCTATTTGTCTCTAGGCAAGCCAGGATAGCAGTGATCTGTCCAATCCTCACACTCCACCTCGTACAAATAGAGTCGCACCGAGTAATACTCGGATTCCACGTACAACTAGTGACGATCCCTCTCGCTCTCCATCTGTAGACAACCGAAGTTCACCCCTTAACGATTCAATAAGTCCGGCAAGAGCTGTGGGGACTAATTCGAACATTACATCCCACATTCCTAGGGTACTGGTTTCTAAGAGCGGCCCATCGTACCAGGTCTTTAAACGAAGAGACTTCAGGGCGACAGAGGTCTCCAAGATGGACAACGTCCAGGGGAATGAACAAGTCGCAAACGCGGGTTCCAACTTAAAAGGAACACTAGAAAATGGTGTTATGAATGAGGATGTTAAACTACAAGCTCAAAATGTCGACGAGCTCGTGAAGGGATCTCACGACTTCCCCGATCATGAAAGAAGCATCATTTCTATGGAAGGCAGCGATGCTACTACAATTGTCGGCGTAGAAAGCACAGCGGATGTTGACGGGACGAATGGAGCAAGCTATGCCTCTGTCCTTAAATCTGATCTGAACGACGAGGGTGAAAGAATAGAGGATTCGCCTCCTAGGCGTGGCCTGAATGCACAAGACGATGACGACTCGTATCCCGAGTTGGATGATATGACGCTGGACGAAATCCACATCCCTCCTAGGCCAAACGCGAACGGCGGCATTCGATGGGCTCCGTGGAATGTACCCCTAAAACGCAGGCTGCAGACGCTTGTCGTGCTTATGCACTGCATGTGCATAGCGTTGACGGTCTCTATCTTTTTCGCTCTTTCTGCTAACCCCTTCGTGTGGCCGTTATTACTCATATATCTTCTACATTGCTTAAGCTCAAAAGCTGCTACAGATGGAAAGCTCAAGTATCGATCCGAATGGTTCCGCAAGAGCTATCTATGGCATCTCTTTGCGGGCTACTTCCCAGCTAAACTCTACAAGACCCATGATCTGCCACCTACACGGAAGTATATCTTCGGCTATCACCCTCATGGTATTATTTCCCACGGCGCTTGGGTAGCATTTGGTACCGATGCTTTAGGATTCTCGGATAAATTTCCTGGCATTACAAACAGTTTACTCACCTTGGACTCGAACTTCCGTATTCCACTCTATCGCGAATACATCCTTGCTGCTGGTGTACGATCGGTCTCGAAAGAGTCCATTGTTAACATTCTAAGTAAAGGTGGTCCAAACGGAGAGGGCATGGGCCGTGGTGTGACTATTGTTATCGGAGGTGCTCGAGAATCCCTCGAAGCGCAGCCGGGGCAGTTGCGACTGATTCTAAAGGAACGTAAGGGTTTTGTCAAGATCGCAGTCAGGACGGGCGCTGACCTAGTACCTGTGCTGGCATTTGGCGAAAACAACCTCTACGACCAGCTACATCCTAAGGAGCATCCCATGGTACACAAGATTCAAATGTTCATCCTTAAGGTGTGGAAATTTACCCTTCCTTTCTTACATGGACGAGGGATCTTCAACTACGATGTAGGCCTTATGCCTTATCGTCGTCCGTTAAATATTGTGGTCGGAGCCCCAATCAAGGTCACGCAATCGAATTCTGTTGACCAGGAGGAGATCAACCGACTACATGATTTGTACGTGACCGAGCTAGAGAAGCTATGGGATCGATACAAGGATGAGTTCTCCCCTGACAGGAAGGAAGAGATGCAAATATTGCCCTAGAACATGGCTTTGTGTAGGGTTATTCGATAGGCGTTTCCTATGTGCTCTTGAATATAATTAGACTTAGACTTACAGGCTCGCGCAAGGTGCGTGAGGGATAATCTAATTGTTACCACTGTTCAACTTACGTCGCAGAATAGACGGGTATGCGATATGGCTTCGGAAATAACTCACATTGCGGCCAGTGTCTGAATAGTCTGTCTTATTCGTGGTATTTTAAGTAGGCTATCGACTAGACCGTGACTTTATCAGCAGATACACTGCTACGGTGAGACTATGGGCTCAGCCCACCTCATCCTAAGGACAATTAGAATGTGTCCACACTATACGAATATTTATAAGTAGTAGAATCATACATTAGGTATTTAATTGGAGGACGATATATTGATATTATGTAGGACCTAAATCTAGAACGGGAAATATTGGGAAATTTTGAGATTACGTCAAGTTATGCAAGTCGCAATTTGAAATTAGAGACGGCGTTTTTTGGAGGATTGTGGGCAGAGCTCAGTTGATATTTACCGTGCAGCCGTGCTGCTGGCTTGGAAATTTATGAAGGAGATCAAGATTTGAAATGTTCAGGCGAATGGGAGGACTGGATAACCCCGGATTTGCTCGGCGCCCCACACCAAGCTTTGATTTCTCCAAATCGAAAAAGTCACAAGCTGTAGAGTTTCAACGGTGAGCGACGTTGGAGGCCTGAGCAACTTTCTAGATCTCCACTTAGCTCTAGCTCTAGCTAACTCTAAACAGGGGGGAATCTCTAGATTTTAGATTTTAGATTTTTTGGAGATGTTTAGAGATATTCGTTTATGAGAATGGAGCATTAAGAATATTCTTTAATTCGACATTGAAGGATATGCGACCGAATCTGATAATATAGTCCATAGATGAGCGCAACAGTTGTCTCCGGGCGATCGCCAAAGAAGCGAGTCCTCCATCTCTAATACGGCTCCGAGTAAAATATTCCAACCCGAAGGCACTTATCCGTTTCGGGGACGGGGTGGACCGGCAGACCGAAAGCCGATCTTGCAGTGTCTCCGGGGTGTTTTATGTCGACTTCATACCTGCGGCACACATTTTGGTACTGTAACTGTATGAGTTGGCACATGTCAATGTTATCCTCGCCCTGTCTGGACTGGGCTATTTGAAAAGCACGGCTCATGGGCATATTCTCATATCGTGACCAAATCTTCCACGGACATCTGTGCTGGGTTCCGAGGACTCCGATGACAATGCACGTATGGTTAGGCAGATAAGCATTGGCGTATACCTATTATCTAGTATGCCTAACAACGTTGATTCATTCTCCTAATTTTGCGGACTGTCTTGGATGATATATACCGGGTAGTGTATCTATCCGCGGGAACGGGATGGCGAGAGCACGGCATGTTTTAAACACACCCGTGAGTACTGGATTCATGTCGTGCTCGCCCAAAGACGAAAACCTTGAGAACAATGACGATCTCTCGGTCTTCAAATTCGATATGGGATACTCTGGTGATCCCCAGCAGTAGCTATAGTGTTTCTATCAACTGGAGGAAGGCTAGGATATGGGTCGTCGAGTTGAAAATCAACGGCAAGCACAAGATAGCCTACCATAATATTATAAAATATTGTCCTATCCTTAATGATGATGTACTAGATAGTTCAAAATATGAAAAATAACCTCTTATATAATCATATAAATACATCTAAAGTGAATGGGGCGAAGGGATGATGTAGGAAATCTAACTAGACAGTATTTATACAGTTAAAAGTGATAGCAATACTGTGCATGTGATAGATCGTACATAAAATGGTACCCACAATTGCACATCTGAGGCTGTTTGTGCATAAAACAACGCGGATACAAGTTTAATCGCGAGTAATTCCAGAGGATCCATGACTCCCTCAAACCGCTGCACACATCAACTTCTATTGTTTTTAATCGCCAAGGCCAGGTCGCCAGGTCATAAAAGGGGTACTGTTCAGGTTTTATGTACCCAAACTTGATCGACACCAGGTAGAGTTGACAACTTCGGAGACTTTGGAGACTTTAAACTGGGGGACTAGGGGATCCATTAGGGGACATTAGGGAAGATTAGGGGACATTAGGGGGGTGATTTGTACGGCATGATGCCTGCCGGGTTTCTATGGTTTCTGTGGTTTCTGTGGTCCATTTGCATGTATTACTTCACGCCGTCCTAACCGTACACTAACTTCCTATTACAACTTGGAAAAAAATATGTCTTCTCCTTTGTCCAACTATCATCCATCTCAACGACGTTTGCCCACTCTTTCTTCACCGCCTCAGCCAACGACATTGTCTGTTAATAGTGTACTGGCACCCAATTCCACCAATCTCGATTTCTCCAATCCCTCCTCAGCATCGTCTGCCACCACCAGCTTCAAGGTAGACTGGTTGTCAGATGGTGCCAACTCTTCCTCTGCCAACGCCGCCGGTCGCCGTCCCGAGGATATCGAGATGGATTCAATAGCTGCTCCCACCGGCCATCGTCGCCGTCGGAGCACACTTACAGCTAACCCGAACCCCGGCCAACCCTCCAATTCGCGAACTTCGCGACCACGTGCAACCAGCATTAAGAACCCTGGTGACCTGGAAGTAAAGATTTCCGAAGAAAATCGTAGCCGGGACGCGTCTCGATCGGAAAGCAAGGACGAAGATAGCCTGTCAGAGGAGGATTTACATGACGATGAAGAGACGGGCTTGACGAAGAAGGATAAGCGAAGGAAGCAGGCCAAGCGACGACGAAATACCAGATTAGACCAGCGAATCGCAAGAGACAGAATCACAGATGAGGAACGAAAGGAGGCAGACCAGAATGTCTTCAGGAAATTGGTCATTAATGCTATCCTTATAGGCCTCTGGTATCTGTTCTCGTTGTCAATCTCTTTAGTAAGTCAATTGTTTCTCTTTTCTCTTTATGCCACGCGACGAGATGAAGCTTCGTTTACTAACAATAACCCCCTTTCTAGTATAACAAATGGATGTTCGATTCCGGCCAACTCAACTTTGCGTTTCCCTTATTCACGACCGCGACGCACATGCTCGTACAATTTTCCCTTGCTAGTCTAGTATTATTCTTCGTACCCTCCTTACGGCCCTACCATGCGCAGTACAACTCCGACCTGGGCCGGTCGAGACACGAGGCTGAGCCTGAGCGTCCGATTATGACCAAGCTGTTTTATTTGACGAGAATTGGACCGTGTGGTGCGGCCACGGGGTTGGATATTGGACTAGGAAACACTTCCTTGAAGTTCATCACCCTTACTTTCTACAGTAGGTCATAACGCACAGTATATGACGAGAACCAAACTAACACGATTGTAGCTATGTGCAAATCCTCTTCCCTAGCTTTTGTACTCATCTTCGCCTTCGCCTTCCGCCTCGAAACTCCTACGTGGAAGCTAGTAGCTATCATTGCAACTATGACTGGTGGTGTAGTGATGATGGTAGCAGGCGAGATAGAATTCGAACTGGGAGGTTTTATCCTAGTCATATCCGCCGCTTTCTTCTCCGGCTTCCGCTGGGGTCTCACACAAATCCTATTACTCCGAAACCCGGCCACTTCAAATCCATTCTCTAGCATTTTCTTCCTCGCGCCTGTCATGTTCCTTACTCTGATCGTCATCGCGGTACCTGTCGAGGGTTTCTTCGAATTGATCGAGGGATTGAAAGCGTTAAGCGAGGAGTGGGGTCCTCTCAGGACTCCCCTGATTCTCCTTTTCCCAGGTACCATCGCCTTCTTAATGACGGCTAGCGAGTTCGCTCTACTGCAGCGAAGCAGCGTCGTCACACTTTCCATTGCTGGTATCTTCAAGGAGGTTGTCACGATCTCGGCCGCAGCGTTGGTTTTCGATGATAAGCTTACTCCTATCAACATCTCTGGCTTAGTTGTGACAATTGCTGCTATCGGAGCTTACAATTGGATCAAGCTGTCTAAGATGCGCAGTGATGCTCAGCTAGACGCCCATAACAAAGGCTATCAACAAGCGCAGTCTGGTTCGTCGAGCGAAGTCGAACGCGGAAGCGATTCTGACGAGGAAGAAACCGGACTTCTAGCCCACGACGACGCGAGCGGTGTCGAAGACAATCTGCTTACGGCTGATGGAGATGCCATACCGAACTCGAGACCTTCAAGTTCCACCGAACCCCATCGGACGGAGCGTTCTCGAGAGGATTGATCTCAGCTAATTTTTCGTTTGTAAAAGACTGTTCAAATAGATGTGCGGGGAATATAAGGCGCAATTGTATATGTGTACGGAATTATAGCATACTTGGAAACGGTGTCTGTGTGGCAAGGCTGTGAATATTTAAAAAGTCAAAGGGGGCAAATCAACCATTCACGTAGGAGGTCAAGGCTGCATTAGGGGGTACATGAAAAGAGTCCCGGCTTAGGGGGAGGAGGCCCATGCATAGCCTACCTAGGTGTCTATCTGTCAGATGAGGAAGCCAGTTGGATGTATGTGAGGCAAGCAGATGCACCGCATCTAAGGCTTGAGGTGAGAGGATGGGAGGAAGATATGGGAACAAAGTGAAGCAGGTCAAGGCAACTATGGCCTAGCTAGGTAGGATGAGATCAAATAAGGAAACAAGATACCCCGAATACAAATACAGAAGATTGGCACATCTAAACACTTTGGACTTGGGCAAAAAAGCTGGCTTCCAGGTTGGTAGGCTGTTTAATGTCTTTAAGGATATCGAATCCTTCCATAGGTATACGCGGACGATTACAGGTGGCTGGACGGTCATACAGAGCCCAGATTGTACACGGATTGTAAGAACTGATGGAATACAATATCGTATCATCTTCACCTGACATAGAGCATATCAGGACCGTGTTCTCAACGGGGTTTAATTATACGTCATGCTCCCTGGTGTCTAAATCGAGGCTTTTCATTAATAATCTGAGTTTCCTCAACGCCCAACACTAAAACAAAGCACCCCGAACCCAGCAACACAAAGGCTATGCGGGTAGTATCATCTTGTAGCCAACCTAGGTATATACTAATTCGTACCCCTTATACCTAGGTAATTAACCCAACAGCTTAAGTCCACCCTTGGTCTTCTGGCCCGGCTTATGCACACCCGCAGCCGCAGGGCCAAGATGGGGCTCGAAGCTTCCTTCCCGCTTACCTCCGCCGCCGGACCCATTACCGTTTCCTCCACCGCGGTTCTTGTTCTTCCAATTCTTGTTCTTGTTGTTCTTGTTCCAGCGGTTATTGTCCTTCTGTGCGGTGGGCTTGATCTCGGTCGTGCTCTTGCGCACGACGACGGGGTGCGATTGGATGTACTTCCCGTTCATCTCCTTCGCGGCTGAGAAGAACTCGTCCGGGTCGCTGAAGGATACGAACCCGTACCCTTTCGACTTCGCGGTTACTTTGTCTCGGATCACACGCGCTTTTTGCAAAGACTTCCATTGCGAGAAGGCTTTGTATAGCGACTCGTCGGTCGTCTCGCCTGCTAGGTTGCCTACGAACAGACGCAGGTGCGAGGGGTCCCATTCTAGTAGCGTGTCGTCCGTCCACTTCTGCCCGCCGCCGGACCGCACTACGGTTTTCTTCTTGTCGGTGCTTGTTGCTGCGGCGTTGGCTCCCACTGCTGCTGCTGCTGCCGTGGCGCTCGGCTCTGCGCTGTATGTCGTCGTGGTCGTTGTGCCGCCGTTCGCGTACCCGCCACCCCGACCGTTGGACGTGGGTACCGCTGCCGTTGCTCCTGGCGCGCCGGGACCCTCCTTAGTGGGGTCCTTCACGTACGCGCTCTGCCATTGCGCGATCTGCGCCGCCATGTCGGGGTCATAGTCGTCGTTGGTACGCGCTTGTGCGGGCGCCGGGAACGGGTTGCGGATTTGTGGCGGCGCAGCGTACGATGTGGCCGGGGGAGCGGCTTGCGGCTGTCCGCTGTAGTAGCTCGGCTGCGATTGGTATCCGCTCTGTTGATGGTGCTGCTGGTGTTGCTGCCCGGGGTACTGGTACGGGTTCGCGGAGGCGGACTGCTGGTACCCGCTGTTCATGGAGGGGGGCCGCGAGTACGGCTGCTGGTACGAGGAGCCGCCATATTGGTTGTGGTGGTGGTGGGCGGTGGTGGGCGCGCCGGAGTACGCGGGTGCTGCGTAGGGAGCGCCTGTCGCGGCGCCGGGGCTCGGGGTGTGGGTTGGGGGAGGCGCGGGCGAGAAGGCGGGCTTGAAGCCGGATACGCGCGAGGGCGGTGGGCGCGGCGGGAGCGACGAGTTCGAGCCTGGAGGAGGCGGATAGGACATGATGAATTTTGCTGTGCGCCCGACGAAAGGTGGTGTGTGTGTATTTCGGGTTCAACACGTACCTATGAGACTTGCTCGTCTCTTGTTCCCTTGTTCCTAAGGTCTCTCTATTTTATTGAGAAGGCTGTGGGTTTGGATTGACGTGTTTATTGAGAGTGGTATTATACGTGATTATATTCTCGAGTGGTGAACGACGTATTGATTTCTCTAATGGGCTGGCGGTTGCTAGTTGATGAACGGTTGATATTGAAGTTCGACGCTCTTCAAGATTTTAGATATTAGCTAGGATAACCTAATTGATTAAGGTTCCCTACCGCCTGTGGCGCATGACGAACGTGGCTAGGTGGGACTGTGGCTGGTAACATGGTTGAACATCACTTTGAACTTTAGGTGGGGGTTCACAAATTCTGCACAGTACAACTTTCAAATTCCAATAGGGTGCTTCAAGATTATAAAGACTTCCAGGTTTACAACTATCTATACTGTGATATTCACATGAATTATTAACACAATTGGTCTCTACTCAGCAATCACTGTTTACATATAAATACCATTATCTTTAATGTACATAGTACATAACAGCAAAAGCTCTTACTCTATCTCCCGACTTTCGGTTGAATGCCAAGATCACAACCCACTTGCATAAGCAAAATAAGGCCGCTAAAACATAATAGTTTCGAGGCCCGCAAATCCGCGTAAAGGGCCGACGAATATCCCCCACGATTGGTCCTAGGCTGTTCATTTATTGCCCAATTCGCCGGTTAGTACAATGAGACATTTTGTTGCAGCCTCGCATAGGCGAGCGGGATCTACGTCTGTGAGAAGTTCTTATTGTTCCACAGCAGCCACGCTCGGCCGGTTTTTGCGCCGCTCACGGAGCCCCTCTGGACGCTTGTGGCAGGTTTGGGTAAGATCCTTCACGATATCTTCGCTCTTCGGGACTAGATGCACCAAGTGTAAATGATACTACATACTAGTAACTACTAACTAGGTACCTACTGACCTACCTATGTAGTTACACAACGACTTTATCAGGCTAAGCCACACGTTGCTTGTCGGCTTCCCACAGCAATTATTAAGGACAGCCCCTTATTGTAAGTGACTAGGGTGCTATCGCATTCCGGTGTCTCCGTATTCCGACGGTGCCAATGTCTCATATACCTAGCCGTCAGCGGGCTGGCTTGTCTAGACGCTTCCTAATTGCTAAGCGTTCTGGTAAGCATACATACGTCTACCTAGGTAGGTAGCATTTTGCTAGTAGTGTGAATAACTGACTACCTAGGTAATGTCTCCTAACTTGTTAAGATCGGGAACGTTGTCCAGTAATACATGAGAGCAAACCCACCAACCTTGTTGAATCCGGAGAAATCAGGCTGATAAATGATACGGCTGAACAAGCAGGTATATTACTACTATGCACCTCTCACTTAGGTCCGGGCGAGGTACTAGGTAGGTAGGTAATAGTTTATTCCAATCTAGTGGACCCGAGGTTGTTCCAAACTTAACATCCCCGGTGGATTCCTACGAAACGCCATTGAGGCGACACGGGGGAATCTGAATCAACCAAGACGGAAATGAGGCGTCTCCCCGGCATAGAGAACAAAATGACATGATTTTACTAGCGAGTTTGTTCCAGAGCGCAGGCCGATGCTCACAGTGTTCTAACAGTTGTGTAAGTGAAGCATATGCGTTGTGAGTATGCGTAAGTAAATGCCATTTCCGTAGTCCAGAATTGGGAATCATTCACGACTATCAGGGAGCAAATACTAGGAATCGAGACAAATCGGGACATTGATCTATGAATCTAGTAATGGATAACGGGTAACGTACGTACACATCAAGAAGGAAGCACCCTGAGTAAGCCCGTGCTTCCCGGCCGTTCTTTGATTGATGGGGATGCAGGAGCTTTCCCGTCATATTCAACTAACCTGGGAAACCCGGTAGCTTTAGTCTGGTTGGTCAGAAAGGTGTAGGCAAGGTTGCTAAGGGAGTGGAGGGGAAGGTGTATTTCAGTAACAAATTCCCCTCCTTCCTACGCCTTTTTTTCTCATTAGACGACCATAACCTTACCCCTCCATTCTCCATCCCATCCACTTTTTTCTTCCTTACAACTCCCATCATAGAAAAGTAGTCGTACACCCGCGCTCATCCGCTGGTTGCTTTCTATACTTTCTTTTCTATTCCATCGCTAAAATTACACTCTATTCCGTCCGATTGAGCTACCAACATAATCGCAATCATGTCTGGTGCCGTGTAAGTTGAAATATCCCTCTCTGTCAATTGGGCTATGATGATTACCCCACCATCAATAATCATCACCCCGCCGTCGTATGCCTTCGCGACATTTGTAACTGAAATGATTCCCTTGCCCTTCTAGGGCTCGACTCGCCAACATAACTAGTAACCTAGGAGGCCCAAGGCGAGCTTCATCCCATACCATACCATACCATATCATTCCCTACGACGTCGCTATAATAGCTTTCCGTTGAAGTCATGCTAACGAATCCGAAAGCGCTGATTTGGGCCTTATTGGCTTGGCCGTCATGTACGTTCTACCTTAACTCCTAACTCCTTTACCATGATTCGTAATATTCATCCGTAAATCCATAGGGGTCAGAACTTGATTCTGAACATGGCCGACCATGGATTCACCATCTGCGCTTACAACCGAACCGTCTCCAAGGTTGACGTGTTCTTGGCAAACGAAGCCAAGGGCAAGTCTATCGTCGGTGCTCACTCCAACGAGGAGTTCATCTCTAAGCTAAAGAAGCCCCGCCGTGTCATGCTGCTGGTACAAGCTGGCAAGGCTGTCGACGACTGGATCGAGACCCTACTACCTCTCCTAGAAAAGGGAGACATCATCATCGATGGTGGTAACTCTCACTTCCCCGACTCGAACCGACGAACTAAGTACCTGTCGGGTAAGGGTATCCGATTTGTCGGCTCCGGTGTATCCGGTGGTGAGGAGGGTGCTCGTTTCGGACCTTCTCTAATGCCTGGTGGTAACGAGGAGGCATGGCCTTACGTCAAGGACATTTTCCAGAGCATTTCTGCCAAGAGCGACGACGAGCCTTGCTGCGAGTGGGTCGGTGACGAAGGTGCCGGCCACTACGTCAAGATGGTGCACAACGGTATTGAATACGGTGACATGCAACTCATCTGCGAGGTTAGATCCCATTCCATCCCTATAAACCTCAATATTGTCCGCAATACAGATTAGCTAATTATATTTTGCTAGGCCTACGATATCATGAAGCGTGGTCTTGGCTTGTCCAACAAGGAGATTGGAGATGTTTTCACTAAGTGGAACAAGGGCGTTTTAGACTCGTTCCTGATTGAGATCACCCGTGACATTATGTATTTCAACGATGATGATGGAACGCCGCTTGTCGAGAAGATCCTAGACCAGGCTGGTCAGAAGGGTACCGGCAAGTGGACTGCCATCAACGCCTTGGACCTTGGAATGCCCGTCACCTTAATTGCCGAGGCTGTGTTGGCCCGATGCCTGTCTTCTATAAAGGCCGAGCGTGTTAAGGCTTCCAAGAAGCTCGAATACGTCGGCCGTACGAGTAGCTTCGAGGGCAGCAAGGAGCAATTCCTTGATGACCTTGAGCAGGCTCTGTATGCCTCCAAGATCATTTCATATGCCCAAGGTTTCATGCTGATGCAAGAGGTTTGTGAACTTTATGCCTATCCTTAAACAGATTCTGACCAAATTTGACTAGGCCGCGAAAGAGTTCAAGTGGAAGCTCAACAAGCCCTCAATTGCCTTGATGTGGAGGGGTGGTTGCATTATCCGCTCTGTCTTCCTTAAGGACATTACTGCCGCTTACCGAAACAACCCCGACCTTGAGAACTTACTGTTCGATGACTTCTTCAACAAGGCTATTCACAAGGCGCAACCCGGCTGGAGAGATGTCGTTGCTAAGGCAGCCGTTCTTGGAATCCCGACACCTGCATTCTCCACTGCTCTGTCATGGTTCGATGGATACCGCACCCAGGATCTACCTGCCAATCTACTCCAGGCTCAGCGTGATTACTTCGGTGCCCACACTTTCCTGATCAAGCCCGAGTACGCCAACGAGAAGTACCCCGAGGGCAAGTACCACCACGTCAACTGGACTGGTCGCGGAGGAAACGTCTCTGCTTCCACCTACCAGGCATAAACAAAGTGTTTTTACATACAGGATATGAACTAGTTCATTTACCGTTGGTAAGATTAGTATGAGGGTTGGTCCCATTCTCAATAGAGGGAAAAGGAATCTAGCATGCTATGACATGAAATAGCCACCAGGATTAGAAGAAAAAAATATAAACAAGTGAAATAATTACAAACTGCTTATGTGAATGAACTTGAGTCTTGTTAGAACCTTGGAGAGAATCATGAGATGGCTTAAACTTTCTTATGGGAGGATGATCATGGATTATAAACGATAGAAACGGCCGTAGGATCTTACTGAATGTTACATCTGCTATTAGAGCTCTTACGATTGATTGGGTACCTAGGTACTAGGTATCTAAAGATATCCTACATTACCAGCGCGGTCTTCACGTAGCTCCTATCAAACAGAATGTGTACCTATTGTTACAGTGGTTAGCTACTAAATTGCAGGGGAGAGTACAGCCACGATTGGCCCAAGCTTAGCCACACAATCATTACATAATCAAGATCCACAGTCAAGCCACATTTTAAGGTATTCCCCAAGCTCCCTAGGCTCGTGCTATTTCGTCGCGCATCTTTCTTCGCGACTATCAAATTGAAACTTTCGCGCAGCCTTGTTAATCGCGAATTGTCTTTGCGCATTATTCCCATCACATCCTTTAAAATAAACCCAAGGCCATACTCGAAGTGTCTTCCGTATTGAAAAGATTAATCGGTCGGGCGCGCCAATTAATTTTGTTTTCCTCGAAACACGATGTCCTCAATGGGCGACCCCAGCTACGGGGTCCACAGAGACCTGGTATTTCTCACCTGTACCTTAAGAGCATTGCGCATCGCCATGATGGCCTGCTAATAGATATTTTCTTAGCTTCCCCATGTGCATTTGATCTCGACCTATCGATACACCCTTAAGGCCCGAGTTGAGCCCAATGAGGTAACAAACTGGTTGATGCAAGCACCAAAGATCGCACGAGATACCGCGCCCTTTTTTTGGACCTACCTCGATCGTCCCGAGAATGGTAACATCTTCTTGACGTGGCAACCATCGCAACAAATGGGCGCCAACTTCGCCAGCGATGGATTTATTTGGCCCCCACAGGAACAATTCATGCAACAGGAAGTGGGAAATGGTGTGGTATGTTTCTTCTCCCCCCTCTTCTTTTTCTAAGTCTCGAAATTACTACATAGGTATGGACTTACAACTCACATCTATAGATCCTCGAGGTGTATTATCACAAGGCTGGATTTGCCTATAATGAGCACTTTGCAACGCATTCTAGACGCCGCTTCCGCCTCATTCCTCCCACTGTCCATACTCCGAATGCCTCTACTGTTGATCCTAGTCTATGGATCGTTCACTACGGACCCGTTGAAAACAACGAACGCATCCCTAGTGCATTGATTCCGCAGAACAACCGAACGCATGCTATGCTAGAAACACGTGCTTATCTCCAACGCTGTGGACAGATCCAACGTAAAGAGTTTATCCTCGGCGATCGAATTAATTGGCCCCAAATCGCCTGGCCCAGAGAACCGTCGAGACAACCAATGTTTGCTGGTGCTCGTGGAGTTCCTCAGGGCATGGCATATCCTTCTCATCCTCCCGCGGCCGGCGCGCCACCATCAAAGCGCGCTCGTACTGGCCAAGCTGCGCAGGGCCAGGTGCCTCCTGCCATGGCCGCTATCCCTCCTGACAATTCATACGATGATGAGGAAGACACATCTCGTGGTGACATGTTCGATCATCTGACTCCTCGAGAGGTTAGTCTAGCTCGCTACCGTCAGAACCATGAATGGATGGAGGAGATATTGTCTTCCCCATACAGGATGGGCCAGATTGGATTTTCGGATCTCGGTCTGGGTCTTAAAGGTGAGCTTTCGAGCTTAACCAATGGAATTTTCGAAGCCCATGATCGTCATATAACCGAGAAACCTTCGAAGTCGTCCGCAACTCAACTAGGCCCTGAGCAGGCTACTGAGTTTCGCAAGCGAGTTGCCGACCGAATCGAGTCTACCCAAGCAGCCATCGAGAAGATCAAGTCGGAGCATGCCAAGAAAGTTGCCAAGTTCGAGCGTAATTCTATCCTAACCACTGCTGAAAGAGAGTTGCGATTAGCCTTAGGCGACCCCGGTTCTAATTCATTGCAACTTGAGAGAGATATCGAAGAGGGTGAGGACAGCTCTAACCGCTGGTCCTCGAAACATAGCAAGAGAGTCGACGAGATAGTATCCCAGGTGGAAGCACACCTTGGTCGCCGAGCAGAGGTTATCTACGACCTACGACGAATACAAGACGGTGGTTATCAAGAACCTGCTCCGGAACCAGCACCTCAGCCGGTCGCAGGACCTGGCCCTGGTCCTCAGAATGGCGGCACCAACGGGAGTGGTGCTATGTCCCGTCAGCCGTCGCAAACAGGATCTCAACACAGCGGATTTATGATCGGCGATTCTGACATCGACATGGGTGGGACTGCTGCTGGTCTCCTAGATCAAATCCATACTGGAACAGGAGCCTCGTCTATTTCTACGCCGGCAAACAATTTCCCAACGCCCCAAGCTCAGACATCAGCGATTCATTCCAACGTTGCCACTCCAGCTAACTTGAACGTTCCTTCACCACGACAACCACCTCAAAAAGATGAGACGGGTGATATAAAGATGGATGGTACGGGCAATACTGAATCCCTCTCCGGTACTGCTCCTGACCAAGGCACTGGAAGTGGAGACTGGGTAGTCGTTCCCAAAGGCGGCGCTATTCCAGACGGCCCCGCAAACCCAGCATCCGCCAACAATGCGCCAAAGGCAATAGGTCATTTAAGCAAGCAGGGCTCGGCGACAGGAACTCCTTCGGCGGGATTCGACGGTGATCAGAACGACTTCAGTTCACTTGATGATCTAAACACAGCTGGAGATGCATTAGCCGGGTTTAGCGAAACCCCGGGAGACCTTGGAGAGGGCTTGGATCTAGACATGGAAGATTCGGCCTTTGGCGATGCTTTCCATGGTGTGGACAGCCAACAAGGAGGCACGCCGGCTGAGGGCAACATGTAATATGCGCCACCATTCTAATTAATAACGTGATTCTCGGCGGGAAGGCTGATGGCTATTTGTACAATTTGGTCATTAGGGTGACACTGCATCCGAGATATTTGTCTAAGTTGATGTTGAACCATTCAGATAACGGTAACAATGGCTACGGGTTGTCGACTTTGATTTCAAGGGGAAACCTTGGTAACGAGTGTATTTGAACGGCGTCGGGGAGTTTAAGGGACAGACTACTAGTTTATTGATAGGTTTACTCTCAATTGTATGAGGGGATTTGGACGAGCTATCATGGTGATACTCATAAACTCAATCACCAGTCTGCATTTTAAATCATTAACTTCTACGTAGTTCGCTATCAACTCGATTCAGCTTATAAAGGTCCATCGGCAGTGAAGGGACTCGATATCGAAGATACGGTAACTACCTCCTAGTGAGCAGAAAGCCCCAGTCTTGAAGAAATGGCGACTATCTTCATATACCTAAATCGTGCTTATATAAGGTTGGTGCGAAGGAATCTCGATGCTGCTGTATGATACATGAAGTTGATTTTAGGCTCTCCAGGGCTATTTTGTGAAGCAGGTTTCAGAATCGGCAGGGTTTCGTCTCAAGGTGCCAAAGCTAAGACATCGACAGAGAGCCTCCTAGACCATTTTCGACGTAGTTTTACCCCAATTTGAAAAGAAGCTTAACAATAGGAGCCGGTTAGCAAATACCGGCATTAGTGTAAGGGCCACTTTGGGGAAAGGCAAGACGGAAGCTACTCAGTTCCGGGCTCTCGTCATCACGAGGGGTAACCCCATATCGTGAGCACGGCTCTTTTTGAGCCGCGTTTCCTGGTATCACATCGTCAAATCTTCATTCACCATAGAGCCTTTCGATTGGCTCTTTTCGTGTTTCTCCAATGCTTTTTCATGCTTTACGGTTATGTCGTACCGACTTGACCAGTTCGTCACGGTTGGAACTGATGGCATTAGCTCGATTCGTCTCAACCTTCTCTACCTGCATGGCACTATCTTCAATGTTACCTAAATTTTGACAGCTTTCCGTCCCATGTTTTTGTCATCAAGCTTTAGTTTAGCTTGATCTAAATATCCCCTTGAGACATGGGTAGGGTGTTTTCTCCTGAAGTAGACCTATCGGCATTATTTCGACGCTCATATCCCGGGTTAGGTATGGTCAATACCATGACTTGTCTTCGCAGGGCGGAGGCCAAGAGATGTCAAGCAATGATGCCTCGAGCTCAGACACCTATTCGAAGATCACGGAGAATCGCGTGATGGATCATGGCATTATGTACATATAGTCTGATCCCAGAGAGAAAATCGTGCCCGCCTTCCCCCCGGGTCTTCCCACATTTCTTCCCAAGATCTTCTTCTACCTACACTTCATCCGCAGTTCCTTTCCTTTCTCGTTACGTGTATTTTCTTCTTTCCTTTTCTTTTGCAGCCATTCCTTCGCTAGTCTGCTGGTCAGCACACCACTGTTGAGCAGTCTTTACGTTCTTTATAATTTTTAAATTACTATTCTTTGTATATACCGACCCGGTCCCTGGCAGGGCCTTCGTTACGACGAGAAATTACGATAATCGAGCGGTAATAGGCAGTCGAAATTGGGAAAAATGAAGCAATCTCATCTGGTTGCGGCTCTAGCCGTTGTATTCAGTTCGGCCTTAAACGGAGCCTACGCTTTACCACAGCGAGGTCAAGATGTGCGCGCCTTCAACAACAATAATAACGCTAAAAACAACTCAAGTGCAACTGACACTTCTGCTAAGGGTCAACTTCAGCAGTTGCCAAATGTAGGCAACTCTGCTAATGCCGGGAATGCTGGGAATAATGAAAATGCTGGTGCGGCCAAAGGTGCCAACGCAAAGGCCCAGAACCAGGCACAGGCACAAGCGGGGTCTGCAGGTGCTGCAGCTGGCGGACTTGTAGCACTTCCCGGTGCGCAAGTGACCGCTGGCCAGCTGGTCGCGCTCCCAGATGCATCCAGCACTTCTGCTTCTGCTTCTGCCTCTTCTTCCGCTTCCGCTTCCGTGGTTAACGTTGCCAGCACAAGCAGTGCGGCATTGAAGTCTTTGGCATCTCAAAGCAGCTCCATCGCTTCTATCGCGGTCGGAACAACTGCCGCGGCCGTAGCCCAGACATCGAAGGTAAGTTTTCATCCCTTTTACACTTGTATTTAGATTTAGGAAGTAATAAATTAACATGCCCCAGGCCATCGCCCTTTCCTCATCAGCCGCCGAAAGCATCCAGAGCTTCCAACAGATCGCCCCTGTCGCAACGAGCGTCGCTGCTTCCTCCGTGGCAGCTAATATCGGTGTGCTTGCCAACGTGAGTAGCGTGGCTGTAGCTGCCACTACTAGCGCGGCTTCGATTCAGGGCTTCCAGACCATCGCTACTGGAGCGGCCGCAGCTGCCTCTCCGGTCGCACTGAACGCTTCCTCGGCAGCTGCAGTCGAGGCCCTGACTCCGATCGCCGCGGCTACCTCGAGCTTCGCCGGTTTCTCCAACAACAGCGTCGCGGCAGTTGCTGGAGCTACGGGCGCGGTTGCGGCTGTTGGCTCCGGATCTGCCAGTCTCGTTGCGCTACCCACCGCCGCTGCTGCCTCCGAGGCTTCCGGCTCCCTCCAAGCTTTGCCCAGCGCAGGAAACTCCGAAGCCACGGGCGCTCTACAGGCCCTTCCTAGCGAGGCTACGGCTTCGGAGTCCTTGCGGGAACTCCCCACTGCGGGCTCCGCAGCGCAAGCTGGTGGCGCCCAGGCGAGCGAGTCGCTGCAGTCGCTACCTACCGCGGCTTCCAGCAGCAGTAATGAGGGCAGCTCCAACGCCAACTCGAACTCGAACTCGAACTCTGGATCGGAGTCTGCTGCCAGTGTCAGTGCCAGCGTCGTCTCCGGCGCCACCACAGCCGTCCTAGCCCTCCCCGCAGAAACTTCGGGGACCCTGCAACAGCTCCCCGGCGTGCAGGAGACGACGGGCTCGCTGTCGTCGCTGGCGTCCGGTGTCGCGAGTCCCACGGGTAGCGCTAGCAGCGCTGTTACGGGCTCCGCGAATAGCACTACGCCTCTCGTCGCTGTGAGCGCTGCTGCGGCGCGCGATGTGCGTGCGCTCGTGGGCCCGGCTTTGGTGGCGGGGTTGGTGGGGTTGTGGGTTTTGTGAGATCGGATCTGAGGGAGGGTGGGTGGGAATAGGGGAGGGGGCTGGGGGCTGGGGGCTGGGGGAAAATGAAGGCTTGATGTGGGAGTATGGAATACATACGCAGGTAAATTAATCCTACCTAGGTGCCTACCGATCTAGGTACTTAATGTAGTAGGATGGTAGGCGGGTACTTTAATAGTTCATTAGCTAGGCTTTTTAGGCACCTAGCTTTATATTATTATTTTTGAATTATTATTTCTTTTTTTGTGGTGGAGTACTTGGTGAGGCGGCCTGGAAATGGGTAGTAGGTACAGGTCGCAGGCCTTTTTATTGTTCTTTTAGTGGAGGTATATCTGCTAAGCAGAAACTTCTTTAACAAGTATTATTTCCAGCCCATGGTCGTATGATGATACTTTTATGTTCAAGTTATTGCTTAACACTTACGTCCCACTAAAAGAACAATAAAAAGGCCTGCGACCTGTACCTACAAGTATGTGGCTATCGGCGACGGGATAGGGCATTCTGAGAAGTCGTACAGTACCGGTAGGTACTAGGTACCTCCTAGGGAAATATTCTCAATGAAATGAAGGTTACCTACCTTTGATCGTTGTTATTGGCTGTAGCTCGAGGAAGAAGCAATTCCTGCCAAGTCAAGCCCTCGGGTAGGTACCTAGTAGTGTCTGCGCATTTTGAGTCTTGGAGCACAGCCTGCTTCTACGAAATTAGGCAATGAGCTGTCGAAGACAACATGAACTTCTGCCCAAATACTGCCTGTCACAAAGTAAGGCAGATTCGCTCTTTAGATTAACTATCATACATGCTATTATGCGTCCTTTTTTTATCTGGGTAGGTAAGTACCTACCTCTCTTTGATAGAACTTTGGATTATGACTCATGATCAAATGCACCACGATGGCTACGGGTACTATTCCCCCGTCATGGTTAGACGACACCTTCAAATTGGCGAAAGAAGACTTCAAGCGAAGCCTGAAAAACCCGGCCTTGTATGACTTTTCCAAGCTCGTTTCTATAGACGATGTGCTCGAAGAGGCAAAGAAAATAGAAAGACAACAAGCAAAAACTAGGACACTTCGCGGATTAAGGAGAGTTCAGCCGCTTATCAATGGACTTAAGGAGTACTCTGCCATTATTGAGGTATTCGCACAGGCGAAGCCTGATATTATCAGTCTTATATGGGTATATACTATCCTGACATGATCATACTTCTTTCTAGCTGTGAGTTCAGAGGCTGACAATTGCTTTGTTGCGATTCAGGGTCCGCTCAAATTCATCCTCCAGGTAAGATATTGCCTTCCAAGGTTCTGTAAACTAATAACGAGGGAAATGTCTAATTAGGTGGCTTCAACTAGGCGTCCAGCTCAGTCATCTCGGCCTTTGAAAAGGTAGTTAAAGTCATCGCAGACGTGGGAACGACCCTTCCTAGCTTCAAGGCCTATACCCAATTATTTCAATCCAATCACGAGATTCGTCGAGCCCTATGTTTGTTTTTCGCCGATATTCTCGACTTTTACGCCATTCTGTTGAACTTCCTCACCAGTCCAAGTATGTTACATCCCATCTCATTCTTGGTACTAGCTTTGGTAACCTTTATATTGCCCTTTAGCGCGAAACATAATCCTCGAGTCACTATGGCCTAACATCCGGTCAAGCATTACGAGAGTTCAGGAGAATATGGATAACCATAAAGCCATTATGACGACAAATGTTACGCTCCAAGATATACTACTAGCTCATCAGGCTCGGAAACGTGCCCTCGAGGAGTACGACCAGGCACAAGTTTTCCGCGATAACCAAACCTTCAACACTATCCGAAACGAACTCAGTCCCCATGACCATGATGTGGAGCTAGCTAGCATCCTACGTCGGAGCTCTGTAGTGTCGGGAGAATGGCTCAGAGATGAGCCAGATTTTATGAGATGGCATGATTCCATAGATAGGACCGCAAGAATCTTATGGCTTTGCGGAATTCCTGGCTCTGGTGAGTGACCCAAACTACTACACTTAGTAGATAGATACTAATGGTTTAACGAATTGGTTGAATAGGGAAAACCTTTATCGTAGGCAACCTTATAAAAACAATACAAAGCTCCGGACAGAGACTGGTATTTGCCCTTTTATCACACAATAACCAGGCAGCCGGCGATACCATTAAGGTCCTACATTCATTCCTGTTCCAGCTTCTCGACGTTGACCCTTCCCTGCGATCACTTCTTCACGAACCCTCCCAATCAAATTACAGAAAACTCAAAACCGACTCAGACTTCCTCATTGAGTTTTTGTGTAAAATCCTTAGGGACGTAGGGCCTACCTTCGTCATATTGGACGGTCTGGATGAACTAGACGAATGCTCATGGAGGCACCTTCTTGCTAGCGTATTGAAGATCAATGAGAGTTGCCCGGAAACAAAGCTACTCATCAGCAGTAGAGAGGAGCGTAATATAGAATTACGTTTGAGAAACAAATCTATCCCTATTCGTGTTGATGATAGAAATAGCGGGGACATACAATCTTTCGTCCAGCTTGAATGTGAAAGTCTCCTCGACGAAATGAGGAGTTGCCGGGCCGACCAGCAGACTTGTCTCGAGGTCAAGAAAGGAATAGATGGTGTCGCCGAAAAGGCAGCAGGCAAGTTTGTATCCAAAAGACACTATCAAAGCTAACCAATGTGGTGTAGGTATGTTTATATATGCCAGGCTAGTGATGCTTATGGTGAAAGATCACCATGACATCGGAACACAGATACAAGATCTTCCAGATCTTCCAGATGGTCTTGATGAAGTGTAAGTGCCGATAAAATGACCGCATTCATTCGAATACCATTAACGACTAAATAGATATGGCCGCCTCCTCGACAGGGCTAGAGAGAAGAACAGGAGATTTGTGCGTCCAATATTACAATGGGTGGCATGCGCTCAAAGACCCCTGAGTGAGGAAGAGATGCTCCAAGCTCTATCCATCGAGCCTGGCCAGCAAGATTTTACGAAGAGGCGCAAACAGTTCCTTGACATTTGCAAGATGTGTGGTCCGATTATCGAGATTAAGGACGGCAATATCCAATTCGTCCATTTTTCTGCTAAGGAGTAAGATGATGCCTTAGGTACCAAGAAAAACATGGTTTAAAACAAATTATCTAACTTTTAATAGATACCTTCTTCATGAACAAAGCGACAGCTTTCTGAACCTATCTGAAGCACACTTGGATGCCACGATAATCTGCGCCACGTATTTATCACTCTCGTCATTGAACTCATTATTCTCTCATCGCTCGAATGACGAGGTCGATATCCAGATGAGAATCACGGATGGCGACTACGTACTGTTTGAATATGCATCTATGATGTTTCTGGGACACCTGGAAGCCGCATTGGAAACCCATAATACTGCCCAGGATGCTCGTTTACTCGCAGCCCTGAGTCGATTTCGGGAGACTCGATCCGTTGACTCCCCGGATACTTCATGCATCCCGAAGCATATTATTCACATGTTTAGAATGTATGTAGATGAACCTCAGGTCCAAGACTTCTTGTCCATTGTCATGTACTCTCAAACAAAAGCCCAAAACGGGATGTCCAACCAAGATGGTAAGCAAATATGTTGTCTGTACCAGTCTATACCGACATCGCTAATGGTGTTCGTTCAGGGGTTACGGGTTCTCCCATGGATGATCCGCTCAACATATTCTCGACCAGGCGCAAAGTCAGAAAAGGCGTAGAGGATGCAATATGTCGAGAATCGTATCACAGACCTAGTTGCTGTTGCAATGACTTGATGCGTCTATATGGAGCAAACGTATATCACTGTGATCAACATTTCTGCCATGCATACCAACGCGGATTTCGATCGAAACAACTCAGGGACCAGCATTTAAAGATACACCAACGGCCGCACAAATGCTCTATTGACAACTGCCTATTCACAGATATAGGGTTCTATGATACACCAGGACTAGAACGACACATGCGTGACACCCATCCTTCGTCGACACTAGGAAATGATGTATCTGGCCCTGTCGTATCACCAGGTCGACCACTAAATGATACCTACGGTATTTTCAAGGATGCTGTGGCACTTGACCAAGTAGATCTCGTCAGAGAATTAATCGACAGAGGCGTGGTACTCAAAAATTCCGAGTTTTACTCTAATATTGTTGGATTAGCTGCCTCCAAATCCTCTAAAGACATGTTATCTTGCTTGCTCGGTTGGCAATGCGGGTACGAAGCGCCATACCTAAGCATCTTGCTAGCAATGGCGCTTGAATTTCAGAACCTACCTAACATCGGATTCCTGTTTTCTTATGAACCGCAATTGTTAGAATGCATGTATGCTGAATATCATTTAGGTGTGGGATTCATAGCCCCCGGTAGAACCCGGTCTTCTGCGTCATCCAGTGGCATGTCCCATTATGTCCGCGCATTAAGTCTTTGGAGTCCAACTTTGATGGCCTATCTGATCAACGAATGTTGTATTACTGTACCACTACAAGTAAAGAGACCAGGAAGAATCTTTGCTGATGCAGCGATTATGGAAGACACGCTAGACCAAGCGAGAAAACGTTTCCATGAAATCAAGCAATATATCATCTGGCCTGAGGCTTACGTGGAAGGTGTCGCCATGGCTTCAGAATGGCGGTGCTTTACTGGCGCCATGATCTGTTTGGAAAATGGGGGTGATCCTAATGGCAATAGGCAATTTTCTAGAAGAACGGCATTATTTCATGCCGTAGAAGCAGGAAGCCGGCAGGGAGCTCAGTTTGTAAAGGAACTATTACGGAATGGCGCAGATCTAAATCACCCTGGCTTTAAGGTAAAAAGCAACTCAGCAATGGCGAAGAAGACTGCAGGACACTTTGGGTTGACATGGGAAGAGATGGTTCGGAGGCTTAGAGAAGGTGAAGATCTTCCTATAATTTCACGTCGTAATAACAATAGGAATATGTAAATGCTACAGGGAGGTTTGTCGCAAAGAAAATTGTTATCTTTGTGATTAGTACCTACGAAGTAGGCAGATCTACTAGGTGTCTTTGATTGTAATACACCTGCCTAGGTATCTACTTAGTTATATCTACCCGTACCGTGTAGGTTATACGCTAGGTGAACATGGTACGTCTCAGGTCCTGTAATATACCATGGGTGTCAATTCTGTTTCTAAGCATCGTGAGATAGATTTTGCTGTTACTAACTCTTAAAATATCCTCAACCTTGTCGCGGTTGGTCTTTGGTTCTTCAAGGGATAATTTAATGATGTTAATTTTATGTTCTTGCCGTTTTAGAACATACTGTAGTCTGGGTAAGCCAAGTCCATCTTCATCTTAGGTAAACTAACCTGTTCGATTGAATCCGAGCCCGACACAACATATCGAGTAGCAATAACCTCCCTTTCTTGTCCTAAGCGATGGATACGGTCTATGGCTTGTTGCTCTAATAAAGGATTCCACTATAATAACGAATGTTAACTTTTTTTATGATATAAAGTACCGATGTTTATAGTATTGTAAAAGGGGAGGAGGGTGGTTTCACGTACTCCCGGCTCCATTAAATGTACACGAGTAGCCATGGTGAGGTCAAGTCTATGGTTAGTTTAGTACTGGGATTCTTTATAGGATTGATTAGAATCTCCTTAAAACATACCCAACTGCAGCACTTCCGAGTGATGCAAGCAATACCGTGCAGTTTGGATTTTCGCGAAAGTCCTTGAGTGCGAGACTTCTCCGTGACAAATTCATGCTTCCATCGAGTCTTTGATACTCAAAGTTATTCGTAGAGAGAGCTTCGCTGATGAGATCTAACATGCTGGTCCATGTTGAGAATACAACGCTGCAACTAGTTGAGATAAAGTAGATAAAGTGCGACCGAACTCGACTTACCTTTTTGCTGATGGCTGATTAGATTTAGTTGTCGCCTGGCGATCGCTTTGCAGATTATGAAGTAAGGCTTTGACTTTCGATGAAGGGCGATAAATCGTTTTTTCAAACTGGGATATCGTCCTCCACCTAACGTTCGTTTTCTTGTTTTCTCCCAAGGTTCCATCGTCGCATAAGGGGCAAATGGGGCTACCTCCATTGGTGGGGGTGTCATCATTTGGAATACATGCGCGACAAACCTGGTGGAAGCATGAAAGCACGCAAGGCGATACCTCATCTTCATCGATGATGGTTGCATCACATTTTTCGCAGCTATGAAGCCGCGGAAAGTCAGTATCGAATGCGGATGCTTCGTTGAGCCAAGCCCGTAGACTTGGGGGAAGCAAGTCGCTTCCGTGGTTGCAAATCTGTCGAAGTCGAAGGATGAGTTGAAATGTTTGCATAGCCGAGCCGCCCGAGTCGATGGCTAAGGCGAAATGTCTTTTCATTAAATTATAGAGACTTATCTCCCTCTCATCCAATTTAACCAAATGGACAGTTTCGAATCTAGGGGGGAGGTTGAGATCAGAGTCGAGGGCCTTTTTGGTTCTGCGTAAGGTAATAGATCTGACCAAACATCTGAGTCGTTCCCAACCAGATTGCCCCCCTTGGTCGATGGGGGTTATGAACGTGCTCTCGAAGACGCTAGGGTTATCGAACGGGCCAACTTTCAAAAATTCGACGAGGGCACCTAAGTCTTCCAAGCGGTTCTGGATCGGCGTGCCGGTTAAACACCAGCGATGCCTAGCTCTGAGCATATTGACGGCCTGGAACTTCTTTGTAGCGCGATTTCTCACGACGTGGGCTGTTGATCTTATTAATCAACTAAAATTTGAAGGGATAATTACCACTTACCTTCATCTAGTATAACCCGATGCCAGCTGATACTATGGAGCTGATCAACCTTAGTAGCTTTATTCGATCTTCGTCTTACACCTCCTTCCTCTATAAAGTCGGCTCTGAGGGTCTCGTATGTTGTTATAACTATATTGACGCTCTTTAGAGCGGCAAGATCATAATTCCTCGCTGATCCATGGTAAATCTTGTAAGTAAGAGATCCCTTCCTAAAGTGTCTTCGGTTATGTTAGGCATGATCAAAAATACTGATATATCTAACACACCTTTCAATCTGGTCTTGCCAAGACGTGATAGCTATCGTAGGATGTCAATACTAGGTAAAAACAAGGGGGGGACGATATCGAACAGGCACTTACTCGTCATAGGGCATACTATCAAGGTCACATTATCATTGCTCAATGATGTTGCGATTAGTGCTAATGCTGTTAAGGTTTTCCCAAGACCCATTTCCTTCGTATTTATATTAGCCCAGCTGCTTCGTGAAGGACTCGGAGGAGGCGGGCTTACATCTGCAAGAAGACCACCCAGACATAATCTCGGTTTTCGGGTGGTATAGTTCTTGGTGACGTGATTGTTGAATCTATATAATTAGCGACATTTTCGATAGATCGAAAAGCGATCTCTCACCCCTTTGCACCCAAACTCGTAGACCATACCGAAGGGAATTCTGCTTGGCAAATATTTCCCGATTCTTTTTCTGTCATCATGGAGAGGGCTTTGATTTGATGCCTCGTCGCTTCTTAGTACTGGCTAGCATATGGTATTAGGTCTGATCACCTACTCTTTCAGCTTTGAGATAAGAATTTCGGAAATTTGGATCCTTCTGAAATTTACAGGACCGGTCGCAGAGTCGAATAACTCAACGACTCTGCTCTTTTCTTTCTCGGGCAATACTGTGCTTTGGGCTGGGGATGGCCCGTTGTCTTTCCAAAACGAATCTCCTTCGTTAGGGTTCGAGAGGCACTGAGGGTTATAGTATGGCCGTGAGGTATCATATGATTTTGGTTGTTGGAGGAAACAATCCCGCTCAAGCAGCATGTCTCCAATGGATTCTCCTTGTTCAAACCTGCCATATATTAGTACCTCAATCTTATTCCGGCTCGTCATATATGCCGAGAGCTCGACGTCGTAGGAATTATTGAGATCGGAAACGACACGGGATGCACTGCGATTAAGGAGGCCACCGTATTCATTTGAGCTCGCGTTACGGATAGCCCCAGTCACTTCGAGCGAAACGTGCTTAATAGTAGTTTTTCCTTTATAAAAGTTGTCATGAACTTTGAAGTCTTCGAAGATCATCTACTCGACATCCGTTAATGAATAGATCACCCAGAAAGGAAATATGTACTTACCACACCAAAACAAGAGTCGTATGAAACTTCGTGGTGGATTTCATCAGTTGTGATAAGGTGATCACCCACGATATCCTGGGCCGTAGGAGGTGAGTTTGAAAATGGCGTAAGGCTATAGACGTCGTCGTTATTAAGGTTATATTCCGAATTTCTCCCATTGCATGAGCTATCAATACAGCTGGAACCTTCAACCAGATTATCATTTATGCTGATATCATTATATTCTGCGACTAAATTTGAGGTTTCCTCCCAATTCACCCATTCATTATTCGTGTTGAGGTCTTGGAATGATGAAAAACTGGGAGTTGGCCAATCGAAATAGATATTATCCATGGAATTGAAGGACTGCCATCCTTCGTCACCCTGTGGTGTCCAGTGTTGCAAAGATACATGTTTCTGGGCGGGCAGGCTTTTATTGATGCAGGATTGTTCTAGATATAAGATATCGGGAGAAAGATAGTCTAGGTATCCAGAATCACCTGCAGGTGGTAGCATATGATCTCCTGAGAATATCGATGAGCTAGGTGCTGTCGGTTCGATAGATGGTGTATGTTGAAACCCTAGTGTATCAACTAGAGATGGAAAACCTGGCTCATTGGGGCTGGCAAATTCAGGTATATTTGACTGCTGGAAGTTTACCGGTTCCGAGACACATGTTTTTTTCACAGGACTCTCGAATGCCGCCTCCGAGCTTTCGCCCCAGTGGTTTGTACTCTCCCAAGATCGCTTGATCCTCGAAATGGGAGGCTTCGGGTAGAAATCCTCAACGTTGTCGTTCATATCCCAGACGTGTCTTGGATTTTGACATTTATAAATGAATAAGAATCAGGACTGAGTGAGTATTATTGTAAAAATATAAGTGAAGTTAGAAATTAAGAGTAAGGCAGGAATGGGTGACTTCCAGCCAATATTGAGTACCTAGTAGCCACCAAGCCATATTGCTCCGAACACCCACCGTGTGGCGTTAATACGACGAATGAACTCTGAGAACAACTCTTCAGTACCGTGGCGGTGCGAAGCTGTAGGCTGACTTCAAGGGCTACATTTCATCACAGGCAATTGAGTACATGAGGCTCCCGAGTTGCGCTAGCAAATCAGCCTTATATTAGTATCATAGAGACATAGCTGAATACTTGATACCTTGATATTTGTACTACTAGAGAATAATAACCGGTGAATTTTTTAACATTTCCGGCTAGATAGTGGCATAATTTTTGCTTTCTAGTTGAATGTGTTACTCTCTTGGAAATCGGCGGTTGCTGCTCGTTGCTTAATCTAAAAATAGGGGGGCATATGATAAGATAATAAACCTGGTTAGTTACCTACTAGGTAGGTAGGTACCTAGGTAGATATCGAGTTAACGAATTTATGGCCTTCGGCGTCTTCTAAAGCTTATAGAATATTGATTGTTAGAGTTAATTCTAACACTTTAATTCCTCCATCTACCTCCATGAGTGCGACGTCTCTGCTGACGACAAGGTCGTATTCTTTGTCGCGGGCACATCATAAATTGTGCCTGCTGTCACAACCCCACCTTTCCCTTCCAACATCACATTCCCCGCGATGCCAACGATTCTCATCCCAACCGACAAGGCGTCGCCGCCTTCTAACCCTCGCTATCGAGTCGTCTTGCGATGACACATGCGTAGCAGTCCTTGAAAAGGATACGGGTCCGAAAGGCGCAGCATACCTACTCACCAACAAGAAGACCACATCCGCAAACCGCTCGTCCCAAGGAGTGCATCCCTTAATCGCCCTCGCATCGCATACAGAACATATAGCAGGTCTGATACGGGAAGCTATACGCGCGCTCCCAAAAGTCTCTGAAAAGACAGACGCGAACTTAAGCAGCGATAACCGTGACATAAACATAAGCGGAAAGGAGGATGTGCTTTGGGTAGATGGACAGGCCCGCAGGAAACCAGACTTCGTGGCGGTGACCCGCGGACCTGGAATGTTGTCGAGTCTATCCACAGGCCTGAACCTCGCCAAGGGGCTCGCGGTCGCGTGGGACGTACCATTACTCGGCGTGAACCACATGCAAGCGCACGCGCTAACGCCGCGACTCGTCAGTGCTCTCGAAGCCGGGAAACAAGAGCAGGCGCAAAAGGAAAACGGAAAAGACCATGAACCCACCCCGACATTCCCCTTCCTATCCCTCCTAGTCTCCGGCGGGCACTCGCTCCTCGTGCTCTCGCGCACGCTCACCGACCACGCCATCCTCGCGCAATCGCACAGCATCGCCATCGGGGATATGATAGACAAATGCGCGCGCGACATCCTGCCTCCCTCTTTGGTTGCCGCGGGCGGCGACACCGTCGTGTACGGTGCGCTTCTCGAGCGTTTCGCCTTTCCCGCCCCCGACCCGTCTGACGCCGATAACACCGAAGCCGACACCGTAAACTACGACTACACGCCCCCCGCCAAACGCGGCGACGAGATCCGCGTCTTCGACTCCGAATACGGCTGGTCGCTACGCCCGCCGCTGGCCGAGTCCCGCAAGATGGTGCTCGACTTCGGCGGCATCAACGGCGCCGTGCTGGAGATCGTGCTGCGGCGGCCCGACATGGACGTTGCGCAGCGCCGCGTCCTTGCGCGCGAGACCATGCGGTTGTCTTTCGAACATCTAGCCAGCAGGGTTATATTCGCGCTGGAGAAGAGCGAGGGGAAGGGCGGGGATGGCTCGTTGCGGGACGTAAGCACTTTGGTTGTGGCGGGTGGGGTCTCGAGTAATCGCTACTTGATGCATATCCTGCGCGCGGTGCTGGATGTGCGCGGGTATGGACATATTGAGATCGTTAGCCCGCCGTTGGCGCTGTGTACGGATAATGCGGCGATGATTGCGTGGGCGGGCATGGAGATGTATGAGGCGGGGTGGCGGACTGGGTTGGATGTTCTTCCTATTAGGAAATGGCCTTTGGATCCGACTGTGGATGGTGGGATTCTCGGGGTGAAGGGGTGGAAAAATGTTGGTGAGATGTTATGATGCGCCCTTTAGAGGCTTGCTTAGGTAAAAAATAGTAGCGGGCGGATGAGGACTACCGTACGACTATACGATTGCATTGCATGGATGGCATACACCGGCGTTACTTCACTATGGGGAAAAAAGGGGGTTCACATAATAGAAAATCTCGATGTCATAGTTGGATGTTGTACATTAACACGGCGGATCCCAAAGGACCGTGGGAGTTCGTCTAGATAGCTATGGTGGCAGTCTATCAAGCTCAGCTTTGCATTTCCCCTGGTCTTGCTACATGTACGATATTCCGCCGGGAGTACCTGATGCGAAGCATACGCTTCACCTTTTGCTTCTCTAATTCGTCATCTTAATCCAATGCACTCGTGACGTTTGTGAACTCGCCCTTCTCCAGCTTCGTCTTCCAGAATATCGGGTTCGTGTCGTTGAATCCGTGCTTCACCCATCCCTCTTCCTTGACATGGTACAAGTTGATGTAACCTCCAGAGTACGCATCTCGGTGCGTGGCAGCCAAGATACTTCGGCGACCTAACTCTAGGGCTTCTTCCACGCCTAGCTCGTACTTGTACTCGGCGTCGAGCACACCGTACGCGAACGTCTGTCCGGAACCGACACAGAACAGGTTTCCGGCCAACCGTGTGCCGTCGGAGTCGATATAGTACAGGGCGGGGCCCTCCTCTTTGGTGACGCCGGCACACATGGTGCCCATGGACAGGCCCATGCCCTTGTACTGGTAGACGAGGTTGGCGAGGATCTTGGAGGCCGCGGCGACGCTGATACGGCGCTTGTGACGGAGCTCGTGTAGTCGGCATTGCATTCCCAGCCAGGCTAGCCAGTACTGGCAGTCGGCGGCACCGCCGGCCATGGTGCCCAGCAGGCAGTTGTTGATCTCGATCACCTTCTTCACCGTCTGCGAAGCGATCCAGTTGCCGGCTGTGGCTCGCGAGTCCGTCGCCACGATGATGCCGCCTTGGAACCGGAAGGCGAGAGTCGTTGTACCGTGGGCGATCTTGATCGGGCAGTTCGGGTTCGAGTGGTCGTCTGTTGCTGCGCGGAGCCAGGCCGAGGGCTGTTTATGGTTTGTTAGCCCTGTGCTCTGTTCCGGACCTGGGTTTTCTTGATATGAAGCTATCGCGGAGATAGAGGTAGGGGTATTGTAGTGGTATGACTTACTTGAGCCACAGGAGGCATGGCGAAGTTGAGAGAGAGGGCGGGCGACATATCGTTCTGGAGGTCTTCTTGTTGGTCGTCGGCGAATGCCTCATGGTGGGACGCAGCCGGGCGGCTGTACCTGGCTACGAGAGTATCCATGGTAAGAATTGGTGTCCGGAAATTGATTTAGAAAAATAGGATATCAGCCCTCGGATCGAAAGTGGGAAGGGATCGAACTGAGGTGAGCGTTATTATAAGTGGATGAATGTTGGAAAGGGCTAAAACGATTGACGATTGACGTCTGGTGCACAAGGCAATCGAAGCTCAAGGCAGCTGGTCTCACGCGTCGTTGCTTCCCTAAGCCGGATGGTCAAAGCTCCTTTTAGTACTTAGGTACTTCTCACAATCAAGTGGAATGCATTAGGTAATCAAGTATGTCGGACTCCGCGTAATTGCAAGAGCTCATGTATATGAATTTATGTAACCTTCGAGCTCATTACATAATAAACTAAGATCAAATTACTTTAATCGAAGGTCAAGATTTATATCTCATACAATTCTCACAATTAACACTTATTCGGTCTCCAGTCACATAAACCCTCTTCTCTCAGTATCTTACCTCACGTATATCTTAAAATATGAATGAAATGTCACATATAACTTGAAACCCATCAGAATCGCTACACCACAGCATCAGACATGTTCGGAACTTTCAAGAGAGAATGAGAATAACGGCCGTGATCACTACAATTCGGTATGGTTTCAGCTATATACTAGGTAGAGAATATGGGCACGGCCGTCTACATGATTAAAAAAGGAATATGTAGGTATGGATGTCTAGGTATGTAAATCCTGTACCCCCCGGCCTGAAGCCCCCCGTTTCCGATGAGCTTAGAACAGATGGGTATAGGTTCGTGTTTTAACAGCATTTCGTGGCCACATTACAGGTATAAAAAACCAGTGAGAGCCCCCCTCCGTTGCCGTTTCGACCACACTGAATCACTAAATCTGTGTCGAGCCCCCCTCCCCACACCAGAGCATTCGTCTTCATTCTTCGTCGTTGCTCCTTATCTAATACCCGGGTTGACGATATCCCGCGTACCCGTTCTGCTGCCCCTGGTTGTAGGCAGGGTATCCACCTCCTACATTGGGAATCGTAGGCTGTTGCGTGATGGGAGCAGCACTATGAACGAGGTTATCACGGCTTGGGTTCGCCCCTCCCATCGGTGCGCTAGGCGTTAACGGTCTGTTGTATGGAGCGTTGAGCGGCGAGTAAGCATTGGTCGGCTCAACAGAAATACTCATATACTGGTCAGAAGAATCGCGCTTTACGGGTAGCTTGTAATCCGATGGGGCGTTGTTGTAGGAGATGGTGATCTTTGTCTCGCCGGTCTTGACACGCTCTAGGAGTAGCGAGTTCCGCGCATCCAGGGGTGTCAGAGTGTCCATATCACGTTGCATCTTTTCTGTGGTATTGGTTAGAATGCTGTTCCAGGAGGCACATATTGTGGAAGACTTGGGGCGCGCAACTTACCCATCTCCTTTCTACGCTTGCGGTGAGGGTTCTGCTTGAAGCAGGCTATGATTGCATTATATGCAATCAGGATGGCGAGAATTCCGGCGAGTGCCGATTGTATAGCGATCAGAACGACGCCAGCAACAGTCTGTGTGGTTTCGGCGATGCCGAATTCCTCGACGAAGATGAGAATGCAGACAACAGAGAGAACGCGTACGACCTGGATAGCGATGTTCACGACATTTCCAGACTTCCGCTCAAATGGTCTGCTCCAGATCAAAACGCTCAACATTAACCCTTCGACGACCAAAAGGCTGACTGCCTGTGACAAGCCATGGCCATTGGTAGCGGCAAGGACACAGCCCTTGGCGAACATATAGAGGATGACCGGTACAAATATCCACCAATAATCCTTCTTGTATGATTCATAGAAGAGGGAATACTTCACCCAGATCTTCTTATCCTCATACAGAGCTGAGGCATCTCCTTCGGCATTCTTGAGCTTGTGAGCCATACTCCAAATTTTCCACGAGAAGAAGATTAGAATGCTGGTGAAGATGGCAAGGGTAACACCCGCAAGTGTCTGAGCGGCCCAAGAGTCTCCGTGTGTGAATTGGAATACACAATATAGTACCCAAATGCTGTAAAGAAGTAGGATAAGAGATGTGATGGCGCGGGCAATCGAGCCCCAGTAATGCTTACGGAAACCAGTCAAAGATTCGGGGAAGTTTCCGAATAGAGCCCAGGTCTCGAGAATGACTTTCACTAACAATATACCGACGACAATGACACCGATTACGATAGCAACAATGAGAAGAACGGTCATGAAAGTGTTGGCTTGCGGAACGGACAATCGCTCGGCGTAGGCCTGAATACCATTGACAATCGTACGGAGCGTGGCGTCGGGACCGGATGTCGAGTTTCCATCGTTAGTTCCGTTAACCGATGTCTCGATATCACGAGCGGCAAGGTAGGCGTTCGCGAGGGCACGCCCGACAATCGAAGAGGAGTTCGAGCTCGCAGACGAGCCGTCAGGATAGACCAAAGTTGCTTTCCTTAGGAAATCCACACCGTCGTTCGTCAGGTTTCCACCTGTCATCTGTCGGAAATTGTCGATAGAGACCTGCATCTGCTCCCACGGGATGAGACCGGTCGAGAAAGCAAAGTTGGCCGAGAAACTCCGGTAGACCTGGGGTAGCTTGGCGGACATCATGCCGTTCATCGCGAACCCCTGAAATACACCGAAGATCTCTCCAAAACTTGGGCTGGCGGTTGCTGCTCCGGCACCGCTGGCAGCACTACCACTACCCGAGAGAGCTGCACTAAGTGCTCCTGCACTACCGACCAACAAGGCAGCTCCCGCTACACCAGCGGCGACAAAAGAGACTGCCGCAACGGTGGCGGTCTTCCCGTTCGTGACCTGTGATTGGATACATCCCACATCTTTACCGTTGTCTAAGGACTTAAGCTGTAGAGTTGCCTCCGCCGCAATATCGGGGATCTGGAAGGCAATAGCTGGAATGGAGTTAGCATACTGTGAAGGTATCGCCTGTGACCCCTTAGCGCCGAATGTCCCTACGGGAACTGTTCTTTTGTTAGCAATCGAACATGAAGCAAGGGTAGGTGGAAGTTAAGTGAGTGGATAGACATACCAGGACATAATTGTTCGACATATGTCCCACTCTCGCACGGATTGAAGCTATTCGTGTAGACATCCTGACCATACGCTGTTACGGAGAGCGTAGCTGTTACATTCTGTTGCTTGTTGCTCGTACCCGCTACATCGAAAACCACGGTCTTATCGGCATTGTTGTAAGATATATCCGCCTTCTGGACCGTAATAGCGCTGCCATCCTCACAGTTGGTGAATCCGCTCGTGACCAATAGATCATCGCCCAAGACTCCGCTGGTCAACGCCGTTGCCAGTATCGCCGCCCGCCGAATATTCCACCTCGAATTCGATCTCGCCATGCTGATCGAACTTTGTTTATGTCGTAGAACGAGTCTAGGAAATCGTTAAAACCCACTGGGGAGTGGGTTTGTTCGTTATATCTATATGTTTATATCCCCTGTCTGATTGTATCCCCTAATTGTATTTGAAAATCAATCGCTAGATGCTTCCTGATATATCACGCCGTTGGCAATTGGTTCAACCAAGGCTATTAAAAATCTGTATCGATTGTAACTTGTTGCTGTTCGAAGAATTTGTTCGTCCGGTTTATTAATCGGCCGGTATTTTTACTGGATAGATAAATCGTGTCGAATCCTCAAAATAAATGTATGGGAATCGTACGAGACAAAGAGCACGATGGTAAAGAGTGTGTTTTGGGCGGCCTAAAAAAAAGTCATGGAAACCAAAAACGGCCAAGGATCAACCTGTGGAAAGAATGGAAAATGGCAACAAGTTGCCCTCCTCAAAAAAAGACTTGGTATCGTTCCGGTATCTCTTCCAGTTATGGTAGAATAACAAGTCGGAATCGGGTGTCAACGATGGCGAAAAGGTTGACGATGGTATGTGAGAGAGGGTCGACGTCGGCGCATATGTGAAACAATTCTTACTGAGAGCAGCAAACGAGTGTGCGAGAAGATCACCAAAATACGACTTAAAGCAGATGTAGGAAAGAGGCGCCAAATGAAAAAAGAGTGAAGGTCAAAGCCAGATGGTTGGCGAGGAAGCCAAGATCAAAAGATGCACATCGTCTAGGTCGTCTAGGCCCCTGACAAGAGATCTATCTCCTCGAAGGGAATAGGCCGACTCTGACTGGCTGGCACGTCCCTTTACCAAGTGAACATTCGCAGTCCAGTACCCCAGTCCCATTACCCCTGTCGGCGCCATCGTCGTGGGGCCGCGCCGAGAAGTGCGACTGGGGGGCTAAGCTAACCCACATGAAACCGACCCCCTTCGCAGATCATTGGGTAATCCGGTAAGCTCCATGGCTCACCATGGCCTCTCTCGGTGGCGTAAGGGCAGCCATCTTACAATTTTCGAAACACGGTGAGAATTAGCTAATAGAAGAAAGGAAAACGATTCTCGCTGTCTCAAACCACTACCACCTCAATCGAGAGACGTGGCCGTACATAGAGGCGGTCGGGTTGCCTATCACCAAATTGCATCGTGCATATGAAAAAAGCACCTTGAAGGTGTTAATAGAGCTAAGAAACATAGTCCGGTTCGGTAGTGGGCAAGCATAATTATCAGAGGGTCTCTCATTAATCGACCAAGAACAAAGCAAGTCTAGTTTGAGATTAAAGTCCAGAATCTGGTTGGTCGGAAATGGGATAGAAAGGGGAAGGACCGCGATGATTGGCTAAAAAATTGTTAACCGATCTTAAGCATCGCTTTTTAGAGGCTCTCCTGTAAGGGTTGTAGGGTAGGGGGGCAAGGGGGGTTATCCGCCGCGGCTCCTTCAGGGGTTCTGCCAGGTCAACTCTGGTCAACTTCCGACCTCTAAATTCCAAGCCACGTTCAAAACAGGAGTTATCAAGATGATGCCTTGGAATGGGCCACAGGAACACAAGAAAAGGGGAATGATTCTCATCGAGCCGCCCGCCAAATCCTGGCTCCCATTACATAGAATACGTCACATAAAAGTCGGGGATATCTACACGAGCAATGATCTTCGATCGTACAAGAGTACATTTGTTCTATTCTCAGTTCCATAATCCTCGACTCTCGCGGCTCTGGGATCAATTGATACATGCCCTGGTGTCAATTCACGTGCGACGAGAGTTCTCGTCAGCTCGTTCATCTAAATTATCGACCCAAGCGATCTAATATGACGAACCGCTTATCCCACCCCTGGCCATACGAGCCTGCACGGATGTCCTACAATTTAATGCTATCATGCTTAAAATTGAACGCTGTCGACACCACATGGCATAAAAAATACTACTAAACCAAAACGTCTAAAGATATTAACAGCTTCCCGGCATCCCTTTAGAGAATGATCTCGCGTGTTCGAGCAATTATTTTAATTAATCCCCGATTCTTCAGTTCTGGGCACGCACTATATAAAGAACCTGCGCTTCGTGATCCGAAACGCGGATATTCGATCAATTACTCAAACGGTAAACCGAGTGAAGCCGACCAGCCATCTAAGTCAACGCCATCTTCCATATTAGGTACTGTACCTACCTGTAAACCTCAGATAAAAAGGTTTATGAAGAACCCCCACCCACAAAGCCGAAAAGCTTCGGCGCCGAGTTCGCAATAAAGCCTAGTATCGCGTTTGATCACTGCCGCGATTAAGCTTAAATTTATTCAAACTTACCTACCTAGGTACTTATGCGTGACACGAACCAACCTGCGGAAAGCAATAATAGCATCTGGCATATAGTAATACTGTGCGTCCTTTATTACGGCAGTCCGTCCCGCCGCCGCGAAAGTCCGGGAAACTTGCTCGTTAAGGGGTGCTCCCAAGTTCCATCGTGTATAGTATGGCGAAAGTAGGTACGTACACAGCTGAGTAAGTGAGTAGGTACATATGTAGGTAGGTACGTGGTGGACTACGTACTTCGTACGCGCGGGGAGACCACAGTTTTCAGGAACGCGATGCACCGAGATGCCTAGGTAACTCCACAGTCGTGACAAGCAAAATTTGGTACACTAGGTGGATTGGGAAGTCGATGGTTCTCGACGGTGGCTGATAATCCGGAAATCCCTAAGACCCGCCTGTTCCAGATAAACACCGGAGGCCTCCGGCCGGGGTAGACGCAAGGACTTTCACACATATTTAAACCTTAACCGAGTCCACAGAGTTCACGATCAAGATATGATTGAGTGTTCATAAAAATATAAACGAGAAATCTATGAAATCTAGAGAAAAGCACACCAAACCGCCCCGGTCCCGATGACTTAAAGAAAGAAAGCGCTTCTCATCAGATCGGATTGTGTGCATTCCGCTGCCGTTATATATCTTGAAAAAAAATGAATTCATCATTAGCCCGCCCATCATTTCGTACCCGAAGATATTCGTAACTCTTTTCTACCGCCAAACGTTGTTCGAAGAAGAGATAAAAGAGAATCCGACCCAGCTACGTGTGTGCTCCCGACATAAAGAGATACACTACGGCATAGAGTGGCTGGAGAGATTTAGCGGTCGTGTGGGGACCAGACATGACTCAAAACATGAGATATACATATCGTCCAAACAACGCCATGGGATATCGTTAGATTGCATATAAAAATCCTAAGCAAATGATTTCAGGAACGTAGAGAAGTTTACCCTGCTCAACCAAGGCCATCCGGCGAACTCCAGCTCGGGGTATCTGTTGTAAGGAGAAATCCCAAACATGCATCGCAAAAAAACAAAAACAAAAAAAATTGGTCTATCATTCATGGGTTATAGAAGGAGCCGTGGCCTTGGTGGGGTGAGTGGCTGTATGGTGAGACTGAACCCGGGTGATTGCCATACTGCTCGACAGGTTGCATGGTAGGATTCCCGAGGTTATCATAACCAAAAGATCCACCAGGCTCCTGGATCCCTAGAGGATTGAGATCGAGCTGCGGGAATGGCTCCAGTCCTTCTTGCTGAGATTGTATATTCATGTAGGCATTCGCAGAAGAACCATAAGAGGGGCCTGTGGTGACTGGCAGCGGATGGTACTGAGGTTGTGGAGGTTGATGGATGTTATAACTTGGCCCCATTAAGTTAGCCCCCGGGTTGGGAGACATATCAGCATACTGTTGAGCCATCTGGTGCTGACCGAAGTAGGACGTTTGAAGTGACATATTTGGCATGCCAAAGCTGAGGTTTCCTGGGCTGTAGTCCATCGGAATAGGATTTGATGACGTACTAGCGCCTTGCGGAATAAACGGCGAATGTTCCTGTTTGATTGAAGATATCGGGAAGTTAGGGCGAGGAGGGTCTTGGATTGGGCTGATTATTGTGTCCGCGTCTAGTTCTTTCCTTTTCACTACGTCTAGAACAGGGAGGCTGATATGCTCCATGTGTTTTGCCAAGTGGACTGTCAGTTTCTTCCAGGTAGGGAACGTCTTTCGACAGAATCGGCAAGGCTCTTCGGACGGCTTTACTTGTGTCTCAACGTGGCACTGCTCCACTTTCAGCCAAGTACGGTCACCGCCACCAGCCTTCTTGATGGCGGCTTTCGTCTTGATCTTCGGTTCAGTATACTTATGCTCACGAACGAGATGCTGCAGGAAGTTGTCGCGTCTGTAGCATACGTGCCGACAGTCGTCTACGTCACATAACCACCACTCAAGGTGGCGATGGCCTTCGTTTTCATGACGAACCCAGTCAGCTTTTCGTTTAAACATTTTTGGGTCACGGCACTTTTCCCAAGTACACGTGAACGGCTGGACGTCCTCATGGACGTGTTTGGTCCAGTCGGATGGTTTTTGGAATTTCTTGCTCGTGAAGCACAGCTGGCACTCGAATTCCGCTGGGAGGGACATGGTCGGGGGCATAGGAATACCAAGAGGAAAGCTTTCCGAGTTGATACCGCCCTCGAGAGGATTCGTGTCGCCGTCAGAAGAATCAGGCCGAGCTGACAAGGGATCGACACCTCGTTCACCTCCTCTTCCATCTAAGGGAACGGCTGATCCGCCAAGTGAAAGGCACAACGTACCACATGGGCACTTGCGTTGATTAACCTGACCCAAGTGTTTGACCTTAGCACCTTGAAGCTGCTTATAACGCATAACCATTTGATATGCAATACGGTCAGCCAACCAGCTGTTCTCGCGCGGGAACTGAGGATTCAATTCCATGATATGGCTCCGGAAACCCGCATTTGTTGGCTCAATGATTTGTCCTTTGCTTGGTTCAGTCTTAATATCGCCGTCGTCGAAACCCTCATCATCATCGTCTTCGTCTTCGTCTTGTTCTGGTGCAGGATGGGTTCTTGCTAGTGAAGCAACAGGTGGGCCGCCCTGTTTCTTCAGCATTCCAATTATATTCTCTGGGTTGGATCCCTTCGGAAGCTCCGTTTTGCTCCTCCTCCTTGTGAGTGTATTCTTCATAGGTGGTACACTAAGAGATCCGAATGGGCTCTTAGGAGAAGTCATCGATGTTGCACTAATCGAACCGCTTCGGGCATGGGTGGTACCGATAGAGGCAGCGCCAGTAGCGATTCCAACTAAAGCGGTGTTCAGAGAAGGCGTAGGCTTCTTGCTGATACCACCAATCCCACTAATCCCCCAACTAGAAGTGCGCGACGGTGGTGCCAGTGTATCCTTAGACTCCCGGCGACGCTCCTGGTCTTCGAGTTCTTCTGGCGACATATCACTAGCATTGCTATTCTTACGCTTCAATATTTGACTGGGGCTGGGCTTCCGAAGACTAGGAAACCTTTTGATGAAACTTGGACGACGGGTATGACCGCTGATAGATAGTTTTTTCAAGAAATTTCCACTGACTATACCTTCCATGTCCACAAGACTGGGCAAGCTTCTCCGTCGAGTTCCCCAAGTAGCTGCTCTTGAAACAATCGATTCATTGTCTTGACATTGCCGCTGGAATTTTTCAATGGCAGCTTGTGACGTTGCCGGTTGGTATTGAGAATTGGACTGGATGGCATGAATGGTCGGCGCATCACCCCAAGTTGGGAGCTGTCGCATTATATCGAAGTCGGTTTGCGTGAGGGGTCCGCCAGGAGCGTCTACATTAAGGTATGCCTGACCAGGGAGGTGTCTATTCTCGGTCGTATCTCCAAGGGAAATTTCGCCGGTGGGTATATTGTCGTCGTCCGAGTCTTGGCCGCCAGCAACTATGTTAGAAGAGCCATCCGGTCCACCAGAAAGGTCATTTGGGTTACCGGCCGACCAAGAAACCCAATCGAAGACTTCTTTGTTCTTCTCCTCGCGTTCTCTGCGAGACGCTTGCTGGTTAGGGCTTGGGACCTCGTCAGAAGGACGGTTTCCAGGAGCAAGACCCCGATATCCACCAGCAGTGTTTGGTATCCAGCTGCCGTGCGCGTCTCGCAAAACACTTTCTATGCTTTCATGGGTGGGTTGCCCAGCTAAATCGCCTGCCAAGGTGTGTGAGGCGTGTGAGGCGTGCACAGTCCGAGGACTTTCAGCGCCCGCAGTGAAAGATCTTTCAACACCTTGCACCGGAGCCTCTTCATCCCGATTCCACATGGAGACAGTCACACGCGGACTTTGCGTAGCCATAGCGAGAGTAGTTAATGCAGGGTTGTCATCACTTGAAAAACTACCACCATTAGTATCAGGCGTCAGCTGTGGCGCGGATTGGTTTGAGTCAATGGAATTCGTAGAAGGTCGGGCTTGGTTCGGGAATTGCTGAGCTGGCGCCGAAGTCCCAAAGTCGGCACTAGCATCTAGACCACTGCTGAATGCCGAGGTCGACGGTATACAAGGCGTCAAGTGAGGGCTCAAAGGATATCTAACATTTATAGCACCATTGTCCTGATCTTGTGTATAATGATTTAGGGAATCTTGCGGGTCGTCGAAGCTGTTTAGGAATTGAGGCAAATCGACGTTGTTGTAGTCGACGGTAAGGAAGGCGTCACCAAATTCGCTACCACTGAGGTCACTCGACTGGTAGATATCGGTGGATACAGAGTCTGCGGGGGTGTTGAAATTGCCCGTAGGAGAGGCAGAATTGCTTTGAAGGTGGGAAGAATATGGCGACAGTAGATGAGACTCGACAGGCGTGACGGGACCTTTCTGATTGTTGTTATTGTTGCTAAAATGGTAGTTGTAATGGGTGTCGTGGTGGGTTTGTTGCGCCCGGTCCTTAAGGGAATCGCGGACGTCGAGCGATGCGGGAGAAACTGTGTATCCCGCACTCATAGTCATAGCTGATAATGGGCGGGCGGCGCGAGGCTAGTATATATTTAAACCAGAGTATAGCACTAGAACAGCGTGCTTCCTACTAAATGTCGTCAGGAAGAGATCATGTTCCTCCTAAACAACCGAGCTGCGTGCGACAATTGAGAGTGTAAACGAGTGATAGCCTCGTGAGCTGAATGTAACCGATATATTTCTTCGCTGATCAACTCTCTTCGACTATACCACGCGCCAGCTTGAGATACACAAAGTAGATAAGTGATGTTAGAAATGGGCAGATCTAGTTCTCGGTTGATTATCAGAAGAGGTTCAGAAACCAGAGGAAGATCTGCCAAAGACTTGATGTTCCGATACTGGGGGGGTAAGTCGGTACCTCGATACTGCGGCGGCGCTTAATAGGAAGTGGAGTCGAACGGAACTCGACGCGAAAATGGAAATACTTCCTTTCTGTTTGTTGGTCTGAGATAATCTGATCGAAACTTGTACCGGGCGGATTGAGGACTGCAAGGGGGCCGTGCAAAGATGCAGGGAAAATGACGGAAAGACGGTTGAAGGCTCAAGAAACTAATAGTAGGGATTTCTGTAGGGAATTCTATAGGTGAGGGGAGACGATGAATGTGCAATTGGGTAGGGAGAAGGGGCAGAGAGGAGCGGGAATGGTAGAATGGAATAACAGGGTGACCTAAAACGGGCGGTACACCATCCATGGATGTAGGCAAATTTGGCGGAATCGATACATCGACGATAGGGCTCCCGGCTCGCGCACTACTGCGGCTCCCCCTCGAAAGCTGTTCGTGCTGTCTGATTGGACAACTATCCATCATTCTGTCATCGCCAGACCAGCTAGGCGTTCTCCTCATTGGATGACAGGGGTAATAAGGCATTCTTCGCTTCCTTCTCAGCCCCGAGAGGAGACCAGGTCTAACCCCACTTGTAAGCCCACCATTCCGTCCTTGTGTGAGATCGTGGGCACTTCAGCACTTCAGATGACGGGACAGGTGCCAAGTGAGGCTTGCTCCGAGTCAAAATGATGACATTGTGCGAACCCGTTTCCACCATTATACCACGAACACTTACACCTATGGCGGTGCTATTGTGGCAGTGGTCATGGTACACCGAAAAGCTTCTGGACATGAGTATAATATCGCTACCGGATATTCACAATACGGGAGATGACATAATGATGATTACCCCATTCCTTCTTATCCTGGTCGCACTACACATGTATTCGGATGGGTAAGAAAATAAGAAGAGGAAAATAGATATCCTCTAACTGCTGTCTCGCTCCTCATTGGGAGAGAGAAGAGAGCCGAAGAAATGTTACGGTAGCATGAGCTGACAAAACGACCCGCTAGCTGAAGCAGGAATGTCTAGGAAGTCTCAAATCCGTCGACAACAAGGTACCTACTAGGTATGCTCTCATTTCAATTATTCCCATCTTCACGAGAATAAGGAAGATAGAAGAGCCCGTTTGATAATGCGAAAACTTATTCGATAATAAGCATAGGATAGAGTTGCATGCATCGGTTCCTGCTCTGATAACTTGCAGTAGCGTGGAATCCGTGGCGATCGATTAAACGCACCGTGGCCAGCACAGCCTTAACTGCGGGCGGCACAGCCAGGGCGACTCGAGATATATATTGATGTGTGAAGGTTTAACAAGGCTGCATATGTCAGGCAGATACGACCTCGGATTCTAGTTCTGCAATTGATCTGTACAAGGCGAAATCGATGTAGCGGTAGCATACTCAAGTAGGCAAGTAGGCAATCCGGAGTTCGATGCCTTTCCATGGAGAGCGGGACGTGGCTTGTGTCGAATATTAGAGAATGAGACAGCCAGACCAAAACCTACCTGCAATTTGTCTCAAAATCTGACTGAATTGCAATCCCTAGACCGGAACCTGCCGCGGGTACAGAAACAGGAATGAACCGACCTGGCAGCCTGGCCGACCTGGCGGACTCGATCCCCAGCCGAGGAACGGCACAGCGCCAAATCTGATTTTAACCGCGCGGCGCGATACAACATGGCCCGCTAATGAATTGAAAAGATCGCTTCGATTATGCGCATAGAGTGATTTCTCAAAATCAGGATCTCTATCACGTGCGCCAAGTGTTGAAATGCTGCTGTGCCGTAGAGTGGTTGCATCACCGAAGTATCAAAAGCATTAGGATTTTGGTTTGGGATCCAACAAGCAAAGTTCCGTGATTTTGATTTTTGGGCGGTTTGAATGAAGAAAAGAAAAGCAAGGGCACGTGCTTGTCCTATAGTTTTCCCAAATTCTTATTGTCTAGAACCTTAAAATGTCTAAGATCGCGCTTGCCGTTGAGATCAAGACACCTTCAGTTCTTGTCCGGAAATCGCGATGTTATCCGTTAGCAGCTTCTTTTAGACCATCAGTGGTACGGATGTACATAGCTGCTCTACCCCTGAATGCTAATATTAGAAGCTATCAAGACCGACGTCGCCTTCGTTATTATCATCCTCATAATGGATACTCTCGCCCAGCCCTAAATTTATGCGGGGTCTTTCCCTGCTTCTAGTGATCCTTTTATCTTGTAGTGCCCGAAGGTATCATCCAACAGTTCTACATTTACTTTCAGTCATCGGATTCAAAACGGTTAGTTATAACATACATTTCCTACCTGTCAGCCTGTGTACCTAAATAGCACCTACTCGAATTTTGTATTTAAAAAAAGTCCGGTGGTTTAATACGATCTTTATTGTCTCATAAATAGGTACATTGATGAGACAACGAGCAGGTTGACTCGGACCAGGTATCACTTAAAAGGAAATGTGACAGCCGGCTGGCTAGGATCTTCCCAGCTGTAAGGAAGCCGGTGGGGATTTGCTTAGATCCCCGCAATGACATTTTAGGAGCTTCACGAGTACACATGCTGACATGTTAGTTCACTTTCTCTTCGCCTCATGCAGGTACCTTCCTAGCTTAGTAGATATCGACAACGGGTTACTTTATCAAAATGCACATTGTCGACCGAACTGTATGAGGATCAATTGAATACTAGAAATCATGTTCCAGGTCAGTTTCTTTTACTGTTTTATACACAAAAAAGTGTCTTCTCGTTGGTATCATCCTAAATACCGAGGCGATTTTACGCGTCAATACCCCTGATGATGCTACAATTACGGAGTTAACTCATTAATATTGACCTGTCCAATTATAGCCAAATCCAGAAGACCGTCTTCACCTACGACTACACCGCGCTCGCTCGGTTATCCTCACATCACAAGAGTAGGTCGGATTCTTATTATTCCGTGTCTACCTTCATAAACTGCCGATGGCCCCTGATCTGGGGCTCAGATTCTGCCGCGCCGCGGGTCTCAGCAGTGATCCGCGTCGGAACCCGTCTGCTGGGACGAGCTTCACAGGCGCTTGGAGTGCTACCAGGTAGAGCAAGTTGCTGACATCAAATCCCTCGCCCCCCGCAGATTGGTGGAGATCCGAGCTGCCCAACGGACTTTTGAAGGAGCTTATATGCGAACGGCCCTCTCTCAATTTAGCTTCGCTCTCATCATCCTCAAGATCTTTACCTCTGAGTTCTATGCCATAGGCGCGCTCTTCGCCGTTTATGGTACGACGGTCATGCTATGTTCTATATATCGTCGCTACCAGGGCAACCGCCAATTTTTCACCACGACAGATGATGATGGCGAATTGAAGAATAAGTTTCGGACTAGTGGTAACAGTGTGCTTCTCCTAACGGCTTTAAGTATTGGGGCTTATATCGGTTTACTCGTTCTGACTTTGCGGCTGGAGACATGAAGAGTGGTAGCGAGAAGCCCGTTATGATAGGCCACGCCCTGCAATATATTTCTACCTACTAGGTACCTGGTCTACTAGCTATCATATTGAATTCGTGCCTGGTTAGAAGCACATGGTCAAACCCCTCTCCAGGATGATTCGGCTCAATAGGTACTAGGTAGTCTTACCTATTCTACCAGGTATGCTGAATAACTAAAATATTATCATGGTCAATGCCGATGTAGACAGCATCATTACCATTAGCACGTGGATTACCTAGTACAGGAGAACTGTCTAGATGAAATGCTATGGAGATCTAAGACATTGTCGGCACGACTGTACCGATGGGCTTGTAATTATTGTATTGCTGTGTCACTGTTCTCGTCATATTATATTAACGACCGGCGCCCACACAACAGGCCAGTCCCAGCCATTCTGACTAGAGAATATATCTACAACCGGTCTGACACCTTGATGATGTTGGTAACCGAAACTGGGTTCGGCGGAACCATTCACAGACTTATTAGCTAATATTTGGTCAAATATAGCAGATACCTACCTAGGTACATATGCGGAACTTCCCCAGGAGTTATCTACAGAGAATTTGTTCCCTCCTTATTGAGTATAAAGACATAGAAACACACTGACTTTTATCATCCACAAACCCAAGATAATATAGGAACACCCTAATCCCCCAATGAAAAATATTTCTATTCTTTAGGCCCTTGTTGTAGAAACAATTCATCGCGTTTTCTTCTTCTTTTTCTCCCTTTCTCTTCCCAATTGCAAATAGCAAGGGGTTAAGCATTTGACCAACAGTGATAGGTACTAGGTACCCAATATTCGAAATTCGAAAAGTGGACGAGAACAAGATCTGCCTAACAGAAGAATCAAAAGAGAGATCCTCCGCCACCTACCTTATCTATTTCGGCAGCAGGTCCGTACCCGGGCCGAAGAAGCGCGGGTAGGGACGAGACGGGAGGCCGCATCGGTTTTCGAAAGTCCGCTATCGAGAGCGCGCAGATTGGTACCAAGGTGTCCAAGTCGAAGCAAAACTATAGCCGCCAGGCCTCCACATCTGTTTTGTTTACCCAAACGGGAAATCCCCATCTCCATCCTTCAACTCCAGATCATATGAAACCCGTCATCCATGCCAGTATATCTAATCTTATATCACCATTCCACATTCATATATCGTGATTCATTCCCTCTTTCGACCAATTGACAAGCGCCGATGAGATTTGTGGACTCGTGGGGGTACTATGTATGTACGTAGGTACGGCAGCTCAGCCAAAGATGTGTTATGCTCGGTAGGGACAGTGACGCTTTGGTTCTTGGCGAAGATCGAAAAATCGATAGTGTGAAGTTCTCGTGGGTAATAATGCTACGCAATCTCTCCTTTCTCGACCATGTCGAAGATTTTCGGTTACTTAGCCGATTGAAACCTGGCTAACGATAGGATACGCTGTTTAAAACTCCGAGTTGTGAGGATAAATTTGCCGCGGCGTTACGAATTGGCATGGCGGCGTATTCTTTGTCGATCCCCCAGGTGTTTTCAGTTTACGAATATGTCGCAGATCCCTCCTTGCGTTCAGGCAAATCCATGGCTCAGCCTCTTTCCTATTCGTAATCTTCTCCTTCTCTTTTACTTATTACGGTTCCTCGCTTTATCTAGTCTATATCTCCAAAACAGAAACTGTCGAATCGTACATCGCTAATATGTGAGAGAGGGTATAACATGGCAAATTTGCGATGCTATAGGGGAGAGAACACGTGGGAGATGGCCACAAGTGTGGTCTATATCTTCCACGCAATGCCCGTGACTGACTTCAACGTCATCTCCCGCTGTAGTATATACCTCCGGCTTGTGATGGATCTTCTCCCACAGACGACATATGGGTTTCCGATACGTGGTGCTCACGGTCTTCGTACCAACCACCGTAGTCTTCGTCAGGCCTGGGAAAATGATATGGTTGTCGCCATGAACCATACGCCGCATGCGGTACGGCAACGGCGGAGAGGGAGCCATGAGTACCCATACTTGCTTCCGGCACGACATTAGTCGCAATCGGCGGGTATACCCTATCGTACGGTTTGGTTGTCGATACGAACTGGCCTGACTGTTCGTCGCTATACGACATTGATCTTGTTCCCGGTGGATAGGCCCTCCAGGTGTCGTCGAGGCGAGCGTTGCTGTCCATCCTATGAAGTTCGGGGGATGTTGTTGACCAGCCTGTCGACATGGATGCAACCGGCGCATGGGTGGCGTACGGTGATAGATCCGAGGTTTCCGGTAGGCCCTCTGGATAATTCGCCCATGGAGCATTCGCGCCACCAGTGGTCTTCGCAACACCGGAACTCGTGTCTGTCGATACCCAGTTGTTTGTTTCATGTTCGTAACCGAACGCCCGACTGCTGGAAGCATTGGATGGGACTTTTTGGCCTCTTAGCAAATGCTCTCACGGACATGAATGCTGGAAAAAGCACTTTGGGGTACACCTACGTTTAGGCTCAGAAGAGTAAGTTTCATCCTCCTCGGTCTCTATCGACTGTTGGCTCATACTTGGCATTGATGGCATTGCGGATAGTTGGTGATACGGTGGGTTCGGTTGCGCTTCCATCATGGGTCCTGTCGGTATCGCTGGAGATGTGGAGGGTGACGCATAGCCTGTCCCAACAGAAGCTCGTGTTCCTTGCCTCTGTCCCGTCGTAGGCGGTTGTGGTTGATTTACTGCAGAATAGTGGCATTCCATATTGAGATTAATGCAACTCTCACATCGTCTTAGGACGTCTGGCGTCTCTGGCTGCTTGCATCTAATTTTCCTTCTCCGACAATGTCCTATACCAGAATACGCTTTAGTTTTCGTGCGAATATTTCGAAGCCAATTAACGCCCAGTGCAGTGACAACTTACGACAAGCAATCGGTGTCCGATGATAGCCAAGCCTATTTCTTTTCCTCTCGTTAAGAGGACCAAGTGTCCCGGAATCGGTTTCGTTCGTCCCCTGTGGCCTTACGTTAGGGGTCGAGACGGATCTTTTTAGCTTGAATTCCTTAGACAGGGACTCTCGTCGCCGAATGGGGGAAAATTGGTTGCTCTGTGCTAACTGTTGGTAAAATGGAGGACGTGGTGTAGATGGGAAACTGTGCTAGTATAATTTGTGCTAGTATAGTAGCTGGTAAGTCTTACCTCTTGGTTGGAACTTGTCGATGCTAGATGACTATCCATGTAGCCGGCTTGTGACGCCCCTAACTCGGGAATCTCCTGTGGCGGCGCGTACCGATAGGACATGATATTTATCATGTGCCCCGATGGCTTGTTAGGTATTATATTTGAATAGCTACGTGCCCCCGAAGAATCGTCTGTCTTGAGAAAATTATTCGATACTGATTAGGTAGGCACCCTCAACAAGACTGTCCAACAGGAAGACCAAGGAGTAAGCCGCTTTCTGCAGCTCGTCCTTTGAATGGGGGGATGACAGACCTCTGCGTTGTGGCTTCTTACAGGCTGGGGTACCTGGCGGGAACGGCAGAAGGCAGCGTTTAGTAGGGTTTTCAGTCAGAACTTAACGCCCGCTCCTTATGGCCGGTATAAACCGAAATATGGTAACAGTGGTTAGAGGGAGGTGGCAGAATATGGTGGAGAGCGAGCCGGAAATGGGCCAATCCAGTCTGCAAAGCCGCTTGGTGCCCTAGAAAGAGATATGCAACCGACCAGAAAGGCAACCTGACTCTCTTCCAAGAACCGCCGGGGCTATGATTGCTTAGCAAGGTACAGCGAAGGCGTGGTAGGACAACGCATACGGATGCCCACACCTCCTTCACTTCTATACCTGGGGTAACTCCTTAGGTTGGGAACAAGGGTTCGACGTATATCTAGATCGGGAAGCTTGGTGTGCCCCGTTCCGGGTTTGTATGCTGAGGCTTGTCTACCTACTGATGGGTCGAATGGATATCTTCGGCAGCGTCTAGAGCGTTAGCTGCAACGAGACTAATCCCTCCTTTAGGCGGAAAAAAAGGATTATGCGTAAGGCTATAGTCGAAGAATATGTCCTCTTATGATCGACGCTTGTGTTGTGGTCCTGCGGTAAAATTTTCAACGTTACTGAGAAATTGACCGAGTCGATAGCCGGGAACGGATGTGTGAACGTAAAGACGGTTAGAGCTGGACGCCACCCTTGAAGCTAGAAGCTAGAAGCTCTGATCGAATGTGAGCACGGCCCACGGAACCGGGAAGTTCCCGCAGCGGTGACGGGACTAGATCTTCCAAGTCAAAAAAGTGAAGAACGATTTTGCATTATCCTCCACTCTCTCGGCGACCACGGATAGGTATAGATGAAGAAGGGCTCTTTGGGTCGGGTTACGGGAAGCGACAGCGGAAGAAGATCTGTCTGGGGCAGACCCTGAGTATATATCAGGAACTATGAGCCACCGGTGAGTGGCGTATGATCTAAGGGATCTGCGGAGTAGAGGGACATCCCCCAGGCTTTACGACATGCAGGCCACCTCGCTACTTTTTTTTCGTAACGAAGCAATAGGATTGAGGAGACACGGACTAAAATTTGATGACGAGAGCGAGGAAAAGTAAAAAGGATAATCTAATGCGCCTGTCTCGACCGATGCGCAATTGGAAGAAATAATAAAAAATATTAGCTGTAAGATACTGGCAAAAAGCGAAGCTATTTGGAATATTGAGCAACTAGTCCCTATTGCCGTCTCGCCTCGATGTTAAATATGAGGCAGATATTATCTATCATAGGTAGTAGGTAACCTCCAATCGTCTTCTTCTACTTCGACCTTCAACATTTGGTCAAACAACCTTGTAACCAAGAGGATTAACCGACTTATTATGCACCAGAAATGCCTCCGACTAGCCATAGATTATCCTCATGATGTAAGTACTAGTTTGATTGTACCATTATTCCCATAATAGCCAGTTGGGACGCCGGCTGTAATTCTTGAGGGTTTAAAGGGGGAACGTAATGCAGGTGTACATACGCTAAGACATCAAGAGAACGGATAAGTCCTACGCCGAGTGAGGTGTTCTATAGTTGACCCGACGAACTGATAACTTTCGCACAGAATCCCTTATTGAATCGGTTAACCAGACGAAGAGCAAATCACCGAGAAGAGCCACTAGTTGTTGAGCTAGCAAGATGATGTTGAAACGGTTCAACCAGTGTTCTGGGACTATGCAGACGGTAAATCTGTGACATCCTGGGTGGGATGAACAAGGATTGACGGGAGTGACGGGAGTGGCCACAGCTTTCCGGCTCCTTAAGTATCTTTATTTTTTCCAGATAGATCTTATAATATTTCTATAAAGCTAGAGTCATTCTAATCCAAGTGAATCGACGACGCCCCATACTTCATCTGTAGCTTATCCATGTCTCCTTGTTGATCCCGGCGCCAGAAAGCGCATCAAAGCACGAATATGGGACGATAGCCTGAAAGTAGTGACGCACCCCTGCTATGTCAAGAGCCAATGCAATCGCTTTAAATCCGTTTTCATATGTAAGATACTAACTCCAACTGTAGTAGTCGCTAAGGCAAAACACAGACCAACAGGCTTGGTGTCGACGTAAGGAAAATAAGAGAGTATCGTCGTTAGATATGGTGGATCTGGATTAGTTGTAAAATAGAAGAACCCCCAACACTTAGGGCTGACTGGCGTGAAATAGTGATACTCCACTTCTGCCAGATGGTGATTAGGTACTGGGGCTTAGGTACCTGTATCTACATATCTACTAGGTCTTCAAGCAGTACTGTGGCGGCTCTTATGGTTTTTCTTTTTCTACCTACTTTCCTTCACTCAGGCCAATGCGGTCGAAATATACCCGGATTTAATGTCGTATCAAAAGAATGTTTCCAAATAAGCTCATAATGGCGTTACGTTATATATATCTACCTACTTAGGTATCTTCGAATGATTTAACGAAAAAATAATAATGATGATGTTTTCGTGTTAAGGTAAAATCATACCCTGAAAATACTTAACCCCTCCAGCCAGCTCTATTTATACTGGTGGTAACTGTGGGGGGCGTAATATTGCTTTTTTTGCCCTTCGCAAGCCCTCTGGCCCTCCAGTCATGTAGGTATTTGCGAGTCGGGTTCACACCAGCCTTGAATAGGTACTTAGTCCCAGCAGCCCGGTAAAATGGCTGATGAAAATGGGGAAGGCAAGGGGAGATCCTGATCTAAGTTTTTCGCATCATGCAACGCTACGAAGTACACGGCGGTCCGGACGCACATGGACCTTAGAATCGTTCGGTGCTTTTTTTTCTTTCTGTAATATATCTTATAAAGCACATATTTCTCTCCGTTTCGTTTTCATCCTGATCAACCATCAAGACTCTTAGGCTTAGGAGTAGGTACGATGTATATAGCCTTTACATTTACATAAATTCCCTAGGCGAAATCCTTTCAACTGAAGCGCGTATTAAATAGAAAACCTTTCCGGACAGTACCGTAGAATTTATTTGCCGAAACCAGCAATATCTCTAGGAAGCTAGAGAGCATAATCCTTTCAGCCGAATGAGATAAGATGAACCTGATATTTACATGGAAAATCGGCTTCATTCCTGCCTTAGAATGACAGTGCGTCTCCATGGTACGCGGCGATCAAAAAAGATTTCCAACTGGGATCATGACTCTTTACGTTTTTACATTCACGATGAGGCGATAACTTCCACATATTGCGCCGACGGTGTCAAATAAGATTATCGGAAGACGATCATTTCTTGAGCTCCTCCAAATCCAGGAAGTATATACCCTCGAGAAGATCAAACCTGACATGAAGCTGAACGAGCTGATAGAAAATCGTCTGGGCTGACCTTGACGCCGGGGACTTTAGACTCACGCCAAGATCTTGTCAGGGGGGGCGAGTGGATCTATTACAAAGATCAAGTACTGTTCCATATGGGCATACATAGTACTTACTAGGTATCTACGCCTCAATCTACGGGTCTCTCTACTTAACTTTTTCTATTTGGATGGCTTGAAAAGTCGTCATAACATACAAGCTGAGATTCTGAGATATAACTAGTGGGGAATGTTTCTATCCGGAGTGGGCCAGTATTAACTATACAGACGGAGAAAATGTAACGGAGAAGCAACAGCAAATACCAAGCCGGCATAAAGTAATTGGCCTTTAAACTGGGTAGGATCTAGTCTAGGGGCGGGCCGCGATCTGATGTAGGTACTCGTCGATTTCACAGGCTAGGAAGATGGGATGCAGCTGACCTTAGACTACCATAGGTAGCATACCTAGTGGTATGTATCTTAAAGGTGCGTGGAGCCACATTGGGAAAATCGGTCATTCATGCGAGAAACTGCAGTTTAAACCAAGCACAAGTTCTAATGCAATGCAGGGTCGAACAACCACTAATAGGAGCCGCAGGGGGGTTGAATCTACGCCACTTTTTTCAAGTCTCCAGTTATTAGATGCAAGATGGGTTTAGTCTTTTCTTCACTTGTTAACATTCTCTTGTGATTTCTCATGTTTCATCACCAAGCACTCCAACCAGAACCTCCCTACTATACTCCAACATAGGACCTAGGTAGGTAGGTTTATCTAACGAGACCCGAGAACGCAATGCATTGTTTAGCCTCAAGTCATCACTTTCTCCATTCTATTCATCATATCGTGACCGATAGTCGCCTAATAGATGCTCATCTAATCACATGAGGAGTTGGGGCCGTGCCCACGCGCATTATGTAGCAATCCTCCAAATGCCTCAAAATTTGATACATGAGAGGACGTCAAGGGAGTTTTGGCTAACCTCTCTATTACCCAGGGCTGGTGACATCACAAAACCTCGGAAGCTCAAGATAATTCACATCAGCGCCAACTATCTCCGTCGGTCTACGAGCCTACCTAGTAGCTATCGCATGCCTGACAGTTGCCCTATTGTTTGATCTCCCTTTAGCCAGAATACAATAAGAATCCAGTGATTCTTGGGCTCATCTACCTGCTACTTTTAATGTTCGGAAAATCGGTGAGCGGCCCGGCATTAGCCTTGCTTATGCGCTCATT